AATTTATTCCTGCCAAAACTATCCATTTTATTTTATGATATTTATACAAATAGATAAAGTATCAGTATAAATCCTTTTTTCAAACTTACGTGTTGAATATTTAAAGGTATAATAAGAAAATGGGTAATAAAAACTTAATGGCAGCTTTTCTAGGTAAGTGAAAGAAAATAGAGACAAAATTGGTATTGATTCTGTCTCGGTGCTTTGATATCACTTTAATGGCGATTTATAAGCACTGAGGACAGTGGCGTAACGGAGGCATTTAGGGTCATAAGGGAAAACTAGATGGTGCATCTAAACACAAAATGCAAGAACGTCTAATCAAACACTGTCGTCCATTTCAAACACAATAGCATGACGTAAAAAATGACAATTTCACTCTCTTACTAGTAGAAGCTTCATTTGATCAAATCTTAAAGCTTTTAAAAATAAGGTGAACTTCAGGGAGTCTTAATGTTAAACATGGATACAACAATAATTTTGAGGCCCATTTTGGTCGGGTGCCCTTAGTTGTCAAACTAAGATGCCCTAAACTGCTTTACGTCACTGACTAAAGGTAAACGTAGTTCATTATTGCTTTTTGAGACTAGGCTGACCAACGATATCAAATGATGGACTATAGATTATCAAATGCAACAATGAATGCAATAATGGTGTGCTACGTTTACGCTCAGTCAATGCCGAAAAGCACCAGAGGTGGGCAACCTTTTTAAAGACTGGGCCAGATCCTTGAAACCTTTTTAAGCGGGCCAAAGGTAATAAGAAAAACGAATACGGTAGTTATAATAAAATGATAATAATAATAATGAAAATTTTTCATTCAAATTCAACTAGACTACACAATTACAAACTAAGTTAGTTTGCAACGATAGATAAGACTGTCACAATCGTAAGTGCAAGCGGGGAAACTGAAAAAACCAACCAAAATTATAAAGGATGTGCTTTAGGGCTAAAAGGGTAATCCTTTATGTATAGATATGGAACGAAAGTGGATCAAGACAAGAGCCTTGTGGGACACAGCTATGAATATTGCATATGCTACAATGCATGCCAGAAGTCCTGGAACACTAACGTCAGTTTGCAAAGTCAAATTTAGCCTCCCCCTCTCCCCCATGGAACAATATTGGTTTCCTGTAAAACGGGTTAGGGAATTAGGAAGTACCTTCTTTTGCGATTCTTTCATGATACTTGTCTAAACTATCGACGTTGTTCTAGGTGAGAAGAGGCGGAAGTAGACCTTTACTTTTCGGAAAAGGAATGAAAGATTTAAGTCGCAACACAAATTGCTGGGTGTTCTAAGTATTTTTGACAATGATTGTTGGTGGTGAAGTATCACTAACCTTGCAGAATTGTTTACTTTATCCTCCTTGACCAAAATGAAATGTTAGCGTTTCAAAATGATCCGTTACTGTTGCCCACAGTTCGCCTTTACGCTTCGTTTGGGACTGTTTTCTTTTTGTTTCTTTTTGCGAATGTACGGGTTTTCTTATTGGAAAAAGTTTAATGTAAATTGGAAAGGCAGAAAGGAAAATATTTGGTCATAAAATTGGAATGTTGCAAGCGATGTCTAATTCTGTAGATGTTTTCATACCAATGCAAATATTTCGTGCAAAAAGCTGCCTATAGCTAAATCTAGAGCGATAGAGCGAGACACGCCCTCCGATTCTTCACAGATATATCGTTAAAGGTAAATCTAGAGCGATAGAGCGAGACACGCCCTCCGATTCTTCCCAGATATAGCGTGAATGCGTGGCTATAAATCTATGACAATTGTATCCTTATAACCAGCAGGTTATTTTATGAAATAATCTTGCTTGACGTCTTCAAATTCCTTTTAGCGCATTAATTTCTCGAAAAGATTTCTATTGTATTATAAGTGTTAATGGCCCAACAGAATGTTAGCCAAATTGTTGTTATTCGACACATGCATACAAGGTTCATTTCAGCACTGAGAAATGACGCAAGGGTCAGCCATTAGGAAATCCCTTTTGATGGCCTTATCTCTAGTGGGAAAGTTAAAAGCATCTATAAGAAGGCTGGACTTATTTGAGGATCAAACTTTCATCGTAGCCAAATTCCCATGATACTTTTGAAAACAAATTTGGCTGGAATGACGTAACGTACGCATAGCTAAATGTAATTAAACAATGTCTCCTCATTGATTGAAGATGTATTCATGAAAATTGCGTTGCAAAATTTTGGCCTTGAAATGTATTCCATAAACTAGCATTTCGAAAACAAGTAAAATCTCTACTGCATGCTTGGGTTTTACAACCTCGATTTCGTTTGCTCTTATGATTTTAGCAAGTCTGCGTTGTTTACTGTTACGTCAATGCCCGTCATTGTGAAGGGTCAGTCGGTTAAACTTTTTGGCAGAAACCAGATACTGGGTTTCTGATACTTGAAAGTAGGCAACGCGCCGAGAACAAACAATAATAAACACACAAGTAAATTAAATGTGGTTTGTTTTCCGGGAATGTCGGGAGTTGTGTCGCTATTCTGGTCCTTGCAACAAAACAACATTATTGTTGTCTTTGATAACTAGTAGCAATTTCAATGTTTTTTCCGATTAAATATTGTAAATCTATATTCAGTAATAGGCCATTGTACAATACTATTTCCAAAAATGCTCTATAAAAAGGCTTTTCTTTATTTAAGCTATTCATTTTTTGCTTTGATGAAGCCTCGTATGCCGGGGCGAAATATTAGCCTTCATTAATTTACGTGTATTCATTGTTGTTCATTCTCGTCGCATTGCGGTGTTTCTTATTTGCTACATTTTCATAATTTTTCGCCGCAAGAACTCTTTGGAGTCCGCCGAGCAGACTGCTATCGTGACCTTTTCTCTATTCACATATTCTTTAATCGCTAGAGCATTTGTTGGACACTGCCTCCAGCTCAAATTCATGGTAAAAAAACCAGGCTTGCCCAACGCGTGGTCCGCGAGCCACATCGTTATCTCATGTGGCTCCCGCCGAAGTCAAATTTGATAGAGAAAACTACATTATATTTATTGAGGTTGTTTGAATGCATTTATATTATCCACGAGATCAAATCAAAGCATGCACACTCAGGGGCGTCGCCTCATACTTTTTGTTGGGGGGGGGGGGGGGGTTGGTAACTGCATTCTTGCCCTGCGAAAATTTTTTTGTCTTGCTAAATGTTGAAAAAGCCATAAAGGAAAATGACAATTAAAGAGGGTTTGAAGCAGGGGTGTAGTGCTTTTAAAATAACAAAGGGGGCCCTTGCACAAATTGTTTCGAAAACAATAGCAAAAGTAGAAATCTGCCAATTTTTGGCTCAGCCCCCTGGCCCTCTAGCTCTACAACCCTGGTTTGAAGCTATATCATTGTTAAAGAATGATAAATTGCGTTGTTTTTTTGTTCTAAGACGTCACATTTTTGCGTTGACAATTTTTTGATAATTTGCTTTAGACCACACACTATCATCCCACTGAACTCATGGTTGGTTACGCTAGATGTAAAATTACTACGCACAAACATTTTTCAAGATTAGGATAGCGAAGCTTTGCCACGATGCCATGAAATTCATTGTGGGAAAACCACCCCGCTGCATACTTTGAACTATACATCAAACAAATTCTGATATATATTCTCAAACATAATGAGGAGATATCGGATCAATGTAATCATTCAATAATTCGACAAAGTCACAGTCACAACTTCTTAAACCGAACTAAACAGGAAACAACGATCTTGTGACGTCCATTGGCCACATTTACCCTTAATCAAATAATCAGACAATCGCACCATCCGTATAAAAAATATTCCTAAAACACACTGAGATTATTGCAAAGGACAAAAAGTTACAAAATAAGTTGTCGCAAATCCCCATTCTAGTCCTACAATGGCGAAATGATCTTGGAGATTGGTTAATCCACAACTAATTTTGTGTCTATTGCAACCCATCTCACTGCCACACCCCTGCATCACATATTACTATGCATCAAATTTAAATGTTCCACACGCGATTTATGTGCAGAAATGTATTCTTTTTTGGGTGAAGAACTTTATACACCTCTACAGCCATACTATACCAATAAAATCGTACAAACATACAGTTGTTCAATTTGAATTCAGTTGTGTTACAAACAACGCTTCAATTCATTGATACACCTTTGCGGCCATTATCCCTTGATGCAGGGATGGAGGGGAACCCAGTTGTAAAGGAGCATACTGATCATAAGCCCCAAAAAGCTCTACCTGGCGAGGACTCAAATTTCAAAGCACAACATGCATATTTATGTGCCTATATATGAAGTAATAGATAAAAGACAGTATAATATGTCTGTTCTGACACATGCTCCAGACATTTGGACACACCACTCAACAACAAACTAGATTCCAGATCTCTCCCGGCAAAAGACATTGTTGCAATGTCCGGTTGGTATTGCATCAATCTTTTTCTTAGTTTTCTGAAAAGCTGTGCTTGTCTTCTTGCATGGCTTCAGAAAAGGTACAAATATCAACCACACTTAAATCTGAAGTGAAATAAAATCAGAATCAATTTTGAAAACAATTCCCTCCAGACCAAACTATCACTGACAATCCCTATTTCGTGTCACTGGTAGTTTTTATCGTTTAACTTCAGAACAGACAATTTCCAAGCATAAACTACCTTTTCGCTACAGTTGTATAAGAATGAAATTAAAGCATATCAATTGGGAGGAAATACTTACCCTGCTAAAATCAGTTTTGCCCTGCAAGAAGGCCATATGTTTGTGGTTGGGGGGTTAACCACCCCCCATACCCCTTCAAGTGACGCCCCTGTGCACACTAACGTGCAGATGCTATCTAATATCTTTCAGATATTTCAAAAGGTGATTATTTTACAAGAAAGGCATATCTAACTTTTCTAAAAGATGGAGGCACGTGTTCACAGTGCCTCCCCCAGAGCCACATGTCCCTATAAAGAGTTTTTCCGGCGACTCTCTGTGACGTTTCAAATCTCAAAAACATGTTTCTGCGAAGGAGCAAATGAAATAGAGGTTTCGTGTAGAATATATCTTGAACTGAACCTAATTACCTAATGGCGATGGAAAACTAACATTTTGTTGGTTTTGATAAAACTTCAAGCTTCATTCTTCCTATATAATGACCGAAGCTATACCTGTCGAGAAAATACTTGGGCCCGAATCGGAAGAACGGACAAATTATCAATCAATTACGGAAGTAGTTGGCGAGGACCCTCTAACAGGAGACAGGGAGACCAACACCCAACAGGATCAGATAAATAAGAATACAGATATTAGGGAAGACAATTCAAGGGAAATGGCAAGAATTAGCTTGACCTGTTGTAAAACAAACTGGTTTGTTTACGATGGACTCGGTATAACATGCGCTGGAATTACATACGGGCTTATATTTTACGCAGTTTTCGTAGTTATTGGAGTAATATTGTTGACTGACTTTCCTGCGTCGCCGTGGGCCTACGTTCACTCTGTTCTGTTTACTTTCATGGCAATTTTAGCGATCTCGGCCCATGCAAGATCTATGACAACAGACCCTGTAAGTCGTAAGAAAGTGCAATGTTTTTTTCCAAAAGAAACGATTGGCTAAGTTGTAATATAAATTAGCTTTCTTTGTCGTGCGGTATGTCCGGTCTAAATTGACGTTTTAAAGCCTAAATACCTTTTTGAATCTTCACTTGTTTCGTTCAAATTTGAAGAAATTTTTTTAACAGTGATATGTTCAGATTTGGTGTTTTGGATTGCTTTACACGCCAGACAAACATTATTTATTCATGGCAGCCTGGAGATTCCAAATATTTCACAAGAGGATTTCGCCTCCAGATTTGACATTGCATAATCAGAAAAGAACCACAAACTCAATGTTTAAAATGAGACTCACACCAATTCGTTTTCAAAGCTGAAAAACATACATTTGAATAGATGAATTGAGAAATTAACCATTAGCTAAAAATGATTTCTGTTCACATTTTGATCACATTCTATGGTGTTGCAAACTGTTAAGTTATATTAGTGGTCAAAATATGTGTAAGGGTTTTGAGTTTTACGTTGGTTAGGCAGTTGACCAGTAGATTGAACACATTGAGTGATTAAGAGCTGTTATTCTTTTGAAATTTTTTGTGATTATAAAACTGGTTTTTTAAAAACTAAATATAAATTATAGGCTTGCAATGCATTCTTTCACTTAAATTTTAGGGTGTAATCCCACAAGGAAATTTCACAGAAGATAACATCAAGAGCTTAGGGTTTAGACCTGGTGATGTTGTATTACGATGCACAAAATGTGAATGCATCAAAGTGAACAGAGCACATCATTGTAGGTAAGTTGAATAGAATGTTTGCTTATATAATGCTGAAGTTATAAATTGTCAAAGTATATATTATTTTTCAAAAGCTTGAATAGATTCTGCAATTTATTTGAAAAAGATTTGGAAATTTTATGAGAGAAAATTGATCACGACTATAGTATCATTTATATATTTGACTTGCTTATGAATTCTTATTGATATTCAGACCCTTAAGTATTTTTGTGTTTAATGTTTATATACTCTTCATTAAACAATTGTCTTTGTTTTCATTAGCTGACTGCATAGTGGTTAGTTGCATATTGATATGAAAAGCTCTACCTAGTTAATTATTTATGCTGTAGTTAAGATATTGATTTAGATAAGGTTTACATGACCTATTCAACAAGTTAAGCTTGAAAATATGGTTTGTCCTGTAAGTGCCCAATTTTGTAGAATTCCTTTCTTAAGTTGATTCATTATGCCCCTTATTTTGGATTTCTATTTATGGTTAGCTTTATATTTGTGATTTCAACACTGTCTGCATTAGGGTCTGTTTTAGTAATTTTAAGGTAACAAGCTAAATTCTAGCAATGCTGAGGCTCTCAGCGCCATTCCACATTTGCATAATCCCATTGAAAGTAAATATAGAAAAATGAAAGAAAAGGATTTTGTGCTGTCTGTCTTCCAAAAGACCAATCTTCCCATTTTCCCATCAATTTTTACTGTGTACCCTTTGGAAACTAGTGACTTGTTTCTCTTCTTTATGCCTTAGCGCTCTTAATCCATAGCATTTCAATATATGTTTCATGAAACCGCAACAGTGCTGCATTCAATACGATTTTACCACATTTTGCAGTGACATTTTAGAGAAATGTCTCTAAAATTGACAATTTCTGGTCATATTTTTGGATTATAGATAAGACAAACAATTCTACAATCCTACTCTTGTTTTTTAAGCATTTTTATGTAATACAAGGTATCTTCATAAAACTCAAATTTTCATAGCCAATATTTAATTTGTTAATGTAAAGCTTATTGGTATTTAACACTGCAGACCGTGGCCATTCATTGGCAACAGCATACTAAAAGCATGCTATTGGGACAAAGCAGCTATTGATCTCCTTTAAGACAAGGTTGTTCACTCCTTTCAAATCCTTCGAAAAATAACCCCTTATGTATCGCCTACAAATATATCAGTTGTTTTTAGATATTCTTTGCAATGTGTGAATTAGGTAAAGTTTACTGAATTTGTTTGAATCATTCACGTTTCAGGATTGTATTTGTAGCACTCTCATGTAGGACTTTGATTTCAATCATATGCATATATTTTTATGTTCTGAAAAACTTTGATTGTTTTTCATCTCTTTTCAGCACTTGTCAAAGATGTGTTAGGTAAGAACAAGTCATTTTTTGCTTTTTTTATGGTAAAATGAGCTTTTTCCTTGTATCACCTTTGGTATTCTTCACAAGTTAACTAAATACAATTACAAGTAGATAATCTCAATTTGTTCTTAATAGTTTGCTTATTTTTGATTTTCTATATTTGATTTTCAAGCATTATAAATATATAATTATATCAACTTTATACTACATCAAAGAATATAAGAATATATAGATCCTTTGTTTCAATGTTTGAAACACTAAATAGAAATTACATCAAAATTCAGGATAGTGTTAAAAAATTTGAAGGTCAGAAGAACAAAGTTGAAAGTTTAGCTTGAATGGCTATATGTTAGGTGACAAATTTGATGCTGATCCCTATTAATGTATAAGGATATGAAACAAAATACAATCAATTAGAATTGTGATTCAATGCAAATTTCTGTTTATCGGTCTGTCAACTAGGAGAAGCTTTACACACTTTGTTGCAAAGAACAGGACAATTCTAAATTGTTTTGTGGTTATTACAATTCTCAGGCACAAAAGCTTTTTTGAATTATATTTCTCTTGACTCATGATTATCTATGTCTGTTTAAAATGAGCATTTTCGTTTAAAATTATATTTTTATGTTGCAGAAAAATGGACCATCATTGCCCTTGGTATGTATTGGATTGATTGTATTATGACTTAACTGATCCATTAAGATTGATGGAAAAGGAGAAATTTTACAATCTTATGCTCATAGTCACCAACTTGTTGTTCTTTTGAGACTTGGTGTTTATGGTTGCCATTTGACTGTATATTGTCCCTAGAATTCACAATAGGCTTTTTGGTTGAAAAAAAATAATGAAAAATTGGTGCAAATTATAGTTATTATAAGATTTCTCTCATTAGAATGGAAAGCACTACCATTAGGATCTGTTAAGACTAAAAATTGGCAAGGAAAGCCTTGGGAAGAAATTTAAAAAATTCCCTTTTTGTGGGAAAAAGTATCTGGTAATATATGGCAACAGGAGAGACCATGTGCAGACTGAATAATCCAGGTTCCTCACAATGGCTTATTTGTCATGGCAGGAGTGAAAGGACAATATTTGGCTCAGATACCTCTTATACATCTATTATAGTCATTGTAGTTATAGCTCTCTTCTCTAGTGGTTATACCTCCTTTTTGTTATATTAAACATTTCATGCCTTTATGAACACCTACCAAAACTACTGTCATTGCGTTTTGTACAAACTTGAAATTTTTCTTCTAACTTAATATATCAAAAATTTCTTGTAGTTTTTACTGTGTTTTCCTTACATCTCATGCTCCATTCATTGTAGGATCAATAACTGTGTTGGGGAATACAATCAGAAATTCTTCATGCTTTTTACTGTAAGTGACATGTTATTAATTGGTTGTCATTTGGGGATTTTAGTAGCCAAGTAATTTGAAGTGTTTTGAATATTGTCAGATCTTCATGTGATAAACAAATAATTTCATATATATTCTTTTGTGATATACATTATTTTGTGGCCAAGTGCCGCTAGTATGCAATTAGTATAAGAAATCTTTTATAAGTGTAGCAAGACAGTTATTCTGTGTTAGCAAAAGGGAACAAGTTTTCTAGAAAGCTAGATACCCAAGAACAGAATGCCATAAAATCATAACGAATTGGCACTATAAAAATTTTAAATGTCAGTTCTTTGAGATTATGTCATCTCTAAGCAAGGGACACCATACAAGCTGTCAATACTGATGATAGTGAAAGATAATGCAGTTATCAAAGAAATGACCACAATCTAACTTGTTCCCAATATTTCTGATTATTAGTTGTCACTTTTGCTCCAGGCACGATTTAAACTGCTATTTAAGGATATAAAATATTATAAACATCTTTGGAGTATTCTAACAAGCTTTTTGAAAGAGGTTGTTAAAAGGGCTTTTTTCCAAAAATATTTTATTGGTCATTGCTGTGCTTCTATAACTATGCATAAATTGACTAATAAATAGCAAAGTACCTGGATACAAACATATATGAACATATCTCATATATGCTTTGTAGTATTTAAGGCAGCTTACTCTATGTTTTGTTTTATTTGTAGTTCTATATCATGTTGATATCTATTTATGCATTGGCTCTTGCTGTCAGTTATGTTTTCTCATGTGCTGACAAAGAATGGAAAGGTTTGTTCCTTAATGAACAATAATCTTTTTAACATTTGGTACAACAAGATTTGAAGATGGCTTGAGATAGCAAACATTGCATACTGAAGCACTTTTTGTCTGTTACTCTTCAGAGTATAAACACCGGGAAATGACCGAAAGTGAGCAGAAAATTACTGGTTTTTGCTATTTTGTGCCATCTTCAAATAATCTTCTCATGCTGGACTTTTTTATTTGGATACATCACAATTTACATCTAATATTCTGATGAATACAACTAAATTTGAATGGTTAATGCTTCTAAAATTTTACTACAAAGGAATGTCAAATGTAGAGAAAAGGGCACCTGATTTCTTTGTGAGGTGTACATGTCAAGTACACATTGATAGCAAAAAACATAGAATAAACTTTTTACCCTTTTAGAGCTTGCAATTAGTTTGATGCTTTATGTTGTCTTCATAGCATATACAAGTTGCATCACGTTTTGCCTCGAAAATTAATTTTTAAAAGACACATTGGAGAGGCAAATCGGTTCAGGGCCTACCTATAATTGTTGGCTAACGTTTCCTGCTGTGCAATGAAAAGTAGTTTTATATCTTGTCTTTTAGCCATTGCAAAATATTGCTTGCAAATCTGTTCAATGATATTTAATTTAAGCAAATTTACTCCACATTTCTCATCAGTAGGTTTTTTCCATATTTATGATGAAAATATTTTATTTCGTAGATTGCACATACTTCTCACCTCCAGCAACCATAGTTTTCTTAATTTTTCTGGTTTTCGAAGGCCTTCTTTTTGGGATTTTCACTTTGGTTATGCTTTGTACTCAAGTAAAGGCAGTTATTTCTGATGAAACGGTAATATTTTTTTGTTTTTTAAAAAGCTAACTTTTTTTGATGAATAAAATGATTTTTGACTTTTGGCAAGGCTATCAATCTTTTGTGACATTGAAGTATCAAGCAGAAAGTGATCTTGGGGAGTGGGATGAAGCTAAGCCTAATTTTGAGCGGGACGTGTGATTTTGGTTCAAAATTTGAACCTTTAGTTCTGCACACGTCTAAAATAATGTGACCATAATTCCGTAACATGATGAAAACTATACCCATAATTCCGCAATGAATATAGCATTTTCAAAAAGCAACAATCAAGCGAATTTTGTATGTCATTTGCCCCAAAATTTCAATATTACACATATTTCATACTTTCATTTCTAACTGGACATTCATCATTTTGTTAATGCTAAATTTCCCTCCTAATAATTTTGCAATTTTTTCCCAAAATGTTACCCATAATTCTGCATGTTTATTCGAATGGTACCCATGATAACGCACATACTTCAGAAACTGGTACCAATAATTCTGCACTTTTTAGAAAAAAGTAACCTCTAAATAATGACACTTCCTCGTGTAATGTAGCCCCGAGAGAGCAATATTTTATTATTTGATGAATAATTGTTTTATAATCTCAGCATAGTGGTGGGATTGATGAAACCACACCCACACGGAATGCTTGTTGATGCTTTAAGCCTGGTTTATAGTTCTGAATCTAATAGCTTATGCTGAATTCTGCACAAGGGTAAGCTTTGAAGCATACGCCTTTTCATCTTGCATATCCAAAAAGCGTAAACACGTAGGTTTTCCGCATGTCCATGCTGGAAGCTTGAAACAGTATGCCGTATAAGCTTTTTCAGTTGATAGTTTCCAGACATGCCGTCGAGGAATGTTACTCTTGCCCTTCTACTTGTACGAAGAAAAGAAGAAAAGAAACAGTAAAGCATGTCGGTATATTCTACCTATAAATAGCCATTTTTCTTGCTCCTGTCCAAGAATTCCCTCTAGCAAGGAATCAAACATGTGGAGGTATTTAGGGCCTCCGACGAAGGGGGGCATCGCCCCCTCACTTTTCTGGAAAACAATAGAATTTGTTTGAAAATCTTTTGTTATGGGTGTTAAGTATTGGCTTGGCCCCCCACTTTCCAACCTGTGTCGGAGCCCATTGTATTTTTGTATGTCTTCACAAAGTTCCCCTTCAAAATCGGCCATTAAGAAATTTTCCATACGGAAGGCAAAAAAAGTTCTCAACTCTAATCTAAACTGATTTCTCAACTCAATAAGTTCAAGGCATACGGGTTTGCGGAAAACAAAATAAACTTCCGTACAAAAAACGTATGGCTCTGATGTGGGGCGAAATGTAGCCTTCGCTAGTTCTTTTGCAAGCCGACACCAGACAAGCTGGCGCCTCTCGCAGAGAAACAAGGCGTTTATTTTAGTGCATACATGATCAGCAAAAGCCCAAGTACATTGACATATAACCTGCGCCCAGTCTTTTCTAAAACCGCAACAGCAAAAAGACTGCGTGCAGGCTAATTGACATATGGCTTAAAGAAAATACCAGAAATGTAACAGCCTTTTCTGTGACGCTTATTGCCTCCAATTTGCTTCCAGATAATTCCAGGAAAGCTGTGGCAGAACTCCTCCATGAACTGCCGACAAGCTACGGCTGCAATGAAATTTTTATTACCAAGGCCAACGTAATTATGCATAGAAGCAAAGAGAAGACTTTTAGCTCAACACTGGAATGAAAATAGCTTTGAAATAATTTTAACTAGATATAAAATCCTTTTTCAATATTTGTAAAAAAGCTTGCAGCGTCCAGGTGTAGAGTCGCTCTCTAAATTAACTGCTTTATCGTCATTGCTGTCGCACTACACAAGTGCATTATGATGCTTATTATGACTTATTAGTGTCACTCGTAGTCAAATAATGTCGAAAAGCATCAAACACATTTAGATCATCATAGTTTTAGGGCATTTGCAGTGAATTCCAACTCACTTAGTTATTAGCACAAAGGTTGTGGCAGAACTTGGGAAAATCTACTGATGACGTCACAAAATTAGCAAACGTCAGCAAATTCGATTATATGATTCATCAATTGAAAGCTCTTGAAATGCGCATTCACATAAAACCCAGAATTGCTAAATTGTACAATTTATTTTGAATATATAACGGATTTATGACTGTTTTTGCTGTTATCGAAAACGTCATCAATCACGTGATACCGAGGCAAATTTTTCTTGGTCCCATCTTGGATTCTCAATCTCCATACTCGAAAGTATACCAAACCATCGAGATCATCTCGGTTAGGCGAGAAATCAGATTTTCACAGCCATAGCCCTGTCCATTTGACCTGGGCTTTAGTGCTCAGAACGTTCCGAGTATTTCTATGAAAATCCCAATGGAAAATCCTCAGCATATCTAATGGATTAGTTGCTGCAGATGAGAAGTCGCTAGTCAAAAAGTGGTGTGACTCAGTGCACGACAGATTTTTCACATCGATAAAATCCCTCGGCACGCCACTAATCAATTACGGTAAAATAAGGATACTCTGGATCCTGTCCATTGCAACAAAGATTTTCAATTTATTAAACCCATTCAGCGTAGAGTATAGATAGGATTTAGTGAGGTCGTGGAGCGTTCAATTCAAGATCAACCTGGAGAAAATGGTAGAAAAGCGAATTTCCACTATCCAGTGCAGAATTGTTTCCTCTATAACATACTGGAAATCGCCTAAAATCGACCATGGAGAAAATTGTTATTGAGGTTCATAACATATGCGAGGCCACATTCGATAATCAAATACTTGTAGCACAACTGAGGGCATCAGTTCAGACTCGAGTTCAGAAAAGCAAGAAATCTATTTTCCTTTTTAAATTGTAGATTTACGCAAGGAAAAAGTCTCCTATTCTAGGCCTGAAAAATAAGCAAGAGGGCTAATAAAGTTATTCAATGCCTTAGCAATTTATTGGGGGGGGGGGGAGGGGAGGCTATTTTGGGTATTAGGGACTTGCCAGCCAAAGATGTAAAGTCCTTATGTGATTTCGATATTAACACAGGCCATTATTTCCTGATAATTGGTACAAATGAACGGCTCACCTTCTGGAAACAGGTAATCTCTGAATAAAATATGGCAGAATCGCTAAGCAATTTGGTCGATATATGTCGCAGTAGGGGCTAAAGTCAGTTCAGAACTTACCACTAAGGCCCTGGGCATTTTTGGGGGTGTCATAACTGACCCTGTCAAGACAAGGAATGGTAGTGTAGTCAAGGAAGAGGCTTGTAAATCATCATAATTGCCATTATATGCGGAAATCCCTAAAAGTTGGTTGTCATATAGTGGAATTCGTTAGCGATCATAGCGGATGCAATGGCTGTATTCGTCAGCAATGTTTACGGGTAACCAGTATTTGATGATTCTTTGCAACAATTATTTAAAACATTCGATGGCATGTTACAAGCGAAGTACTTATTTGGTTTTTTGGTTCAGCTCTATACTTAGGTTCCTTACCTTTTAGAAAGGTAAAGAAATTCTCAGCCAGAGACCAGAAAAGTTGTCCACCTCCCCACGGGAGAAAATCTTACAATAAGACCTTCCTAATTTTTGATGGGTTTAAAATGGGCGTGGTCAGGAAATTTGGAGTACTCAACTAGTCTTGATTCCCTCAATTTTGCAACTCCATTTTGCAGAAACATTGTTTTAAAACTTGTAGCTTATCTTTGATTAAAGACATTTTTTAAAATGAGTAAAAGTTAAATGTTTTTTCAATTAATACAAAGGATTGTCAAAATTTAAATATATAGATTATAAACAGTTAATGCCTGAATTTCACAGTGCAAAACAGTTCTTTAAACACATTCATATTAAAAACAGGTCTTTAAGCATTTTTTAAAATGTTTTATGTGGCTGTATATTTAAAACCAAAAGGCAATATGACTTTTTAAACTTCCTCAAGCTTCCAATTTTTTGGCCACTCCCTCAATTTTTCTTTGCTTATACACTTTTCTTGCTTCCTCATTATTTTCTTTTCTTGCTTCCTCAAAATTTCAAAGCTCAAACGCGTTGGAATGACACCTTTTTTCGTTCATTTTAGCAGATAACTGTTAAATCTTTTTTGAACTAAGAACTAAGATAAGTATTTTAATACTGTGATCTCTAATTGCAGACAATTGAAAATTTAAAAAGAGAGAAGAGAGAAAAGGAAGGAAGTTGGTAAGATCCAAGTTTTATTAGTTGTGTCACATTTACTGTGTGATTCTTATTATATATTGTGTGTTATTTGTTACTTTTCTGTTTTCTAGGAATGATTGCACTTTTTAAACCTCGTAAACTGAAATATTTTTGCGTATTATTTTGTCGTATTAATGAAATCTTGTGTTCAAGGATTGGATATAATCGATTTAGGACTTCTCTGATGTAAGTTTTGTAAGCAGTTTGGTCGTTTTTTCAAGATATCCATCTATACATATTTTTTGTATTTATTTAGAACTTTATGACGATAATTAATTTTTTCGGTCTGTCATCAAGTACTCGATGCAGTATAGACAGAGTTGTACACCCTTGAATATACTTGCGCATGCGCAGTTGAGTACTCTTGACAGGATCCCACAATCAATCTGTGAAACTGCTTTGCTGCTCTGACAGCATGGCTCGGACAAGCTATGTGCTGCACTGATTATCGGACAAGCTATGTGCTGCACTGATGAACCCACGAAGGGCGAAACAGTACTGTCTGCAGATTGAGTAATTATATATACTCTGATGAAGCTGAGGCTGAGCTTCAGCAAAATGCAATTTTGAACAACATTTTTTCTCAAAATCGAGGATTTTTAGCGATGTGTGGGTGCTTTTTAGGTAAATATTCAAATTTGTCCGCAAATTAAGGCTGCCTCACTCACTTTGTTAGAAAATGAGGCCTGAATACCTCCTTAGAGCGAAAAGACTAGCAATAGCACTGCTTACACCCTCTTAATTTAAGAACAAATTAAGAACAATCCAGCCTCAGATTTTCGAAAAAATTAAGAACAGTCAGCCTGAACTTAAATTTACTGGTTCTTATAAAAAAAGAGTGTAGATCTATATTTTTTGACTAGGCCAAGGCTGAAAATATGAAATTATTTTCACAAGGGTGCTGCCTTGTGGCATCAAAGGATCAAAAGCCGCGATCATTCCACTGAGCCAAACGGCCAAATGAAGTGATCGGTGACTTCTGAAGTCATTCCTGGAGATCGTAACCGTAGCTTCCGGCAGTCCTACGCTTGGGTTTCTAAAATGGCTGCTCTAAGCTGCTACTAACAATTTCATGTTTATTACGATGGCTAAAAATACAATAGTTTTTCCAGTTCCTCGACGATACATTTGACATAAACCTTGTACTAAACCTTGTCTTAGACTGGGGTTTAGTATGACTCTACTAGTACCATGCTAGGTTTTAGTTTGATAAACATAACAGCTCTCTACTGCTGAAGCCTGAAAATAGGATATAAACCTGATTTTTATATAATCTGATGAAGGCCTTTCTTCCAACTTTAATATTAGGCAAAAACACTGAAACAAACAATTTTTTTAGTTTATTCTATCCACTTGGTTCGGTTGAATGTGATGTTGTAAAATTCATTCACAGGTGTCTTATTTAAATCGTTAAATCCAACGAGGGACTCCTACGTCAAGATATTTGACGTTACGATAAGCTCTCTTTCGGCCTCTTTTCGCTTTTGTCATTTAGTCCTGATATTATGAGAGTTGAGGTCTGAAGGTCGGAATTTTTAAAGAGGTCAGGCCTAATTTTTAAGCTTTCCAGACCTGCTTCTTCCTTTTTATTAATCTTTCTTTTTTCGTTGCCAGGCAACATCGTCTCCAGCAAGTGTTTGGTGGGAAGCTTTCTGTGCACTGGTTGTCTCCGTTCAGTTCAACGCCAGTCTATCGAAGAAGAAATGAGTTTGTGTACAATGATGTGTAAATTAAAGTTAGAGTGTAGTGAAATGTAGTGTGAATTTTAAAACCAGCTTTCAAGGGCTTGCAACAATTGTTTTGATATTCTATTGTTAGCACCGCGGGATAATGCACCATTTTGCTTTGCATGTCAAGGGTTAACGTCGATATAAATGTATTCTTTAAATGTTAAGCATTTTACTTTTTATTTGCCTTTGGTATTCCATTTCCCCAGTTTGAGCATTCATTTTATAAACAGCACTAGGATCTTTAGATATATATATATCTGTGTTTGATTTCTTTCTTTAAAACAAAGTTTTGGTACAGCTGAAATGTGCATTTTTATGCGCACTGAAGACTCAATATATTTTACAGTCGTTATATCAAATACTCAGTTGCCTCAAAATGTATAACAGTTTTGCTTTCTAATACAAGGAGTTATCTTAACAATTTTTGGGAAAGTTTTGAAATAGTATGATTACCATAAAAGCTACATGATTATGTACTGGCTTTTGTGGAAATATGGGACGATTTGGTACAATTATCTTTTCCTGGATGTTTGAGTTGTTAATGTACTTTTTAATCATTGGTGGCTGGTGGCTTTTTTGCTGCTCACGTGGCAGATGAACGATTGCCCTAGATTTGCTGTTTTTAATTCGTAAATTATATGTAAGAATCTACTATTTGTTGAGCCCCCCCCCCCCCCCCCCCCCCCCCCCCTCCGCCCAACCTCATCTTAAACAATACGATCTTGCTAAATTGAATACTATATCATTGCCGCTCTAAATCTTATTGGAAAAAATCATGTTGGTAACTTTTAAAGCCATCAATATTAAATCGGGATGGAACAATTTATCAACAACCTAAAGGATGCTATTTATTCACAGCGGCGTGAAGGATACTATTAACTCTCAATGTCGTTAAATTAAACTTGAATATTTATAGAATTTTGTAACAATTCATCAAGGTAATACACTGCTCTCTTGAGCCATGTCCCAATTAGACTGTGAAACTAGTCTAAAGATAATGTTTATCGTGTTGCTTAATCTTGTTTTAACGAAATTTTTTAAGATATTCCTGCGTCGAACTGATGGATACATAGACATTAGTGTCCTATCATTAGACGATTCCAGATAGCCATCTTCGAAATTTAATTCAGGATAATTTGAAAATGTGAATCGTGAGAGGTATAAACGAGAGGGCAGTTTTTTGCTGTTTTTAGTAAGATAGTGTAAAGGGAAGTGAAATTAAGATTTAAAATCAGTAGAAGGTAGAGATGTGCATGACCCTCGATCATTCGTTATCCGAATGCAGAACAGGATTGACTTCCCTGTGCACTCAAAAGGGAGCGGTATGTGAGGGTGGCACGTTTTAGGGTATAGGTTGAAAACGTAACTGAGTTGGTATAGCAATAACTTACGGCGTTGGTCGTGGATTCAAGTCCTGCCCTTTCCGTCTTGCTTATATTTTCTCTCGGCACTTTCGTTACATGAATATCTCAGCCAAAACCTACATATAGTTGAATACTGCAAACAGATTTTATATGTGTATTTGTAACTTTCTTTCTTAAAACAAATGCCCCTTGTTGCAAATTTTGTTGTGTTTGTTGACTTTTTCTATGCCTGTTTGAAAGTTACCTTCATCCAGATTCGATTCAAAATTAATGAAATTTGAAGACTTTGAACTAATAAAAATCGTCTGTATAGTAAGAATACGCTGTAATAATTTGGAATATTGCGATTGGAGAGGTTTCAAGATTTTCGTTTTTTCGTCCAAATTTTACCATGTTTAGGTACCACGTGTTTTGATTAAAGCACGCACATGGCGATCTATTTACGTTTTCAAATTTTGGCGCCAACTGAAATCATGCGTGTCACCTGATTGTTCTCAAAGGGCTATTACAAAATTATTACAGACGATTGGCTGTGTTATTATAATTGGGATAGAGGATGGCGGGAAAACATTTCTTTTTGTGCATTGGCGTTTTCCGAGGTTTGCAGTTGCACTTTCGCATGGAGTGGAAAGGGTGTGCTTCGTAGAATAAATAAAACCTTTTAGAGGTGTTGATTTAGACTAAGTATCCAAATTCTGGAACTCGTTGAATTCATAAACATTGCAAAACCATGACTTCACGGTGAGTATTTTAATAGTTTATTTCAATTCCTCTCGGAATGGTTACAGCACATCGTTCACATTACATGCCAAGCTTAGGCTCTGTCGACATGTAAAATGCAGTATTCTTCCCTTTTGTTACATTGCCAGTATGAACTAGCTCTCTCGATCTTTTAACGTGTTTTTAACTTATAGTTAAACGTCCAACAGGAAAAATCTTTTGAATGCTATTGGCCTAGCAGCGTGTTTGCACATATCCATGATTAGGGCTAGGATAATATCACATTTCGCTTTGATAGCAGACCCATAACATTAAAGGTTTATTTATATTTTTCAGAGAAACTGTGTCGTCAAAGGGAAGAAAATCTAACATTAACGTCAATCGAAACAGTTGCCAGACAAGAAAGAGGAAAGGGCGGGCTTCCACGTCGACGGTAAGGGTGTTTGTTTCGTTGTTGTTTATCTTGTGTTTCACAATATCGCGCCTTTTTAGGCATACTTCTACAAAGGAAAATTTAGAATTTCAACAAGACATGTTTATTATTTTGCTTTATTTTATAAGGCTTTGATCTAATTCAAAAATTTGGAAGGTTTAAAGACCAAGTCACGAAACCCACAAAGATGGTTTCTAGGTTTCTAACATTGCAGGAAGAACTTGCTTGACGAGATATCGGTGTTGCTCGAAAATTATCGTTTCGGGGTTGTAAGTGAGTTAAAATAAGGTTTCGAAGTTTGACTGGGATGAGGGATATTGTGTATTTTTTGAAGCTTTCTTGACAATACGTGCAGCCATTTTGTGATATTCGAGCACACGTATGTGGAGGACTAGGACTAGGGACACCTGGCTAGCAACCTCAAGATGCAAATGTCTCAAAAGACTCGTGGTGGGTGCTATTCTCTTGAGAAAGAAAAAATTCAGGCTTATTTCCTGCGAGCTTTGCTGTAAAATAATCCTTTCTACTAACCTACATTTGGATTTTTTGGATAAATTTTTTTTGTCACTATCCTATTTTTCTCTTGCCAAAATAGTTTTTTTTTCATCAATAAATGACAAATCATTTTATATTTTCAACAACTTTATGTTGACAATTCTTCATTTTACACAAAGGCCTTTTATATTGGCAGGGAGCAACCACACATGCCAAATTTTGCATCTTTTTGGGAAATTTTTTTAATAGACTTTGGGGTGACTTCCCAGGGAGGGGGTAAATTTTAGTCTTATGTATAGTTTAAGGGGGCCATGCCTCCTATATGGGTGGGTCAGAAGTCTTCAAAATGCCTGAATATGGGTCTCCATAATGCATTGTTTTCCATAAAAATGGGCTAGCTTTACTGCTGAGGAACATTAATTTTGTGTTTACATAATCCTTCCTGACCAGAACAATGTTTGCTATGTAATGTAATATGCCATTTGTACTTTGTCACTTTTTTAGTCTCTTCCATGCTATTCATAGTTGATTTCATAAACCAAAAAGCTAGGTATTTTTTTTTCTTTAAATCTCTAAAAGTGGGTAATTTTGCTATGATTTGGGCAGTATGCCCCCAAAATCCCTCAGTAGTGCTGGTAAAAAGTCACTCAACAAAAAGCAGTCGTTGCCTGATAAATTTGAAAAAATTGGTTATAACAAGGAATATACATAGTGGCATGCATATCAATCAATTTGGTAAGAAAACCATGAAGAAAAAAATGTTCATTCTCCAAAAAGTCAATTTTTGATTTTTTAAAATAGTGTAATATAGGTACTTATTTCATTTTAGGTCAGTTTCATTTACATTTGTTTATGCTTCTCTTAGTTAGGAAATATGAGCTTGTCGCGCTTTAGTTTTTCATGTTGTCCGGTAACGTAATATTTTACATGCCCTTTTACCCTACAAAGTTCCCCCGCGTGTCTTAATATATCTAACACCTCCTACTAGATCATTTACGTATTGCACAATAGATACCGACAATAACACCGGTAATTATTGATGTTAGTTTGCTATATTGTAATGCTGTTATATAAAGTAGAGTACGGAGAAACTTATATAAAGTTAGTTAGTTAGTTAGTGAGAGAGAAGGGTGGTGCTTGCGAAAGGCCACTGCTATCAAACATGTAGACACTAACTCACACACACACAGAACGGTCATGGATGGAAAGGCTAAGAAAGGGCTGATGGCATTCAACCCGAGTGGCTTGTGAAAGCACTCGAGGTTTCGTTTCATATATATATAATTTAATGGCGTAACAGTGCTTGTGAAAGGCTGTTTAGTACCTAAATTTCAATATTGTATACAAGAACATCTTAGCCTTGGATGGAACAAAAAGAATAGATTTGGTGTGTCAAAATGTGTTGTTTATTCGCTCGGTAAATCGCTCAAACAACGAATGGTGTCAGAAGTTTTACAAATACATATATATCAGCAGAACATTTTACAATAGATTAAGAAAGATTGAGTTATTTTCTTTTTGAAGGATCCTATCCTTGGTTGCCTGCTTTAATAAAGTCCCTGTCTGTATTCCAAGGCACATAAAATGTACCCCAGGATTAAGTTCTAACTTTTAAATCATGTTTGTTAGACTGAATCACTTGGCCTAACATGAGTTTGTACAAACAGATCTTGTTTGCTATAATGATACTAAAAGCATGCATGGAAATCCTATATAGAGAACTTGATTTTATTCACGATGGCTCTTTTTAAGGAACAGGTCAAAAAAGTGGAACATGTGGAAAAGTTTAAATTTTCCTTTAAGCTTCTAGAATGCAATTACATAAACAAAGCAACAGAGCTCTTTCAAAAATTAAAATGTAAGAACTCATTTTTAAAAGAATGAGAATTCCGTGTTTTCCCCATTTTGATTTTGTATGAAGGTGAAAATTGAAAATGCAGAAAATGCGGAAACCTTTAATAACCAATCATATTTGTTAATTTGATGAAAAGAGAGGTTTATAATGATTTATTAATCCTTTGATAAATTGATTGATTAATATGATTGATTATAAAAGGTTTCACCCTCGTTCAAATTGAAAACATGGAAAACGTGGAATTCTCATTCCTTTAAAAAAAGTTCTTATATTTCAATTCTTGAAAGAGCTCTGTTGCTTTTTATGTATTTGCATTTCTATGATGCTGGTTGATCCATTTTATTTTTGTATATATAAGGGATTAGAAAAAAAATTCATGATTTTGCATTGTATGAGGGAAATGTAAAGTTGCGGCATTATGATGTGAAAACAAATTGATTTTATAGGCATACAAATATTATCCAGGTATCTGTTTCATCATTTTCCAAAATTTCAAAATGATTTTAGTTTTTCTTTTTTTTTTATTTAGTGCTCTTTGGAAGAACTGTCTCTGGAGGCAAATGAACTACTAGAAAGTCCAGCAAAAGAGCCAAGGCTTGATCTTGAGAAAAGAAGATCTTTAAGGAGCTATAATGGCAAAAGATTCCTAGAAGCAAACCAAGTAATCTACATCAATGAAACAGAACTTTGTGTAAATAACCGTTTTGGGTCTGTATTGAAAAATGGATCTCCCTTACCACATTTACCTTGGGCTGACCCTAAAGATGTTTGGGAAAGAATGAAGAACAGAGAACAAGACTACAAGAAAGATTTTCATTATTTAAAGAGGCACCCTTCATTACAAGTTAGAATGAGATCAATTTTGCTAGACTGGCTTATTGAGGTATATCATTGAAGATTCTTAGATTTTCAATATCACTTTCATGTAAAATTTAATTATATCAATTCAGGGTATAAATATGAAGCTCTTGATGTGCATTGGGCATAGAGTAACATTATATCCATGGTTTATCCTATTTCTGCTTGCAGATACTTACAACTTCTTTCTGGATAAAATCAGCAAACTTTATCATGTATTCCCATCTTCCTTCTTTCTTGGGCTACGCAAAGGAACCTTCCATTTAGAAGTTGACTATGTTGGACAATATCTCCACTGCACACTCCTTTCCCTCTTAGAGCGTTGCTTCTCTCTAAGAGCCTTCCTTTTAGGGTCTTCCCCAAAGAAACCAACTTAATAACACATAGCTGCTTAAAATTTGTCTTTGCTGTGAGACACAATATGCTTTTTAATTCTCCCAGTTCAGTAATTTGTTTAAGTGTTGTAGGCTTGAAAGCTGAAGTGTTTTCTTTCCCTGTTATCATTTGATAATCATAACTTGTAATTCACTGTGTTTTTCATTGAATAAGAGTACACTGAATAGGTTTTGTATTATCCAGTTTCTCAACTGTAAGATTCACATTCACTTAAAGCTGTTGTGGTGTAAGTCCTAACTTAGGTGCCTCATATTCATGCCACCAGTTTTCTGTTTCTCAGGTTTGTGAAGTGTACAGGCTACATAGAGAAACCTTCCACCTAGCAGTTGACTTTGTTGACCGCTACCTTTCCTACCAATCAAAAATAGCAAAACAACGGCTTCAGTTAATTGGAGTAACATCTTTGTTTATTGCATCAAAAATTGAGGTGAGAGAATTAAGAGATATTGGAATCCTTCTGTGCTATGTTGTTTTTTATGTATATTTTTTCTACTAAACTTCATGATAGCAAAAAGAGATATTGTATAGGTGCTGTTAGATTCAAGAGACAGGAACTGGTTTGGCCAGATAGTCTCATTAAGTATGTCAAAATAAGCTAAAACCATTGGCAAATATGTTAAGATAAATGCCCTAGGGCAAGCTAGGTAATATGCATTGGCAGTGAACCTTTTACATCCTGTCCAGTTAAGCAACATATATCTAAATTTTAAAATTGGATGTAAGATCTTATCACACTCTTTATTAGGACTGTTCATGTTGAAAATCTAATGCATAAAAAATTTCCTTTTCATGAAAAATGATGTTCATTTTTTTGTATTTTATTATATTGAAGTTGGCAATGCAGAGTTTGTCTTTTTCTAGGAAATATATCCCCCAAAAATAACTGAATTTGCATATGTGACAGATGGAGCATGCACTGTTGAAGAGATCACAAAACAAGAGCTCTTGATTCTTCAAGTAAGATCCTGTTTATGTTAGGATAATCTTTCAAACTATGAGCCAATTCCATGCTGCTTTTCAACTATTTGCAGTTTTAGCAGTAAAATCTGTACTGCCTCCGATGCTCAACAAGTGTTGGCTATCTTTGCTACCTCAAGATAATGCTAGGCATAGCCTTTAATTGTGTTCTTAGCTCCTTTATCAGAAATAATGTATTCATTGTAAAAAGCCACCCGTTGCAAGAAAGTTACTTGTGAAATTGCAGAGCATGGCATTTTTAAAATTTGTATATGCATATTGTCTCTGATAATCACTCACTTTTTGTTTGACAATAGTTTGTTTGACGCTTGACAACAAACAATAGTTTGTCCTCTTTCTGTTTGAATAATAGTTTGTATTAAGTGCTATTAAGAACAATATTTTTTCAGTCGCTGAAATGGAAGCTTAGTCCAGTAACCTCAAATTCATGGTTGAAAATCTATCTTCAAATTGCTAGTAGCAAATCGTCAAGACCTCAAAGAAATAAACCAGAAACACATTTTGAATTTCCAAGATATCCTGCAATCCAGTTAGCACAAGTTTCACAGGTAAGGGGATGATCTCTACAAAGCTAGAGAACCATAGATATTTCTTGCTAAGCTAAATGGCCAGTCAGTAGCCAAGACTTGAAGTTTGATAAGAATTATCGATTCGGAAAAGGATCAGAATGTCTCTGTCACTTTTTAGAGTTCAATTAATAATTTTTGCCCAAATAAAATGATCAAATCTACTTTTATTGATTGTAATTGTTTTTTAATTGATTAATTTGGTTATGTATTCTCTGATAACTTTGCTCTTTTTTTAGTTGACAGATTTGTGTATCTTGGACATCCAATCTCTTCAGTTCCCAAATAGTGTCATCGCTGCTGCAAGTCTTTATCACATCTTTCCAAACCTTGATATCTCTTTAGTAACTGGTAGGTTTAAATCAACAATATCTTTCTGGTATAAATGAACACAGGATGCATGTTTTATCCCTATGTGTACTTTTTATACCTGAATTATTCAGCAGAGAAGACCAAATAAATTTTAAGTATATGCATGTTATTGACTTCAAGTATATGCATGTTATTGACTTGTTTATTGATTGCTGATTGAGTGATTATGTGATTACTGATTGAGTGATTATGTGATTACTGATTGAGTGATTATGTGATTACTGATTGAGTGATTATGTGATTGATTGATAATGTTTATGATTATACCAATGATAATATTGTTGTTTTTTCTATTTTCTCATTATGATGCCTGATAACTGATGGATTTCTAACCGTTATTAGTATTGCAGACGAGCCAGTTACACGAAGCCTCTAAAAAAGCTCTTTCACCCTTTGTGTTTAAGACAAAACAAAATTAAGAAACTGAGTACCTTATCTAGAGTTAAGTTTCTTTTAAAAAATGGTCAAAAAATTTTTAAAAGCTGTAACGGCCTTACAGAACATATAATGCCAAGTATCAGTTTCCAATAGCGTTTTCATTTCAATAACGTTGGGTGTTAACACTGTTTCGCTAACACGCCGCAGGCTCGCTAGAACAACAAATTTACGCCAAACTATGTATTACGCTAACACAATGCAATTTCACTAAAACAACGCATTTACGCTAAAGCTAAGAAGTTACACTCACACGATGCAGTTTCGCTTAAACGACGCATTTATGCTAATTATATGCAGTTACGCCAAAGCTATGCAATTACGCTAAAACTACGCAGTTCAACAATCTTTGCCTTTTAAAAAAAATCGGTACTATTCATATTGCTTTCCTTTAATCATTATTCCCATCTGAAAACGAAATTTGATATTAGAATAAATAAACTGAACTGAAGAAATAAATTGAAGAAACAAACTGGATAAAATTCAAGCCACTGCTATTTCAAAATCTACTTGACTCTTCAGCTGAGCTGATCTCCATACTTGTAGTTTGCACTTTCTGTTGTCTGTTGCGGGCAAAATCATTTTGCGAGGGCAGTGATTAATCCGCGCAAATAACTTTGCGGGGCTGCTAGCAAGGGTGATCGTTCATGTGATTCGAATAAACCTGATTATTATTAATCTTTTGTTTTTTCCTTCTCAATTATTATTTATTGTTCTCACTTTTATTACAGTTTCTTCTTCTAAATTTAGGCTAACCAGTTGCAAATATCCTTTGTATTAGCGAGATTATAGCTTAAATGTGATTGAATATGAAAAGTTTCCACGCTAATGATATTGGTTTTTATCATGCAAATTTTCAGGTTATCAACTAAAAGATCTATGTAAATGTATTCAATGGCTCGTTCCTTTTCACGAAGTTGTAAAAGACAGAAAAGTCAATAGCATCAAACAGTTTGACAAAGTAAGTTATTCTTTTGTTGTACCAAGGCTGTAATGCCTCCCAAAGTCTTGGAACACTAACGTCTGTTTTCAAGGGCAAATTCAGCCACCCCTTCCCTTATTGAAAAATATTAGTTTGCTACTTTAGGAAGCACTTTTTATCCCGCGACCTTTGCAATGTTTTTCTCAACTAGCAACATTGCTTTGGGGGATAGGGGTGTGTAAGCAGAAGTATTTTGGATAAGAATTCTATCAAATACAAAACTATAAAAACACTATGCAAATTGTTGGGTGTTGCAAGTACTTTTGGAAGGCATTGTCCATAAATTAAAGTTATCTTGCAAAAATTGTTTTTTTAAGATAATCAGAAGTCTTATTTGTATTGCCCAGCATTATATTTATTTCTTAAAGTCGTCTGCCGCAGCTTTCAGGAAATTTCATTGCCCATAGCATTTTGTCGAGTGCTGCGGTGCGAGAACGACTGGAATTTGCAAGAAACACATTCTTGTATGGCAAAGTGCATCATCAGTGCTGATTGAAAAATTATTATTTGGTGATAATGAGAAGTTGACTTTGATACCTATCAATTGACAACAACATCCGAAGTCCTCTGATGTGTTATTGGAATTAAGTTAAATAGCCTATCGGAAAAATTCCCAAGATGCTTTGTTGCCGTTGTTTCGTGTCATTTTAAATGATCGCTGCTTTTCCTTATTATTTATGGCTTGTTTGTATACCTTCATAACCACTCTCATACCAAGCGTTTGCAATAATTTAATATTTATGTTTCAGATTCCGTTCGATGACGCACATAACATCCAGGTTCATAACAGTGGGATTTCTTTGTTGGTAAGGCTTTTATTATTCTGTTCCATTATGAAATGCATATTCATCTCTCTCTGTAAAGTTTAGTATTATCTGTTGATATTTAAACTAGAATATTCATTTCGTTACAAGTTTTAAGAAACTCGCATTTGTTCCATAATGGTTCTATATATTCTGGATATGAAAGTTGACCGTAATAAATATACCCTTTCTACAAGAGCGCCGGATGAGCCAGTGTAGGGAAAACGTACAAAAGGCTAAAGCTCACGAGAATCTTTAAACAATAAATTTGCTTCAACTAGACGTATAAGTTTCTAAGAGTTGTTAAAACGAATCATTTTTTCAGGATCAAGTACATGAAAGAATGCGCAAGGCATCAACAATGGAAGCGATAACACGGACTAGCCCAATCCAGTACGAGGGCATTTTAACCCCGCCCAGTAGTACGAAAAAGGATTATTAGCACGTGTGAAATACATGTGTGAATTGGTTATATAAATGTAGATTTATATGATAATTTGTGCTAGAGGTAGCCGGCCGATAATTTATTCACGTGTATCTGTAGATTTCTATGTAGATCAAGAGGTATTCAATCAAACGACAGCCTTTTGTCGAAACGAGCTGATATTCGCTCGGTTTTATCATAATATGTAAATGCATGCTCCTTAACGGACAATAAGAGAAATTTCGACAGCTATTTTAAGTTACCGAGATGTAACAAGAAATTTAGACATGATTTGTCACCAAGATTCTTCAATTGATTTACAGGGTATTTACTCTTTTATGTATTCGTTTTAGAAATTAATCTCACCCGGAAAAGCCCCTCTTGAAGGCACATTTATCGTCTTGTCAACAAAACTAATCTGTAAATAAAATCTTCAGATAAAAAATATCAAATTATATTTTAATTTCCTGGAAATAGTTCATCTCAACGTTTGGGTTTTCAATTTTCTTGAAAGAGGTCCTTTTAGTTGACTTGATAAATGGTTTTCTCGAGGTACAATTTCCTTATCTTGGTAAAAAAAAGTCTTTATAAATACCCTAACCAAGTCGAAAGTCTCTCAAACTAGACATCCCTAAAATGATCAAAAAAATTGCACGACGACAATAAATCAAGCATTTTAATTTCGCACCTTGAGTAGTATTTACTCTTCGTGCTATTGTGTTTAAACGTTTTGACCCTTTGCAGGATCGTTTTCAGCCTTAGAAATATGCGTAACATTTTTGGCACTATTTTAAGTGTCCACCTTCCCAATTAAAATGGATTTTTCAAATTTTTGACTTATCTTCTTTTTTAAAATAATTTTGTAAAAAATTGCTCGTAGAACTTATAAAAATTCCACGAGACTTAAAAACCAACCCCCCCCCCTACCCTCCAATTTTCTGGCAGGCCAGTGTCAATAAATTTATATGCTCTATGTTATGCATATTTCATTTGAATTCCTGCACTTTCTTTGATAAAGTTGTTGCATTGTTGATTTTATTTCTTCACCTTAGGGATATTTTTATCAATTATTAATATTTTCAAGTGTGTATTCTTCCGATAATAACTTATGAATTTGATTTCGCAGTTTTCCTCATTTCTTTCAAACTCCTCAAAATTAAGTGCCTATGTTATGCCTGCAGTAAACAATCTTTTTTATGCAATCCTTGAAACTGCTTTGAATATCCGTACATTCGCTACTTGAAAAGCTAACATCAACAGTGATTGAAAAGGGACTGGGAATTCTAACAAAGCACACATTTGCACCAAGAAGTGTCCGATGCTCTTGGGACTTTTTCATGGTCACCCGACACTTTTACCATTTCATTTGGGAAAACTATAACAGAAAAGTAAACTGCCCATGTTTGAAGGCATATTTCTTTCGGGATTGCCAACTGCAAGGAACCGTTAGCGGAATTGGTAATCGCAATTTTGGCTAAACTACAAAATTATCGCGACATGGTGTGGTGCGTAAGGCCTGCATTCACCGGCAAGCGCATTCAGTCTGCAAGGCACCGGCAAGCGCATTGAGTCTGCAAGGCACCAGCAAACGCATGCAGCCTGAAAAGCCGATAATGGTTAGATACAGGTAAGTTACTATTTATAAAAACTGTACGAAGAATGTGCCCCCGTGAAGCTTTGATTCGCCTAGCGGATATGCAACTTTTCGTTTAGAGCAATTGTGCAGTTAGGCCAGCATTGTTTCTAAATTTCGTAATATTCACATGATTTAATTGTATCTCAAGTATGCATCTTATGAGATTATTTTGTTCTGTTTTCAATTTAAAACTATTTTGTTTGGAACCCATCTGTAGACTTAGCCCTAAATAGTTTTCTAAAGCGTAAAGCCTAAATAGTTTTCTAAAGCGATTCGTTGCAGTTCAAAGGTAAGCAAGGTTCATGCATATAGTGCAGTGAAAAATATTGTATCTATATTAGGAAAAATGAGAAAATATAGTCATGTGATCACATACAGGAAATGATTTGGGAGCTTATTCTTTTAATATACAGATACTTAGTGTTGTAAATTAACTTATTTTCTAGTTTTTTGGCCTTAATTTAGACATAAGGTAGCAAAAAAGAAATTTCTCTTCCGCAGAGGTGCAGGTTGTTAGCGTTTCATCTTTGTATACCCTAAAATCATCCTAAAACCCAAAACAAAAAATAGAACCAAAGTTTTCCGCAACGAGTTGATGTTAAATAGCAGGAAAATGTATGGTGCCCATAATTTACAACAAAATGTCACTGGGGTTTAATTTATCTACAATTGAAACTGGACTATCAGCGAACCCAACCACTGGGCCATCCTCGCACCTTTCGATATGTGACATACTTTGTTGAAAAAACGCAAGGCAATAAGAAAATGGCTTAGAAAAAAGCAACCATTTTACGACATATTATATGCTAATTACTAAAAGCTGTTATTCAAGATAATCCTTCAAAAACAGAAAGGCATTACCTTGAAGAAACTCTCATGATAATCTAGATATAACTATTCTAAATATAATTGAAAAAAAGAAAAGAAAGAGAAATTAAGACAACAAAAAATGACCGTAATCTTATTCGTCCGTCTAGAATTGTGAGGCACTAAAAACTTTACTAGAGTAATATCATTTCAATATACGTAAAAGAATCTTGAAAATAAGAAACAGCTCCAAAATAAAAAGGTTTCGTTAATGTATTGATGTCAAGAACTTATTTAAGATCAATTTGCGATCCTAAATTAGATGTAAGAAACGACAAACTAAAAGAAGTATGGCACAATCAAATTTGAATAACTACGGCTAGAATAATATTGAAGAATTGCGAAAACAAGTCGAACAAAATGTTTACTTCTAAATCTGCTTCAGAAAGGGAAATCCATAATCGCATTTTTGAATCGAATTAGTTTCATCGCAGGAAAGTTTTTTAAGGTTTTAAGGGGTGAAAAGATAATTTAACCTTACGGAGCAGGAAGGAAGAAAAATGAAAATAAGGTGCTACCTCGTTGGATCATTATATCGTGCTTTAAGGAAACAGGCGGCTTATAAGAAATTTGAGCACGAGAAAACATTGCCTTTCTAACGATGAGCATTGCCTCCAATAGTAGTATAGTAGGAAACTGATCACTGCTCCCACCAAACACAGTAAATTATCACCAGATGTTACTGTTGCATTCACTAAAGACACCTATACTGACAAGCGAATAGGGCCTGTCTGAGGGGCTTAAGGCACAACAATGTATCGAAAGGAATAGTATTTTGAAAAACAATGTTTTGCTTAAAATACGATGCCATTATCAGATTCAGTATGACATATGAATGCCAACTTTCTTTCTGAGTAGCGGAAATTAATAAAACTTAGATTAGTTAACTATTTTAAACACATTTTAACAATTTCTAAAGTTAGATATTTGCGAGAAAGTAATCTGAATTAAAACGCTTAATGATAGGGCCATATATTCTTCTGTCTTATTAATGATCCCTGCTCTTGAAAAGTACTTACATTAGAAAGGGTGAAATATGTCCAAGTTTATTTCTTCCCTGTACCGATTCAAAAAAAACTTACAAGGAAACCTTTTCTGATACGTCACTAAAAAAGATTATTTGCCTCTTGTAGACAGACAACCCCCAAATATGGTTCTCTTAAACACGGAAGAATTATACCTAATCGAAACTACTTCTATTCTTTGATCCACTAAATCTAAAACTGTAGGCAGCAGAAACTAGTTTAATCGGCCTAAACATCTTTCTGACGACACTGCTTTGTTTTAGCGACAGTGACGCATTAACTTACACGTCTTGTGTTTATTTAAATACTCAAACAAACTGCCTTGCCATCCTACTCATTTATACATCGACAACGGACTGCTCCGATATAAACACAAAGATGCATCTTCAAATAGACGCAACACTTTCTCTGGGGTATTCTTTGAGTCAGATTCAGCAAAATTCAAAGGTGTGTTATCAAACCAATCTTTGATTTCCGGACATTCGACAACCTCGGGTACATTATGGCCTTTTTCTCCACCTAGAAAAACCGGAAAGTTTCAGCGCAGTTCGATCCATTAAACTTTGTTCATTGGTTATTGAAAACAAATTGGTCAAAGGTACGATGTGTGATCCATGTAGAGAAGCCAGAACATGGTTGCAAATAATGAAAATCTAAAGGTTTGTTGTTGAGAAAACAAATTACACAAAAATATCCCAAAATGTTCTTCGAAATCCAACTTTACAAAGTCAGAAATATCGAATTCAATTTATAGAATCATTTTTACTTTCAGATTTATTTCAATCAAAAATAAGTTGCATATTTGATCTGTTCTGAATATATAGAATGACTAAATTTTTCAATCGTCTACGACATCACAAAGAAGACGAAAAAGCGAAATGATCAAATGAAGGAGCCATAATGAAGGAGTCACAATTAAGGAGTCATTCTTTGGGTTGAATAACACGCGCTAGAGTTGTTGAGTTCTATATACATGTCAATTGGCCCCAAGAAAGGGGGTTGCCTAACTCATAAAAATACCTTTAAGAAACGAGGGCATAGGCAAGAAAAGAAATCCATCAATTTTCTTTTTCCTGAACTCAACGGAGTTGAACGGGTTCCGTTTTCAAAAAAACAAATTGGAAAAACTGGTAGGTGATGTGACATTTTGCGAAACACGGTTTACACATTTAGATTCAATGAATTCGACAGAACTTAACAAAGATCTTTTAAAAATCATGTTAGCAATAGAGAAATTTGAGGCCAAGGTTGGAGAACTTTGTGGCAAAATTTAATTGTCAGATTTCAGACTGGGCAAAAATCTCTTTAACGCATTAAGAAAATTTAAGAAAAGATATTTGTGCATAACATATTTCTAAAAACTTATAAAAAGATGCAGCCATAGCCAAAAAAGAAATATCAATTGCAGCAAGGACAAACGAAGGTTTTTTCTTACCGACTCGATCGGCCATGCTGTCAAAAAACATCCATTTTTCATTGGCTGAGCCACCAAGCTTCGTAAATGCAACGTAATGACTTGTTTTTATGCAAACAACTGCAAAAAGCTCAAGCTTCATGATGTCTTTGTTTACACTGTATCCATTTTCTTTCTGCGTTGGCAATTTTTTCACTTTGTGCTCGACCCTCGCCGAATGCTGGTGGACCATATCATTACATTTTCGACAAAAGTAAATAAAAGGGTGTTCCCATCCAAATGAATGACAACACTCTCTACAGCTCACGTCAGCCAGATTTTCACAGATTAAGCATGTAAATGATGCTGCAATGAAGAAAGTTCGCAATTCAAAAGAAAAAATAAAGAAAGAGGATGCCATATAAATTTGTCATGAATGAATAAAATGGGAATCTATAATTGTTCATTCAAATGATTAACGCTGTTACAACAATTTTTTTGATCACATGCTTCTTTTTATGAAAACCCCTTCGGTAAGAAATCGAACAGGAGATTTGGCACCCATTTTGGCAAAACTAAGAGGCGACTGATATGGTGTTTTGTTCCATGTTATCAGATGTTTCGTCTTTGGGTTTATAAAAAAATGCTCTTCGCATCTGGTATACAAGAAACTTTTAGAAAATTTTGTCACTAAAATAACAGAAGAAGATTGCTAATCTTGTGCTTAGCTTATTATAAAAAATGCGCATAATTTAGGAAAAAACATGAATTTCTAAAAAGTAATGAAAAAGCATAAGGGAACATCCATAAACAAAATGATACAAAAACACAAAGTTTCAATTTAACTCAAAATCTCGTCGTTATGAAAACCTCCCGCATGTACTCTACACCAGACGAAAATATCATAAACGCTACAATTTCTTGGCAAATAGATCAAAGAAACCAGACTCACCAGACGTCATAACACTGGAAATATCAAGAGTACGATTGACTCTGATTCTTTTGTAAACTTTTTGCATTCCTGAACGTGGAAGTTGGACAACAAAAACAGATGGCACCTACGAAGGTGGAAAAAAGGTTTACAATGATAACAAAAAAGACAGCATCTTGATTTTATCTTGAGGATCGGATATGCACCCGATGTCCGCTACAACGGATTCCCAAAGAGACAAGTGGAGGTTGTTTTCAAAATATTGAGACAAGAAACGTCTGAAAATTGAGGAAGAAAAGATAGGAACATCCCTGATGATGATAATGAGGATGGTTGGACTAAAGATCGCCTGTTATTTCAAGGATGGCCTGTATAGTCTAGCTTGTCTAAGGCTTCATTTCAATATTACTTGTCATTAGCAAAGTTTTCACAACAGCAACGAGATGCTTGTCCAGTAATATAAAGTTAGTTTTGCATTGGTTTTGTTTTATGACAACTGCGGGTTATCGTTTAACGAATGTAAATTTGACCAATCGCCTAGTTCAGGGGCCCTTATTGATAACAGTACATGTAGTACTAGCAAGGTTTACCCTGTATAAATAGTTATTTTATTAGTGTTCCACAATTGAAAGAGCCAGTCTTTGTTTACTGTTGCGCAGACTCCTGCTGTGGACGGTAGAGTCTGGGTTAGTCAGATGGATTCTGGAATGTATAAATGACTGACAATACACGCAACTGTTTCAAAATGGTTTGCTACATGAACCAGATATGGACTTGACAAGACAAAACCCGTTTACACTGGCACAAATACAAATTGGTACTGATTCGTTTTCCAGTTCCAGTGTAAAAATATACAAAAATCGGTATGGTTCGATCAGTTTTGCATTTTCACAAGAACTGTGCAGATTGAGTTGCATTCAAAGGCAAAGTCATAACAGAAATTATAAAACAGGGGGTTTAGTTGCATTGAGTCATCGTTTGAAGAAGCATTGGTACGTAAACAAGAACGGATCAAAACGTTTACACATTGAAAAGGGGACACCAAATTGGCCTGAATGAAAACAGAGTCCATCATACATAATCAAAGCTTTATACAAGCCAACCATTGTAGATCAATAAAACTATCTAACCTCTTCCAGATAGAAAAGTCCAGTGTGAAATGACAGCTCTATCAGGTACTGCAAAGTTGGCACCGGGTTGTATTCTTCTCGTTCAACCCAAATTTGATAAAAATATGACGCATCGACACGGCCAGTGTTCGTTCTGCGAAAAAAGGGAAACGAAATTCCAGAAGTTAAACACCTTGTCACGTTAAAAGGAGATAGTCTTCGGTGCTTAGAAAACTGTAGATATTCAAGTGCCTACTAGACACGCAGTGGCTCTAAACCTGCCAGTTCCATTCCCCCTCCCCCTAAGGCCCCTGGTGTACTTTCTAATAAATCTAAGTGATATGTAGGATATCTTCAAAATTAAACCCAAAGTTGCTCTTTCTCATATAGTACTGCCTTTTCTAAATTCTCAGCCAACAAGGAAGGGAGGGCGTGTAGCACTGTCTTAGTAAAAGTTGACCTCACACAAAGGTGAGACTCAAACTGAGCATAGCTACTTTAGTTTATAGGGGATGTGGAGTAAATTTAGGTTTTTAAGAGATGTTATCCACGTGTGGAAAATAGTGTCAAATAATTCATAGACCTACTAACATAACATTTAGGTGCAATTGTACATTTTTCAGTTCCAGAAAACCTGTTACTGAAGGTTGTGATTTCAATAAAAAACAGTAAACCAATCAAACACAGTTATCAGCTGTGATGCATACATATTAACGAAGAAATAACAAATAGAAAATACTTTTCTTAAGAAATCTGATGTTTTTCCTTAAAATAATATGTGAAAGGATAGTCTATTGACTATAAGATTTTGCTAATTTTTTTGCACTTATTGTTGTTATTCATTGATAATTTGTTATGGTTTTTACTGATCCGGCTCACTTGACATCTTGTTAGGCCTTATGTTGCTCTTGGACTAAAATGAGTTTGGCATCCCTGGCCTACAACAAGGTATTACTGTTTCAAAAGCAAGGTCAATCAGATAAATCACCTTATTTTTAAAAAAGGGTCCACTTTCAATACATCTTTGAGAAGCAGCATAAGAAATTCCTCTGGATCTAAAAATTGGAATTTCACTATTAAGAACTGTAACAAATTAGCAGCAAATAAAAATGCTAAGAAAAAATTTCCCGAAAGTAAATTGTTTTGACGCTATAACGACGAGAGCAAGCATACCTTTTTCTTCGTTCATGAAGCCTTGAACATTTCCAAGCCTATCAAGCCAGCCTCTGAGTCTCAAAATGCTTGCAGCGTTAACAAAGCCCTTCCTAAAGTAAACCATGATCATTATTTCAATTAAGAAGCATTGCTGTGCCTTTCGGATCAGTCGCGATTGATTTGTTAGACGTCTGCTGAGATCTACACTAACTGGAATAAGTCAAGTGAAATCTCCTAGTCTCACTCAAGAGTTGTCCAGCTATCATTTCAGGGGGAAACTAGAGCTATTACTCAACGTCATCTAATCTTGCAACACCACATATAGTTAATATAGCTATGTAGTGAGTCGTAAACCTTTGCAATATCGGCTACTTAGGACGGGCAGCAACATGTTTTTCGCTTATTTGTACAAAGAAACCAAAAAACCAAATAAATGTAAAATTGCATCTCAACCATAGGATTAAAATAAAAGGGTTTGTTTAAGTTCGATCATAGGTTTCTTTTGTCATTGTAACGTGGTTGATTGCAAAGGCCTTAAAAATGTAACGAGTGCACCAACACACTCGGTCTGGTCATCATGTCGGTCTGGCAGCCGATATCCTTATTTTGGTCAGAGAATTCTAAACTGTCTTGCAAATTACGATGACGGAAGTATAGCAATGATGTTGATAAGATACCTTCATGTAAAACACCTTCAATCAACCAAATAAAGATTGACAAACCTGTCATGTCTTGCAGACAACATTTTAGATTGGGGGTTCAGGGATGTTTATGCCCTAATTTTCGAAGATTGCTTCGTCAACTTACATCCACTTTCGGTTGATCGATATTTAGGTTGCCATCATATCGAGCAAAGGGCCTAATTGCGAAGGAAATGAGAAGCGAACGTATAGCGAAAGAGAAGGGTGTCACCAAGATATAAATTGGCATTTCCCAGAGACAAATAAGCATTACACCAGAAAAGTATGTTCGTGAATAAATATAGTCTACTACTATAAAGACTTACGTTCTCAGTGGATTGACAATCGCATTTTTTAATGCATTCCTGACCTGTTCATACTCTGGTATGTCATTATCCCTTTTTTTCCTATACAATACAGAGTCGAAGGCAACGCTAAATGCAAACATAGCAAATAGTGTCGCATCTAAATAACATGAATTGTGATGCCCTTGAATTCCTCGCATTTTGCCATTCGGAGCTTCCTCCGGCGTTACTGGTGGTAAGAAATTCCCCAGTACTTCTTCAACATCTTGGTTGGCTGGTAAAGCTGAAAAGGAAATTGATCAGGTAGGTGTTGCAAGAAAAGCAGTTATCCAATGGTTTAACAGATCCCCGGTTCTTCCGAAAATTGCAATATTTACGATTGATGGGTTCACAGATGTAGGGGAAACCTCTTTACAGTAACAAATTCAAGGCCGTCGTTCATACTCAAGCAACATGAAATAGCAAGCAGTTATGTATAGCCGCCTTCAAGTTCAGAGAAGACTTACACGATATTAACATATTCCTATAGCCTGGAAACCAGACAAGAAAGACGGGGCTCATGGTGACGTCATTAAACTGTCACTGGTATTGTTAGAAACTTTGATAAAATGTTTTAGTGCCCCTCTTAGCTCGGAACCTGTGACAGTTTGTACCCTTGCCCCTTCACGACGGGCTACTGTGACGTCACATGATCCTAAAAGTACCTGAATTAAAAAAACACATTCTTGTCTGTCGTTAGAACCTCTGTAGATCGGGGATAGCTTGGAACGCAGCAAAGATGCTCCCAGTTCTTGCAAAACTGTAAGACGCGACTGGAATCGTTGGGGACCGTTTGGGATACTAAGCTAGTTTCATATGTCACAGGAGTCGGGGATCAGAAAAATTCCCCGATATTTATTATTCTCGAGGTAGATAAGAAGTAAGCTTTAATCAATGCTCTAACAAACTGCAATTGTATATAGGTATCATGGAAAATGTCAACGTCTCAAAAGATAATGCTGTCACAGAATAGAGATTTTGCAGATGAAAAACGCTTAAAATACCATAATCCACACAGACGTTTTGCTTTGATAAAGGATATAACATAGCATATTTTAATACCACGATTTTAGCACTCTGTTTAAAGGCTGTGCAAAGCAGAATGATAAGAATAGGAGAGATCTCCCGGCTTGACTTTCACTTTTAACAGGGTATAACAGTAAAAGTAACATCGACACTTTTGTCGTACGCTGAGCTATTTGTTAACTCGGTTTGGAGAAAACCAATGCTTCCATATCGGCTGGAACATTTTATATAAGAGACCGCCAAACTTTAGGAGCTATAGATTATTAGTGGAATTGAGAGGTCATAGGAAAGTTCAAAACAACAACTAACTTTCAGCTGATAAATTTGAGATGTAAAATCTCTGCAACACTTATTTAGGCTCCTATGTGTATATTTAATGTGGGTCATACTAAAAGCCGTATAGCTCCACAAAGAAATTAGCCTACAAAGAAGGAAATACTCTCTAAAAGAAACAACTTTGAAATGTTCAGTCAGACAACATACCTTCGGGAGCGGCCATGCTGGCAAATCGCTTATCTGTTTTGAGGCTTCTATGCTTGGTGAAAAATCCCCGACCAGGAGCGCAATGAAAGTATCGCTTTCCCAGCAAAGAACCGTCTCCGGCAAATTGCGAGGGCTCTTCCTGCAAAATATCAATGCGATATGAATATGACATTAAAACGACACAAATGCAATTTGAAGGCAATATAATTGCACTATCAATGTAGTACAAATGCATACAGTACAAAGTTAATATCAATTAAGTTTGATTGAAAAATGTTTGCAACATTAATGCAAGTAGGAATGCAATACGAGCGAAGTACGAATACAGTATTAATGAGATAAATGCAATATAGATGCAATCAAATGAAATATCAATGCAATGTAAATGCAATATGAATGTGATATGAACGCAGAATGAATACGATATTAATGTTATACAAATGCTATATTAATGCCGAATGACAAAATCACTGCAGTTTGAATGCAATATCAATGCAATATAAATACAGTATCAATGCAATACCAACGCAATATCAATGCAATACAAATGCAGTATCAATGCAATACCCACGCAACATCAAAACAGTATGAATGCAATATCAATGCAAAACAAATATGAATGCAGTATCAATGCATACCAACGCAATATCAATACAGTATAAATGCAGTATCAATGCAATACGAACAGAATATCAATGCAGTATCAATGCAATATCAATGCAATACCCACGCAACATCAATACAGTATGAATGCAATATCAATGCAACATCAAAACAGTATGAATGCAATATCAATGCAAAACAAATATGAATGCAATATCAATGCATACCAACGCAATATCAATACAGTATCAATGCAGTATCAATGCAATACGAACACAATATCAATGCAGTATCAATGCAATATCAAGGCAAATAAATGCAGTATCAATGCAAAGGGAATACCAATTCCAGGCCTGCTAACAATTCCTGGCGTGGATCTCCTTCACGAAAGCCAATCCACCGGATTACACCATAATGAGCCACTCCGATGATGCTAACTTGAACAACTGAGTTGACTTGAAGTGTAGGGTCTATGGCATCTGTAGGTCTTCTATACTCATTTGACACAGCATCTAAAATTCAATCGCTTTAAAAATGAGGCAAAAACAGCAAATACATAATAAGTTTGTGAGGCGGCTTAACAGGAGAACGTACAGTATTGGGATAATTTAATAAAACATCGTATTTTGGATGGGAAGTTGTTGCCTGATGTTCTACACACCAAACAGCGTGTATAGCTCTGCCTAAATGGCAATCGAGCATTTTATGACAGACCGGTAAACAGTAACTTTCATCAGTACTCTGATTATGCTCGCCACCATAAAAAGAAGTTTTAGGGTTAGCGGCAAATATGAACTCTGGAAACTCAATCGGTAAATCAAGCCACAACAATTTTTACTTGTTGAAATAGACATGACACTATTTAACTTCTCATCTCAACCATATTTTTATGGACCAGCTGAAAGTTAAAACAGACGTGTTATGAATATCACTCTGGTAATTTAAGTCATGTTTGATATATACTAAAAACAGGAAGCTGAAATTGCCAATAAACGTATGACCGTTGAAAGGAATGTTGAAGCTGACTTTTGAAAAGGCAACTTCTAGAACATTTCATTAAAAAAGTTTATCCTGCATCTTTCGGTCAAAAATTTCTTGCCTAAAAATCTTACGGTAAATACTGAAGCAAAATTTGGTTGTACTCTTTCTACTAAACTAACCTCTTCTTTTACTGAATTCTTCTTCATATCCACGGTAGGCAGAATCTTCAGGGACGACGTCGATGCTAATTGGAGAATCTTCAGTAAAATTTGTTTTACCAACTTGCATAGTATTCTTGTTTCCCATTAAATCCTCGTAAGAATTTTTCTCACCAAAATAGCTATCAAAGTATCCGGTCTCTGCAGGTATGAATCTTGTAAGCGAAGAAGGCTGATTTTGTGACACACGAATCAACTGCAACGCCTGTTCTGCAACAATGTCATTTCTACTGTGAGCTCTCTTATACTTTCTTCCCTCAGAGACTCTTTCTGCAAGATCAATTTTTGCTAATGAAAACCTTACACAACCGAATCAAAAATTTTGAAAAGATTTTACAAAAACAGAATAATAAGTGTCAACAAAATAAACTTAGTGAGCAAAAGTATTGAACAGGTTTGACAAATGAGTAATGGCGACCGCGTTGTAAACAACATGGTGATCGAAAATAAAACCACTTTGAAGCCTTTAGGCGTCTTTTTATAGCTAAAAACCAATCAAACTAAACTTCAAACTGTTGGCAACATTTTGTTTTAAAGATTGCAAAATTTTACTTTTCAAAAAGTAAAAAAATGAGCTTTCTGTCGGACAATCTTGCAGCCTTTATCAAAAAGTTTAGTAACAGGTTCTGTTAATTGCGACATCATAAGTTCAGAAAAACATTTGCAAGATAACATTTAGGTGTTGGAGTACCAAGTTGATCATAAATGGCTTTGCATTCGGTGGAAAGTGACATATTTAAGCCATTGTATTATGCCTACTCTTCTACAGCTATTGAGGCACTCGAGTAAACCTGTTTATCACGGAAATTTTGGCATTTTCTTTTAACGAGAGGATGAAATGTTGCTTTATGCAATTTGCTGCATTATTTGCTCCTCTTACGTCGCAATCGGTTGGAAAAAATGGACTTGATGATTTGTGACACATTGCTGCAGTGCCGCCATTTCTGTTTTAGCCTGTGCAATACTAAATATAGATACAATTGCCCTGAATAACATTGACAATTTTTTCTATCGTTATATCAGAAAGTTCACTCCACAAAGCTGTTACTGTTGTAGTGTTAGATGTCTGGTGACAATTCTGTGTATTCCACAGCCAACCAAGCCACCCAAGAACCTTAAATATTTACTGACAATTTAAAACTAAGATTTAGAGTTTTAAAACATAATATAAAAACATGAAAAGAGGTTTTTTAAAATTCACCTTTTTCATGTTCAATGATATCAAACTGGTCTTGAGGATTTGCATAATAATCTTCTTCAGATAATATGGCACTGGGTTCTGTGAAATATCCATGATTGCGCTTACAATTAAACAATTTTTGACCATGAAAAGTACCATCACAGCTCCCCTTAGGTGAATCCTAGAAACACACAAGTAGCAAAATGAGCCGTTTACATTTGCCAAACTAGAGCGCATCATCAACATAGCATCATTTTTTATTCCAAATACCCTATATGATTGCAATGGACATATTTAAAATGCCTGCAAAACTGGATTCTTTAAAGTTTGAGACCAGACCAATGACTCTATAAAGATGATAAAGGAGAAAATTAATTCATTGCCTCATTGCTTTGGCCTTATTTGGTGCGTCTGGCTAAATTAATTCATTGCCTCAATTCTAAAAATAGATATTTTTGATTATATAATTTTGTCACTCTAATGTTTCTACAATTTTATTAGATGATATTTTGTAGGCTTCTATATTGTGCCATACAATGGCAAAATTGCATTACTAACGTAGACATGATTATACCATTTTCTCTTTAATTAAGAATCTTTACAGAAACATTAATTGTACCAAAAAACAACACTTTAAGGACATGCCATTTTTAGGTTGATTCTATATTATATTCACTTGGTGTATCATAGCCAGAGGTTTCTGTATCACAGCAACAAAATTCAGAGCAAGATGTCCCAGCTTTCTACAAAACTTGATACATTTTGGTAACAATTTCTATTATTCTGCTTTTTCTCTATGATTCTTTTTCTGATTGGTTAATTTAAAAAATTATATACTTGATGTAGCACAGAAAAAGCAGGGGACAGAGTTTCTCAACTTTAAATCATACTCCATTCTCTGTCAATAAACCATAAGTTTGAAAAATTGAGAAACTCACCAATTCGATTCCAATTTGCACATCTTTGAGAAATTTGACCTTCCCAATAAACTTTATAGTTCCTTTAATAGGCTTGTCTTCAACAAACACAACCACCCTTTTTCCAGTCTCAAAATTGTCCCACTTTTTCATTGGTTCAATTGATGTGGATGATGCTTTCCTACCTTTATTATCCTTTGAATATGTTTTTGGGCCATTGAATACCATGTGGTCTACAGTGGTCATAACTTTATTTTCATATTTGCGCATAGAAATATGTTTTGACTCTTCTTTTGAATCCTATAACATATAACTACATTAGACGAATGAAAAGATATCATAACTAGTAGCAGATTAAATACAATACATATAAAATAAGGCAATGTAAACCAACTAAAATATGTACACTTAAAAACCACTGGCTTCTAATAACATTAATCTGTCCGGCTTCTAAACAGAACATCCTTACTGGGGACTGTCACCAAAAATGACTTACAGAAATGAATAGTGCTGACCCTTCTTTATTATCTAATTATCTATCAATATCAAGAAATGCTTACTGTGTCCCAGCATCAGGCCTTTTTGTTTCAGATGGGTGATACCCCTAATCCTTCTCAAGGCCCTTGCAGAATAATTAGTGCAGGCTGTTGACTGCATTTGCAAAAAAGAAGTCTTCTTCAGAAGAGACAGGGAGAGCATTTAAGGAAAAGTTACGTCCTGTAAGTCACAGTATTCCTTTGTGAAAGGTCAATTTGTTAATGAAAGCAAGCATTATTGCTTCATTATTCAATTTACAACAAAACGTTTGCTTCAAAATTGGCGACAATCACACAATTAGAAAACCAAAAATAAAGCTCCAGCCCTAAAGGACTTTCCTTCACAAATATTGCTTGATGGGTGATCGCCCTTGTAAGCCCATCATGCAGGTTGCTCCTCATCCTAGTGAAAATTGTTTACTTGAAGTGGTTTACTTTAAGTTTTATTTTGTTCATACCTAATATGGTGCTGCTATCAAGTCAAGTAACATGGGAGCCTTTAGCAAGAATATAAGATGGCAACTACGGGGTCAATTTCTTTTTAAGGCTGGGTTTTGAAAAGATCTTGACTGAAACTGTTATTGCTAGCCACTTGAAATCGGACACTTCTGTTTTAATTTGCTTTTTCTAATTTTTTTTGACAGACCAACACAACTCAAACTGAGAGGCCTGAACACATGCTCAAACAATTATAACTAGGAGTCTTTAATTTTAGGTACAATGTCATTGATGACCATGCCATATTCTGTGGCATGGATCCCATTCAATATTTCAAAAGAATTGTTCTCATGATGCCATCCTTACAACTAACACCTTACCATACACAGCTGCTACTCAGAATTCGTCGTTTCTAAAAGACTGAACACTCCAAGAACAGGCTGAACACCCCAAGAACACCCCAAGAACACCCTAAGAACAAGCCATTAAGCCGCTGAACACCCTTTAAAACATATCAAAATCGGCATGTCATTCGAAAAATAATTTGATCAATCAATCAAAATTAATTTTGGGGCGGGAAAGGACCTGATAAGTCTAATGCTGTTGGTGTTGTTACAACCAACTGATGTTTTGCGCGCCAGAAGTGTGAACGGGGGTTTGTACACGCGGAGCAAATTCGAGTTTGACTCCCTTTGTGCATTGGAGTCAAACTTCCATTGGAGGAAAAACTTCATCTTGCAGGTTAGCTACAGTTTCTATATCAGTCCATGTAACTAATAATTTTTACAATATATAGTTGCCTAGGAAGGTAAGAGGAACCGCAACACCCACAAAAACAAACAGTTTTCCGATAAAAGCGCTTAAAACTGTGCCTTAACCGACGACTAAGCAAAAGCTTGGGGGCGTTTGCCCCAAAACCAACGCAATTTCTGCCACATACATACCGTAAATCCTCGAGTTAGCCCCCATGGGTGCTTATTCATTTTTGATATTTTTTGTATGGGGGCTTATTCCAGGTGGGTTCTTCGACTTATACGAGGGGAGGGGCTTATAAAATTATTGAAGACATTAAGAAGATATTATTAAAAGATTTCGTTTATTTTAGTAGTAATTTTTTATGCGCATTTAATCAATTATTACCAAAAGTATGAATTTTTGCGGTACTTAAGAAAAAGCGCCAAAGGCAACCTTAGATGGCAAAAACCAGCAAACTGAGGGGTCCGATTCGAGCATTAACGGCAGCAGTGGGGGCTTATTAATAATTTGTAGTTCTAGGGTGGGGGCCAATTCGAGGATTTAGTGAGATTATCATGACCCCATTCGAGCACGGGCCCCAAAAATGTGCCCCTCCTAAGCCCTCTTTTAAGTCGCAAACTGTGGTCCTGCTGCTACCCTCTAACAAGTCCAACACTGTGCATTTTCTGTTTCATTTGTCAAAAAATTCCTTATAAAAAACCTCTCCAGCCTGCGAGTGCACCCGCTGGAGACGTCAAGAGAGGAGCTGTGTCTCGTTCTGCTTGCACTGGTAAACTAGTAACTAGCTAGCGTGCACTAGCATAGCGTGACCATTTGGGCAAATTAGCGGACGGGAAGAACAATTGTTTGGAAGACAATAGGTAGTCAAGTGACATGTCGTATTTTTACATTGTCACAGGATGTGAAAGATTTTCAAAACAACGGGAATTTGCTTGAATGCACAAAGGGAGTCAAACTCGAATTTGCTCCGCGTGTACAAACCCCCGTTCACACTTCTGGCGCGCAAAACATCAGTTGGTTGTAACAACACCAACAGCATTAGACTTATCAGGTCCTTTCCCGCCCCAAAATTAATTTTGATTGATTGATCAAATTATTTTTCGAATGACATGCCGATTTTGATATGTTTTAAAGGGTGTTCAGCGGCTTAATGGCTTGTTCTTAGGGTGTTCTTGGGGTGTTCTTGGGGTGTTCAGCCTGTTCTTGGAGTGTTCAGTCTTTTAGAAACGACGACTCAGAATTATGAAAAACCTATGGTTATCCAGTGCTGACCAAGTCTTCAATGTATGGCAATTCTTGACAAGGTCACACATATTCAAAGTCCTTTCAGGTATGTTTTTGCTTATTCCTCCTTTTACCAATTGGCAATTGATCACATTGCTTTTAAAAGAGGTTTCTGATAACATTTTCTCCAAATCATAATTGCAAATTAGGCCTGCGTGTGTCAAATTTGGACCACTATTGCCACTAAAGCCCCGCATTTGCGACATAAAAATGACATCAAATACAAGTTGGTACTTACATCAAGTTGTACTAAGAAATATTTTCCTGGTCTATCTTCTGTCAGTGTTTTTATTTCTTTTATTTCACCTTTCCTCCTAATTCCATCTATTTTGACCTCGCAAGAATCGTTAACTTTGGCTGCCAAGGCATCGCTGAGAAATCCCCGCTTTGAAAACAACTCGAATCGTGTATAACCGTCTTTTATGGGCAGTAGAAGGTCGGCAACATCGTTGCTAATTTCTGTTAAATCCCCAGTTTCTACTTCTAATATTCTGGAATCATCACCAATTAAAGAGACCAAAATTCTGTGTAAGTCGGTTGGCTGCTCGTCATCAGGGCCATCCTGAAAAAGATCTCCTTTCAGAGCAGGGAATGAGTCGTTTGCATTAAACGTCTTTTCAGCAAGGTACTTTTTCACATTTCCTAGCTTTGATCTTGGCACGATCTTTCCTGGCCTATCCTGTCTTAGAATGTACTTCCTTTTCTCACTATCCATTTAACATGAAAAGGAATAACATTAGAATAAAACCCTTTTCACTCTGTTCAGCTCATAAGGTTCCTTCTTCGTCCATCTTGACTCTACCTGACGTCATTGTTATAAATATAAAATGTCTAAGCGAGACAAATCGTGAAAACGAGTCAACTGAGTTCTTGGAAAAACTGGGCATTCATAGCTAACGTACATGACGTCATACAAACTATGGCAACCTAGTGCATGAGTGGTAGTATGACGTCATCGCATTCCAACCATTTGATGAAAAACTATATTGCAAGCGGCATGAAATTTAATTGTTATGTCAACTGCCAACAGTTATCTGAAATTTAAGCAACGGCTTCATACATAATTATCAATGGTAGTTACTCCAACTCAGGCGAAAACGTAGGAGAGAGTTTTCGTAGCTGCACACGCACTAAAACGAGTTCTTTAGATTCAACTGTAAGAAAGTGCTTCAAAACAGGGCTTACTTAATGCTTTAGAGTAGAATAGACACTTTTTTCCGTTTTTCTCTGTTTGTGTGTGCTATGAATTGAAACCCCTTGGAGAAAAAGCTAAATTCCAGCTTTAGCAGAAAATTCCCCGAACGAAGTAAGCAGAAAATCTGGCAAACACGCCCCTGTAGATTAAGCAAACTACAGAATGATTTCGTGCGGTCATTTTCTTGCATTCGCCTAAAACATTTAAGGTAGGTCACTGGTGGTATAGGGCTCTCGAGCTTTTTTTTAGTTCTATGTTGAGATTGTATCAGTTAGAGATCTCAGTTTAATGTAATCCGACCAAAGTGATACTGTAGATTTCAATTCAAGTTAGAAAATGATTTGATTAGCCGTTGCTATGGTAACGAGCGATCTTTTGTTTCTGAAAATCCAAAAGTTAAGTGTGCATTGATTTTCTAACAGCATCATCAAAAAGTATTGTTCTTTATATCAACTAATTTGTTAAGAGCTGGAGAGTGCAACTAAGCCTTATTTTCCCATTTTTTACACTTATTGTAAAAATTGATGTAAAAATACAAAACGTGAGTGATTATGCAAGGTACAGGCGCCAAAATAGCTTTCGCATGGGCTGCATGCAGAGCAGTGTTATGCAAATTAGATTGATCCAGACGCAAAAAGAGATTTGGAGTGGGCCCACGCAGATTTGGTTGCCACGCAGATTTTAGTATCACACCGACCTTCCCTTACCTCGATATCCCTTGTCACTGTTTTGCGTATGAAGGTTGGTTGGAGAATAAACACAAAAATCACAGGCATTTTTGTATCGACAGCTTCCTATTTTTTGTTTCTTAATGTTAGTACTTTAAGTTTTTTAAGGTTTTCTTAAATACCTTTTTCAACGCACCAAGCCGATTTAGAAAAGACAAGATTCTAAGCAAAAAAACTGGATAAAAAGTGAAGCTGACAAACAGCCGTTATATTGAATTTAATTTTTTTCTTTTGCAAATAGGTACTCTAATCGGATAGCGGAATAAGGGTGGCACATTTGAAGGAACGGGCTTATTAAATACTCATTGCTAAAGATAATGGCTTATTTGAGAAGGGGATAAATCAAATATGTAAATTTGGTTTATGACATCTGTTCTACTACATACAAACATGGGTACGTTGAAGAGAAACAGGCGGAGTAGTTTGGCTTCCTTTTAAGAGTCCCGTCATGGTCAAAGGTAACCTATCCCACCATAGGTAACCTGTGGTGAAATTCAAACCTGTCAACTCTCCCGGTTTTGCCGGGAGACTCAGGATATTGCTTGCTTTCTCCTTTTCTCCAGGTTTTTTATGATTTTCTCCCTGTTTTTTCTTGTCTTTTTGCTGAGGTTTTCTTATAACAAAAATGAAATGACTTTCTTGCAAAAAATGACTGCGAGAAATATCCTGGAATGTAGTTTAAGCTAATCTAGAGGGCGTGGTCGCAAAAATGTATTTCATACATACCTGGGGCCTTAAGCCTGAAATACACGATCAGTTTTTATCAGTTTTTTGACTGACAGTCTTCAGTTTCACCAAGATCGATGTCCTCCATACACGATCAGTTTTCTTCAGTTCTAGACAACTTTTCGCCGGCCTGGGCATGACATATCGTGGGCATGACATATCGCGAAGCATTTTAGTGCGCTTTTCAAAAGTTGGTTTGTTTGTCAAATAATGCTATCAAATTGAGCCCCCCATTTGATTTTCTTGGCGCCGCCCTACCCTGGGAAAGTATACTTCATCCTCTGTGTCTAAATTTTCATGCCATCTAATCATAATGGCAGATATTCGCGTATTTCCGAGCTTTCCTTCGAAAATCAATTGTTTTTTTGCTTCAAGTACTAAAAATTCTTAACTTTTTCCGATTGCCCAGTACTCGCTTTTTAAAGTGATTTTCTTTCACAAAAAATGAGAGTAGAAGACTATTGACCTTGTACTGCAAAATAGTATACAAAAACACACCATTGGTTATATCATGTACATGACATATCAGTTAGTAGCTTTCACATGAACCCAAAACTGTGCTTGAAATTGTAACCTTTACTAAAATCAATCTAAAACTAAAGCATATTTTACTCAGATTATTGTAAGCTTTCAGCAATGTTATATGTAAATTCAGATTTATCTAAAAAAAAGAAACTAAACACAGTATAATCTTATATTACAATCAAGATATTTTAAAATACAGTTGAAAATTTTTTTCATGTATTTGTCTTTTGTTGATTCATTTGGAAAAGTAGAAGTAAAATCCGGTATAAATTCCCAGCATCAAAATCACCAATGTCCCAAGCAGAATTAATCCATCCTATTAAAAAAATGAAAAACAGTAAAATTCAAAGAAAATGAAAATAGTTAAGCCTGAATACAAGGAAAACAGAATTAGCTAGCTGGCTAACGGTCACATGGCAATTTTATGCATTTTAAAAATAGTCCAACAGATTTGTACAAATGATTATCAAAGATCCCATTCATGGGTTCTTGGAAATGGGAATTCAAAAACGAGCAAGTGTTTTATCTTTCTGCTTAATCCTTCTACTTTTTTATCATTCCTATTTTTTATTTATTGATTCCCTTCTTTATTTTGCATGACTAACAGATAGATTCTTAGTGGATGTTGAAAAATCCTAAAGGACTTTGAAATGTAAATTATTCGTAACTTGAAAGGGTGCTGGGCAAACACTGTGCTGGATTAAGACATGACATAAACATGGCAGGCCTAGAGAGCAAACAAATATATAAACAGTAACTGAAAATGTATGTGATGAGCAATGGTGATGAGAGTATTTAAATATTTACTGGAATGTTGAAGAATCTCCTAAAAAGTCTTGCTTAGGCACCAGGGGCAGACACTTTGCCAAACATTAGGGGGGCAAGCCTATTATTTTGATAAGATGATGTCACATTTTCCATTGTTTTACAACAAAAGACCAATATCCTCACAAACATTCGGGTGACTGCCCCCCTTCACTCCTGCAGGTATCTGCCACTGTTAGAAATTGTTGTTTCTATAGACACATAGGAGTGGGAGACATAATGGCTTGAGGGCTACATCCTCTCCCCAATCAGAGACAATTTTATCTCATTAAGCAACAATATTTGGGTAAGACCCAAACTAAGCCCCCTAAATGTCTAGCCTCTGCTATGCCCATGTTTAGACACTTTCAAGCTGTATACTTTGAAGCATAATCCCAAAAAAAGAAATTAAGGGAGAAATGTCTTTTACTTTATAAGAAAACAGGATATATTTAGTTTGTATATAAACTGATTATTTACTTCAGTCAATGGACTGTTCACTATTTTTTCTAGATGGCACATAGAATAAAGGACTCTTGATGGCCCTGGAAAGATTATTGTTATCGATTTTACCTCTATGTCCATGTCATGGGTTACTTTCTTTAACAAAGTTATAAAACTCAATGAAGAAATGCAATAGGCAAATACATACTTTTAATGGCGACTCTGACTTTCTTGCTTGTGCCTTGCTCCGAATTGCTAATGTGTCTCTTTTACTTTTCCCCTTGAACTCGTGTTTTCCTGCAAAAATTCATAAAGAAGATTTCGATGATCAACTTGAGCATCTGTTTTTGCACTTTTTAAAACAAATTCAATAAAATCTTTCCATTGAAGTCTGAAGAAAAGGGATTCTATCAGTTAAATTCAACAAATTCTGAATATGTAGAAGGGACTTAACTCAGGTGTGCTAACCCTATGAATATATGGCTAAAAATGCCAAGCAAGCAATTATGTATGCTGTTCACACTTATTACATGATATTGTGTGCCAAGTCAAAAAATGTGTCAAAGATAACAATACTTTAATCCTGACTTAATGAAAAGAACATTTAACATGCTTGCACTCTGTGAAGAACCTGCAACATAAATTTTATAACCTTGGCCCTTATTGAATACTTCAGTATCAAAATTTACAAAAAAGTCGAAAAACATTTGAAGGCTCAAATTCTTATAGTGCAGTTGTTAATTTGGGTTTTGAGCAATCTGAAAAGGAGGGGCAAATTTTTGAAATCACGATTTAAATTTAGTGTAGGCTTATTAAGTTTCCAGGTGCCCTCAACTCAAAGCCCTACAGTGTCAATATTGGCATGTTTTATTGCCATCATAAACATAATCATTAAATTTCCAACCCACTCCACTCCATGCAAGTCCAATTGAATTAGCTTCAAGTTTTCAGTCACAGGCACCGCGGAGCAGGAGCTGCCCCCCCCCCACTTTTGCAAAAAATGTTAATTATCAAGTAATAAACTACCAATAAAGCCTCTTTTTATACGGTTTTAGCCCCCCCCCCCACTTTTTTAGACCCCCCCCCACTTTTCACAACGCTACGCGGTGCCTGCATCCATAATAAATGTAGAAAATGACCCGTATGCTGGCATCAAAATTTGTGTGTGATTGCTTTAATTCAACAATCGATTTAGATCGTACGTTTACCTAATTGCTTTCTATATTTATCAACATCTGATCTCGCATGGTCAGCATCTCTTCTTCCCATATTAAATTTTGGTACGAACCATTTTTCAAAATAGGCTCCTCTACAATTCAATTGTTGTTTTTGCTGTTGTTGTTGTTCCACTACGTGGAAAATTTTGCGTCGTGTCGTGCCAGATAGGAAACTTTATTCCTTGCGCGGGCAAGTTCACGCGCCTGAAATCATGCACTTTTAAGAAACTTGTATTGTTAATAATGTGGAATGTATTCAAACATGGACTTTGCGCGGCCAATATGCAAAAGTGCGCGGATTGAAAATTTGAGTGCGCGGGCAATGTATCGCGGATACGCGACAAAGTTTCCAGTCTGGGTACTGCAGTGACGAAAATTGAACAATCATAACAGAAGATTTTTACAAAAGCTCTATTGCTTTGCAAAAAAATGTGTGGGGGGGCCTTCGTCGGAGGCCCTGAAATGGAAGGATGAAGGATACATTTTGCCCCCAGTTGGCTGAGGTCCCCTCCTACATTCTCAAATTATCCACATTTTTACTTTTTGCTGGATTTTTTTACGATCAAGATTTGATTGTGCCAATATTGTGTGAATTCAGTTATTGGATAATGAATTGCAATTTTTCATATAAGAATTTGCAACAGAATAAAATTTGACAAATTGATGAAGATAAGAAACTTTATAAAGCGAAATTAAACCTGCTACAATGCCTGCCAAATGAACTTGGAACACCCATAAATTTGCATTGCATTTTATTTCTTTAATTCCTTTTCTGAAAAAAATTACTACTTCCACCCACTTCCCCCTAGAACAATGTTGATAATTGCCCGCAACTCGCGCGCGAGTGAAGGGCTTATAGTCTGCCCCGCGTATAAGTAGCATATGGAAGCTTCAGTTCATGTTGTCAGCACTTTTTCAGCAGATTTTGTCACTTTTCTGCTGCCATGACAACTGTCAATCAATTTCATTGTCAATCAATCGGCTTTGTCGAGGAGGTCGTTAACCGCCACCTCTTTGTGCGGAAGGAAATTATCTTCGGAGCGTTGCTCTGCCAAGACTCTGTTAAAGGCCTTCGGTTTTTTTGGCACGAAAACGGTGCTGCATCACAGCTCTGTTCTCCGCAATGGATGGAAGTTTTGATTCGAAGTTTTGGGAATCAAAACCAGTCGAATGCCACACTTTTCTCCCAAAAACTCTGGACCGTACGAGCAAAAGTTATGATTATCGTGATTATCGAAAAATAAATGTCAAACCCTCGAAAAACTTCATGATTTTCAAAAGGGCGTTGGACTTAAATCAAAGGCAAACTGAACACCAAAAATTCTTGATAAAAAGAATAGTTTAGCATCAACTAGAGCAGCTGTTTTTATAGAATTGTGAAAACCCAAGATGGTGTCTTCTTCGAATATCCTGACCTACATTTTCAAAACAATCATTATCAAGGAACTAATTGTTTGCGGGCAGTACTAGCAAGAGCTATTTCTAGTTTATTTAGAGAAATATCATAAAAGAAGCGCAAAAGAAAATGCTTTCTAAAATCTTAAGCCGTTTCATAGTAAACCAATATTGTTCCCGGGGGGATGATTGATTTTGACATTGGAAACTGACGTCAGTGTTCAAAGTCTTTTGGCATGCATTGTGGGTGTACATTCTCACTTCTTCCCCAGAATGTATTATGATCTCTTTTTCTTCTTACTCTTCATCATTTTGTTCTTCTTTTTCATATCTTCTTTCTCCTCTTTTGCTAATCTTTTCCCCTTTTTTCTTCTACTTTATCATTAACTTCTCCATATTTCGCTTATTTTTTAATTTTCTTTCCATTCCTTTTCTTTCCTATTTTTCTTTCTTTTTTTCTTCTCTTCCATCTTATTTTACCCTGCTTATTTTCTACCTCTTCTCTTTCCACCTCTTCTCTTTCTTCTTCTTGCTCATCTTCTTCCTCTTATTCTTACAGAATTGACATCGTCATTTTCTTCATCCTCTTTAATCCTTCTTCTTTTCTTTTTCTTCCCCTTTTACATCCATGCTTTTTCTTTGGCTTTTTCACTTTTCTTTTGCTTTTCTTTCTTCCTCTTTTGCCGCTTCCCCTCGCCTATTTTTCATTTTATTTTTATTACTTTTTCTTGTTATCCTTTTAATTTGTTCCTTCTTTTCCTTCTTCTTTTCCTTCTTCTTTTCCTCCTTCTTATCTGCTTCTTAATTTTTGCATAATTCACATGTTGCTCCGGTTTACCAAAAGTCAACGATGCGGATCATTCTTCTTCATACACTTTTTCCGTTAGCATTTTCACACTTGTCTTCACTGCTTGTGCTTCTATTCACACAATCGTCCTATCTTATCGCTTTTTCTTCTTTCCGTCTACCAAGATTCATCTTCATCGCCTTCAGCCTCACTTTATCGTTCATCATCTCATCTATAGTTTTCACCATATCACTCAAGTCTTTCCCCTAAGCTGGCTACATTCACCTTTGCCTTACTGAATATTCATTGCCCTCCCTTGTTTTCCCTGGCAAATGATTGAAACAAATGATTTTATTATTTTTTTCTTGTTACTTTAGCATGGACATTATTGCTATACAAAGAGTGAGATCAGTCTGATTATTTCGAACGATAAACGTGCTGCATGTCAAAAGATAGCTCAAAATGTTGGTGCTGAAATTGATAACACCTTTTGGTTATGACAGATAACTTACACGAAAACTTAGGCTTGTTCATACAAAAACCTACACGCTAAGATTTCCCTAACGAGAAATTTTTTCCCAGTCTTTAAGAAAACCATAAACGCATGCGAATACTCATCTTATACAAGATGGATACCTGCACACCTCATAAGAATATTCTCATACACATCATATAACATCAAATACAAAGTAATGAAAATTACTTCATACCTGTCTGTCATAAAGTGCTTAATGCCGCATAGGCAGAGTTGTACACGCTTTTAGTGTATAGAACAGGACAGATCAAAGTTGCTGCTATTTACAATTACAGGTCAGGCATTGATACCGATTTCTTTTATTTCTTGTATACATTAACAGAAGCCTCCAATCTGTATAAATATACTTTCAAATTACCTTGGATCTCTCTATCTAACGAACATTACTCAACGTATAATTAAGGATTATGTCAGTTCATACTTACAACGTAACGTGGTTCCATATAAACAAATTTAGTCGTGTGAAAAAGGATTTATTGAGCCAGTCAGCTCGCATGATATCAGTGTAGCTCCTTAAGACATAGAATTATCGATAACGCTATCAAAAATACAAAGTCCTTTCGGCTTTGTAAAAATACAGCAATATCAGTGACCATTTATTCAATTTTTCAGAAATTCGTTTTAAGCTTTCAAAGTCACTTAAATTCCAACGGTTGCAAAAAGAATGCCGTCTTATTGGATGACAAACGGTTAGCCTAATTTCTCCATAGACGATGTCCCCATCCGAAATCAAATCTTCAGAGGATAAGCAGACACATTCTCGACTAGAGGCGCAGCCTGCACAATGTCTTTAAAGTGCCTAAGACAAGCTCCTAGAGTATGCAAATTTATGCATGTGATGATTATTCATGCAGATTATACTGATTTAGCAAGGTAGCGGGAAAGAGACACGACTATGACGTACCCTGAGTAACACTTTTGATAATAGAAAACATCCCAACACGAGAATGTAACAAAATCTCTCTAACATACGGTTAAATGTGTAAATTCATAAAGCTTTTGAAGCCAGTTTGTACATAAACAAAGTAAATAGCTATTTATATGATCCATAACCAGGAGGGTTCTAGGATTTCCTCACTTCTTCACCATTTTCATAATGTCTTGCGTAGTGAACGGAGCCTAAAATCAATAAAAACAATGATGTGATCATGGAGCTGAACTACATTGAAAACCGACAGGGCGAAACAGATCCTAACCTATTAGGTGCATTTTTCTCCGTTTTTCTCATTACAAAGCTGGTTCACGTTTTATCTTCCCTGACTTTAAGATTTTCGTTGTTATTTGGGATTTGGCGCGAGAAAAAGATAATCACGGCGGTAAAAAATCTGAAATCGACGCAACTTTGAGCAAGGACTTTGAGTTTGGTTGCTCCATTGGGACAGTAAGCTACGTTGAGATGGTTATTTACGTCAAACTTTGTTATGACTTGATTTCGAAAGTCATAGAATCAGTGCGTATTGAGAATTGAATCTCCTCGTACACACTGTCAAGTTCTTCCAGCAACAAAGAACCTACATTGCATCATCTACATACAAATCACGAGCAAATGTAAAGGATTTACAGCTGCAAAAAAGTGGCGTTGCAAGTTTTACATTATAAAATATCTGTTTAAAAACTGTTTACATGGGATGGGGAGTGATACTCAAGCTGTCATTACTTCACCCAAAAGGAAAATCCTGAGCATTTTGGAGAAACTTTGGATTTCAATAAGAATTTCCCAAATTGGCCTCTTGCAAATATACAATAGAATTCGTTGGTCTCAAAGAGTAATGTCCAAACATCCCGTGAACTTCGCGACTTAATTTTTTTCAACTTGTTCTTTCCAAAGAGCTTTTTGGTATAGATTAATAGGGAAACTTCCTATTCTTGCAGTCACTCGATTCTACTCAAGTATCAATGTACCAGCAATCTGTGCCATGAACATGTATAATTACCGGCAATTGGCTGCTACACTGAATTCAGGAAAGATGGTAGAAATGACCAATATAAACGTGCCAAGATCTAGGTATTTTGAACTTTGATTTTGGGCTAAGAATAAACACACATGGATGCTTCTTTTAGAAACGATCTTCAGCAAATTCACAATGCTTTCATAATGACATTTATATCAGATCGTAGCCTAACCCCATGAGCAAACTTTCTCTCTGTCACGTATTCTAAACGTATCTTGTTCTCTTAGATTGGTGCCATTCTCACTGCATAAGTATAAATTTTGTTCACCTATCCGTTTAGCCAAGCTACCTTATTGTTCTGTAGTAAGCAACAGCACTCATCAACGCTTACTTTTCTGGAAAAAATCCACAAAGCTTTGTCCTAACGTTGCAGTGTCAAAGATCTTCATCCATGCATGAATTACACACTGCTCTAGTTCCACCATTATTCATGGTTGTTTTGGGTGCTATCCTTTCCACGTTTTTCAATGCAAATCTTTCGATATATCACAATGAATTCAAGCATAATCAATAGCTTTGCTATGATTTGAGCAAATCACCATTCAACGTAGAAGCATTGAGAGAGGAGAGAAAGTGAGAATTTCACTTCTGCATAAGTTGACAATTTTCTAGAATCTATCTCATGTTTTACCCTTGGGCCCGAGGAAAATCTCGAAGGCCCAACTTTTACGCAATACCAAATTCCGCGTCCCACTAAAAAAATACAGCTTGAACTGTTTTTAATTCCTCATAAAATCCTAAGAACACTCAGCTTCAATCAATATGCTCCAACGTTACCTTACTTGAACAAAATTTAATCGTCTTTTACCACATTTTCCGGTAGAAACCCACATCACGAAAATCTTACCAAAATTGAAAAATAACTTGCAGGATCGCATGCAAGGAAGGATTAAAAGTTTCGTGTGAGATCTCTTTACTGACATATTGGCGAACATATTATCTACATCCACACGGAATATATTGTATCCAGGATTTCCTCAGGCCGTTCTCTCCACAAAAAAGAGAAAAACATTCTCAAAACTCGAATCTCAGCTTTCCTTGCCCCATCCCTGTCATGATTTATATTTTACATTAGAATAGTGAATTTATAAGTACAACAGTTAAAAACCTCTATTTGCGATCACATATTGAAATTTATTGCTAGGGCTAAATTTTAAATTCTAAAGCTGCGTACAAAAATTATGTCATTGAAAAATAATTTATCAAATAGACTTTTCGTACTGCAATTCTAGTATGCTATGTCTACGTTATTTTGTGCCATCTTTCAACTAATTTTTATCTACATGGAAGTTTATAAAAGATAGTTATCAGGTAATTGTCATTTTCGTTGGAGATAAATATAAGTCAGTTATTGTTACAAACAAGTTTTTATTGAGCTATTAAAAATTCTAATTGAAAAAGGAACATAATTTCATTCTGTGTGTTTGGTAGAAAACGATTGCTTGGATGATATTTCCAACTGCTTCATAAAAGTGTATTTTGTGATAATTAGCTTGGTAATTTATAAGAGGGGCAGACATAAATAAGCTTATAATTATTATCTTACTGAGAATTTATAACTAGCTAACTTTAGGTTTACTTCATTATCCTTTTAATATACTTATTCATGGAAAGTTTTAAACAATACAAGTCAGGAAATTTGATAAAAATATTCCATATCGCACCTTCAAGGGTTTTTGTATTGACTTTGCAAAACATCATGGAAGAAGTGTTTACCATTCTGAAAGTTTGGTTAAAACTGGTCAATAGCTATTCAATTTTAACATGGTATGGGAATTGCAGATTGATGTCTACTTGTGATTTTGAAGCTTCTTGGCACACAGTACTTCTGAATTTTGGAAAAGGATCCCCTTGACGAAAGCCATCAAATCTATCAAAGATGCTTCAAACACACCATAATTGCACAGAATTTGATTCTTGGTTATGGTGTAAGATTCTCCAAAAAATATATCATATGAATATATGGCAAACATATACCTTGTAAAAGAAAGCTACAAAAGAGGGTGTCATTGATGGTTATTAACTGTGACAGGAAAATGCAAACAGTTTGATGCAATGTAAATTTTCAAGGTGTACCAATAGCTATCAGATCAAAAATTAACCCACACTAATGCTACAAAAACATGGATGCCTTGGAAATGAATGAGTGATAAAAATATGCATCCAAATCTATTTATTTTTAATATATATTTATTTTTAAAATCTTGAACAAAAAAATAACAAACAAATGTGTACCTCTGTTGCCTCCATTGGCTCTTGTTTTATTCTCCTTTGTCGTTCCTCAAATTCTTGAAGTCTCAACCTTGATTGCTCCATTGTCTCTCTTAGATGTTTTTCTTCTACCTATTGAACATAAATGATTAAATAAGAAAATTTTCCAATGTTGAAAATAACAGTTAGTGATGGGATGTTTACATAACTGACTTTCTTAGACTGCTGTGAGCTGTTGAACTTGTCTAATCATAGTAAGATTGACCCTCTTCATTGCCCATTTCTTCCCAAACTCCCCTGGAGCTGCTTACCTCATAATTCCTTTTTAATGTTTTAACTTTCAATTGTCTAAATCTATGTTTAAAATTTTTTTCCTGATATGCCTGTAGACTCAAATGATAACTATTAAACACTGTATTTTAGCCTAAGTATTATTAGAAATAGCACTTAAAAATGTATTGTAAGTAATTATGTAACCCCCGTCTAGCCTGGTTCTAGGGTAGTTAGTAAAAAAACATGGCGGTCAAGTTCTTACTCGCAAACATCTTTAACTTTAAATTTTAATATGAATGACTGGCTGCTAAATGATAAAGACTGACCAACTGCTGCTAGCATTGGAGGAAACTTGGGGGAGGGGTGAGGGGGCTGTCATCCGTCCAATACTTTTGAGGACACTGGTCTTTTGTTCTTAATCAATAGGAGAATGTGGCATCATCTTGCCCCTCCTTAAAATTTGATTAAATGTCTGCCACTGATTGCAAGAGAACATTGGGTGCATGTAGTCTACAAAATTAGAATGGAATTGTGCAGGCCTTTCTCATTTGACCCTATACAGACTTTCAAAACTTTAGTTGAAATTTGGACATAGACAAGGCTCTGATTAAGAAGTTACATGCCTACATGATAAGGCAACTGAAGGATATCATGAGCATCAAGTGGCTTGATAAAATCACAAATGTCAAAATCCTGTTCCATGCTAACCTGCAAAGTGTGGCTGATATTCTTATAGAGAAAAATATTACATGGTTAGGGCACGTGCAGAGAATGGAAAATGTCTGACTCTTGCTCTACCTCCAACTCCAATCACTGCCAAAGGTCTTGAAACACTAGCGTAGGTTTTGAAAGGCAAATTCAGCCATCCCCCTCTCCCCCTAGCAACATATTGATTTACTATAGAAAAAAAGGGTTATGGATTATACTTTTTCTTGTGGCTTGTATGATATTTTTCTATACTTTCAACATTGTTTTATGGAGATCTTCCGTCAGACTGAAGTCAACCATAGTACAGTCCTAGTCAATTTGATGACTGAGAGAGAGAGACAGACAAAGAGCTATCATGTCTTCTCACCTTTGAGTTACTTTCATCATATTCTAGAAATCCAGCACCGTCAAGTCTTTGAACATCAACGTAGCCTTTGAACATGACACAAACACCATTCATGATAAATCTGCTTTTCAAATGAGCCTGTGAAAAAAATCAATTGATGAATGGAGTTCAGCATAGCATACCCGTGGGGTGATTATATCTTTGAATTATTTTTAAAAAAATGATTCAGTTTTGGAGATAGAAAACATTCAGATAGCCATAGACTACCAAGAGATGGAAATTTCAGTTCCCTCTATCAAATTGATTATTTTTTTTACTTCATTTAAGATAAACATGTCTTATGGAAAATCATGTCATAGTTTTGAATTATATCAATTAATAAATTGCAAAAGAGCTTACAGAACATAACTAAGTTAAATTGAATGCTGAAATTGCATTGTAGACAATTGTAAAGGGTTGTTAAATTCGTTTTTGACTATAAAATTCCTAAAGAGCTTTGTGTACTCAAATATGGCTGTCAGTCAAGGAATTTTCAGTACCGAGCCTTAGCCAAACTTTCTTACGAAAAATGTAGGACTAGGTATTCAATCTCAAAGTCTAAATGCTTCCTGTGTTGAAATATAAAAAGTAATGTAAAATAATTAAAATATTCTTAGTTTCAGAAAAGGTCTTTGTGTTTTTATAAAAAATTTGCCTATTTGTTATAAGGTTTCAGCTAGAGCCAAAGCACAATCATAGACAGTGACTAGAGAGTGAATAAATCTCATCAGAAAGAACTTGTGTAGGAGAAAAAGCAATTGTGACTACCTTTCCAGGTTCTTTATCATAATCTAAAAACTCTTTTGCTGGTTGTTCTGTCTTCTTTTCCTTTGATTGTGGTCCAAGGAATAGGAGAATGTTTGTTCCATTTGCTACAAATGACTAGACAAAAATCTACATGAATAACTTGAGAAAATAGAACCGAATTGCATAAAAACCTTTTCAAATGAAAATTATCCTGAAAAAGCCAAAGAAACTGATTCTTTCTTTTTCATTTCTTAAAGTTTATCAGAAAGTTGCTATTTGAAGCTTTCTTTGTTGCAAAGAAACAAGGCAACAAAGGAAAGAGCTCATAATATATTTACTTTGTATGTTATTTTACCATCTTGTAAAGTTAAGATTCTAATAGTTTAGGGAGTGATAAATAGGGGGCCTTTAGTTTAGGTAGTGTTCGAAAGAGCAAGGTTTCAAATTGATGACTCAAAAATGCAAAAAGGAGCACCTGGGTGAGCTGCAAATAGTTACTTTATCTCTCTTTCTGAAAATAGGGGCCCCCGGTTCCTATGTCTTTGCCCATAGAATCATGAACCAAGATTAACACTGCTCATGTTTTTAACAACAAGTCAAATATACAAAAGGTTTGCCTAAATTGTTTGCTATTGTTTAAATATTTAGCATGAAAAAATATTTTGATATGACTGCAAAAGTTTACTACAACTAACAAAATAATTTAATATCGTGATCATGATAGCAAAAATTTTGCTTCAAGACCCCCTGAGGAAGGTCAACCCCATCGATTATATCGTAAAGAAACTTACTATTGGACATCTTCCTTCTCTACAATCTGCGTGAAATCTTGAAACCCTTTCTTCGTGAGACCTGTCTCGATATCCGGTATATCTCACCTGAGAACAGTAATTATTTTAAAAATATTTTGATGGCATACTAAATTTAGAGACCTTGCAAGAACAATATAGCCATTGTTATCAATGGCCAATCGATGATTGGAAACCATTGCAATGTTGCTGTCTCGAAAGCAAAGTACGCTCTCAAGTTTACAAACAAGTCGAGGAGAAACAAACGATAGTGTATAGTAAGTATTAAGTTATTAAGAACAAAGGGATGTCTAAATATCACCTGGTTGTAAATTCAATGACATCACGAAAGAATAAGTTTCGCGAAGACCGAACCGATAACATTCTAGCTGCTAAAGAAATACTTTGATTAAAAACAATATTTATCAAGCTATTGAGTTAGCTTTGGTCTTGTTTACCGTTCAGGTGATAACATTATCTGAATCTTAGTAGTAACACTACCTGCAAAAAAGTTTACAGAGAGATAAGGGCCTAATGAAATATATCATGGAAACTATTGAAACGATTATTTGAGAAGTGAAGAGAAGTGCATACCTCCGATTCCCTGGAGAGTTTACGAAATAATTCATCGTTCTCAAACTTCGTTTTTTGGTCCGGTACAACTCGTGTCATGTTTAGCATCAAGGCAGTAACATTGCATTGAGACTGTGCTTTCGTGCGACAATTGGGGTGCAAGCTTGGGTCTTCAAACATGCATTCATATTCAATAATTGCGTGAAACCGCAAAAGAATTTCGTGCAATGGAAAGCGATCATTTATATCGCTTCGAGTTTTAATTGGACAATTTGAAATCTATTGTTTCCCCAGCACATGTCAGTGTCTGTCTGAAAATAAGTGGTTTGGCATTGATCAGAAATGAATGATTATCATCAACAACACCTTGCTAAAACTCAAACGCGAACTAAAAAACTCAAAGACCAGATTAGATCAGTTCTATTCCACGTTTTTTACTATTTTGCGCTTAATTTCAATTTCATCCTCACGTATTTCTTATTTTTGTATTCGAATGTCCTGTGTATCAGTAGCGTGGATAGTGGGAGTCAGGGAGAAGGGGCCAAAAACCCCCTGTAAACAGTTACTTTGTTGGAAAACTTCTGGTCTCGTCGGAAATTTAACATGGATGTTTAGTTTTTTATCCAATTGATATGGTTTATATTTTGATAGGAAAGATTTTGAAGCTGAATAAATAAACATAAGAGTATCTGATGAATATGCCAAAAGATTTTTCATTTCAGTTCTGATGTCGTTATATCATGTTCAAACTTATGAAAAAAGATAAATGCTTATCAGATTTTTGTCGGAAAATCTGAGTTTCTCGCCCCTCCAGTTTCTGTCCTTGATAAAGTAATTAAAGCCTCCGTACCAGTGATGTGCCTAGACAATTTTGTTTTGGGGGGGGGGGGCCTTCAGAAAAAGTGACGAACTTTACTTTTTTGACCGATTATTTCTGCATAGAAAATTCATTAACAATGAAATAAATGATCATATACACACTAACAAGTAAGAGCAAATGATGGCTTGAAAAGGAAATTAAATTTGCGGAAACTGATATTCCTGGATTTCGCGTTTTTGGGTGAATTCATGAGCATCTTTTTGCGAAAAGCCAATTATCTGCTAAAATGAATTACAGCTTCTTTTGAGCTCTTCATAACAATAATTGCAGCTTATAAAATTTTCACTAATCTATAGAATTTTATAAAAATTGAAGCGCAAATATGGTTGGAAGGCCGCCGAGAGGTTTTAGAGGCTCTGGGGCAAAATGGAAAGACGATGCCCCAGAGACGATGAACATTTTTTCGACCACACCCTTCAGATTAGCTTAAAATGCATCTCAGAAAACTTCTTGCAGTTATTTCTTGCAATCTTTTTTTACAGTCATTAGCTTGCCTCTTATAGCAAGTTATTTGCAATACCCTCTGTTTTGTACGAACCAGTGAATACGAGTTCAGGCTGGCTGTTTTTTCGAAAATCTGAGGGTTGATTGTTCTTAATTTGTTCTAAAATTAAAAAAATTAGTGAGATTCCTAGCGTATTCGCTCAAGGAAGATGTTCAGGCCTTATTTGCCAAAAAAATGAGTGAGACAGCTTTCATTTGCCGACAAGATTGAAAAATCACCGAAAAAGCACCCACACATGGCTAAAAATCCTCGTTTATAAGATAAAACGTTGTTCAAAATTGCATTTTACAGTAGCTCAGCCTCAGCTTGTTCTTAATTTGTTTTTAACTTTTGACCAATTTTGAGGCTTATGTTCTTATAAAAAAAGAGTGTATTACAAAAAAGAAAGTAGACTATGGCCAACCATGAACAATAAAATGAATGAATTGCAGGTTGAAATTTGGTCAAACTTCCTAATTAATGCTAGGGTCAGCTGCATGACCAACTTTGATTAAGTTTGCAGACATTTAGGGCGTGACGCCCTCCCCCACGCCCCCTCCCCAATCGGCACATCCCTGCTCCGTACCTGTAGTTGGCTGTTGCACTCGCATTTGTAACTGCAGTTGGCTTTCTGTCGCTATTCTGCTATTTTTCAATTTTAGCTTAGCTGTAATTTTAGTTCTAGAGTTTTGTTGAATTCCAGCCTGCCTTGTTTCGAATGTTCTCATTTTTAGAGAAATCTCAGCCTGATGTTTCTTATAAGGGTGATTCTTAAAAAACGTGTATCTTTGGTAACAAGCTCCAGCTGGTATATGCCACAATGCAATTTTTTTTTCAAAATACAAAACTCTACATTCTATCACAAAAGTGATAAGTAAGTTTCTAACTAAATACCCACCATTGCAAAGCAACTAACATGCGCAAACATTACAAATTAAAACTTGTACTATATATTTTATATAAAACTAAAAAGATTTATTAAGAACATCAACAATCATGACTATAAAGAAATAATGCCGTTTTGTATCGATGCGTGCGACACATCCCCCTAAATATTATTGTGTCATTTGGTGCATTTTGCTTTGATTCAGTAAAAAAATTTGGTAGTCAGTAATTATCAAATTATGCCAAAATTTTACTTTATATATCTTCTTATCTTCTTTGCCTTATAGTTAAAAACGAAATTGTAAAAATTGGCGTTCCTATCATTTTCTTGGCACTTGAAGGGTGTGAAACCAAAATCCAATTGTTTTCCCACACCTCCCATCCTTGCTTTTGAAATCCGTCTCTGCACACCGAATACTACTTCTCTGCGCTGTCAACTCAGGTACTCGTCTAATCAGTCAATACTCTATTTTTTGCAAAAATATTTTAATTTTTGTCCAGCCTCGATAGCCTGAACAAAAGTTAGTTTTTAGCCTTAATATGTTCTGAAAGTATCCTTATTTCTTCAAACCTGATATGGTTTGCATTGCCTGCCCTCTAATAAAAACCACGCTATCTCAAAAAACAAAATACCAGTCGTGCAATCCTTTGTCACGAACATCGTAAAGCAGGTAACGGGATGAAAAATGACACACGAATATGCGAGCTACAGCTGTGCAATATTATTATGATATTCTTAAAAAGTGGATGGTTCTGAGTCTGGATATTCTTATTTAAATCCTTGTCAAAAAAGTCAATCATCAATCAGTCATCATCACTTAGTCAATGCACAACATCACACAGCCAAACACCAATCAATAAAGCAATAGATATTACAATTGTTAAGAAATCGTTATTTTTACTTGCTTTTAGTTGAAAGGTTTAGGTGAATTTTATGGGGGCCTTATCAATTTTTGTTCTCGGACCTCAAAAGAGCATTTGATGGCTCTGCCTACTACATGTGTTCTTTGTTATAAAATTTTTGGGGGTTGGGTTGGGGGCAGATATTGTTTTAAAGCGATATACCGTTGTTTTGTTTCGCGGGGCCATGGCGCCCTCACATTTAGGTCATTGTCCTAATACGTTTGTCAGCTTTATGAAGGTAATAAGTAAGTACCAGTCAAGGTAAACAATATACCTTTTTCCCAACGTTAACTTGCAAGGTGCCTAATTATTATCTCTTGACCACATTTGATCTCTGTCCTTAACCCTCGATAATAGAACGGGGGCTTGCATTGAAGAACAAAAGGTCTCTGAACTGGTTACGACTCTATCGACAATGAAGGTTGTCAGAAAGATTTGAATGTCACATTAAGATAAAAAACAAATCGTCAAACAGTCATTTGCCTCAAGATGAAATTATGAACCTGCAAGTTTTACCTGAAAAGTCCATCTTTCTTATAGTTCTAGCGAGAATGAGCTAGAATTTACAGAATAGGAAAAATACCTGGTTTTCAGGGTTTGCTTTACCCGACCCCCGTCTTACCACCCTACCGTGACAGGCTTATGCTCTTTTGGTCGATCGTATTCTAACAAATTTGCATAAAGATTCAAGAAAATCTAGCCACATTTTCTGTTGTATGAACTTTTACTTTTGATTGAAGCTTAATGATATAAGTGAGCCATGAAAGTTTTGATATTTTTTCAACTATTTCTAATAGCGGTTGCTGATTCGAACAAATATACTGATTCGAAATGTACGAAAGATGAAAATGGGCAAGAATTCTGTGAAAAGCCTGTCGAAGAAGAAGATGATGAGCCATGTGTCTACGAGGATCCAAAAGAAAGTTTGTTTCAATGGGATCCGGTCGAGGTAAGGCTAACATACGGTTTTTCGAATCAACAACACTGACTTCTTCTAGGTATGGCAGTATCACTTTAGTATATTACAATTAAAATTTAACACAATCACAAATATAAAATCGCCCAGAACAATACTGTAATGAAGAATTGAAAATAAGTCTAAATTTCGAGCTACTCTGCTGCAATATTCCGAACTTTCAGGAAAGGCAGAAGATCTTCGAATCGTCCTAATTTTGAATGATCGAAAAGTGGCCTTAATGTTATAGTGTAACGAGAAAGCCTTTTCTTATCAAATTGAAGAAGCTGCTATCATTTACAAGGCAGTTGAATTGTTTGATTCTTACTGTCATTCAAGCAGCTGATCTGTAAAGCTGTGAATAAGTCGTATTGTGATACCTGGCCTTAGCTTTTAACCATACTGAAAATTTATCTACATCATTCGTGCTGGGAACAGAAAATTTTTGAAGCTAAGGCTAGTAAGACCACTGATAACAGATGTTAGAAATGTCTGTAGTTCTAGGGCAATCAATCTAAACAGAATACAGTACTGGAAATTGGTTTTTATCAAGTAGGTAAGTATTCAAATGCGACTAAAAAAACCAAAGCCATTCAAAATAAACAGTGTCAAAGTGTCAGAGGTACCATCAATAGGTCGAAAGATCGTCTTTCTATAGTGGCCTTCTACAGATACAATTCTGTTTCTGTTGGCCGATCCACAACTGGGTTTATATTTTCAATCGTGTTCTTTTGGACCCTTTTTCTGACGTTTTATACTCTGAGGAGTGTCAGACCAAGAAGCTCTAAGTAGTATGTTCTGATATGTTTGCTTTTTCAATGCCATTTTCAAGATACATTTCTCTCAAACATTTCCGCTTGTTTAAAGCATATAAGCTGCATATTATTACAAATGACATACTTGCTATATTTCATCATATGCTTTTTTCAACAGACCTCTTGCTATCGTTATTTGCATTTTTAAATTGTTAATTTGTTGATTCTCAGTCTCCAAGATATACACAAAGGAAAAGTCTTATATTTCTGTTCGCTACTTTATGCTCGAAAATCTTCAAATTAAACTTTTTAACAGCCCTTTATGATTCCTGTAGCTTTGTATAGGCCAGGACACATATTGTGAAGGGCTTTTATTGCATGCCTGCCCCCTCTCTCCAAGAAATTTCCGTTTACGTTTTTTTCGCTAGACATCCTTTTTGTCACATTTTTAATTCTGAAAGATTTAAAAACATCGAAGAGCCAGGGAAGTTAACATGTCATTTTAGCTGCTTGCAAGTCAAATATCAATTTTTTCCAATAAATGCGATTGTTGCTGATGCTTTAAACGGATTGCTACTGGTTGCACGTTTCCTGGAGACCACCGGTGCAGAACAGACCAATCACAAATGCCTCAACGTTAAAAAAGTTTTAAGGAAATAATTTTATTCCTGGCAGTTTTTAGCATAAATTAAACACTAGTGAACATTTATATGTTACTTAACGGCTCATTAAGACAGTTAAAACAAATATAGAATTATTTTTTAACATCTTACAAAAACTAATGTCATTAGCTGCAGGAATCTCAACTTGCTCGGAATGAAAGGGATTTTCAATGAAAGCTTGCTTTTACTTCTCAACCCCTTGAAGCAACAAGGAATTTTTTGACACAGCAAAATCATCGCAGCAGTCTGGCAAAGACGTTTTGCTGGAAAACCAGTCTAGAGCACGTTTATAGATCCCCTTTTTTACACAAAACATGGTAACTTAACAAGCTGTTAATCAAATAAGCAACAACATGATTGATCACATAGATCGAGCAACTCATGTAGCGGGTAATAACTGATTGAATATCCGCAAAATGTTTAACTAATTACTGCGTTTAGGAAAATGTAAATTTATATAATTTACGCTCATTAACAAGACGTTCTGTCACATTCACCTTTACTGTCAATTTTCGATTAAAAAAAAATCTACCCTTTACTATTGTTGTGTGGACCTCCATTTTGTTTAAAGGGCTCTTGTTCAGGATATTTTCTTGTCCAAAACATTTTCTTTTGTTGACATGATATGGTAGACACAGATGATAACTCACTGATCCTAGTCACATTCCCAAAAAGTTACTAAATGTAAAATCATATTGATAATATTAATCATTATCAATTAATCACATAGTCTTTTAAAAGAAAATGCTGAATATTGAGAAAGTATTCAACATACACTCATTTTTGCTTATAAGAAACTGGCCATAAGAAACGAGTACTGGACAGTCAGAAAAAATTAAGAAACTTCAGTACTCGAAGCAAAAAAGTTAAGAAACTATTAAATCGTGATAAAACTGAGAACAACAAAATTTTGTAAAATCCAAGAACAAGATTGCCCTGTTGGTCTAGAACTTAAGACACAAGAGATAAGAATATACTTCCCACATAAAAAAAAAGCATCGGAACGGAAGCGAATCTCTTGATGTGATAAAAAAGTCACGAAGATTTCATAATATCATTCATGGCATCATAATTAAGAAACTCTTAAGAAACAGTGAGTATTGAAATTTCCAGATCATTAAGAAACTGGAGTACTCAACATCGACCTTTGTTTCTTATAAAAAAATGAGTGTAGTCGATAATGCTTATATTCAAAAAAATATTTAATGAACAGAAGTAGTCAACTACAAAAATTATCAAAAAATTGTACTGACAAACAATAAAAATTATCATGAAAAATGAAGTGAAGGCAAGAGAAATTCAAAGTAATAAAAATAGTTGAAATATTAAAGCAAAAATCATGGCTGGGTATCAATTCGCCAACAAATAAATCACTGTGTGGATGAGTCGATTACAACAATTATTTCCGGTTCATGTAATGTTTACTTCATGCTATCTGTTTCAATATGGGATACTGTGAAACTATGAATTTTTTAAGACTGTCGATGAGATGTAGTCTTTGCTGCTTTAAAGTCATGTGATCTTTGACAGATTGTCATTTGTGCATGATATATCATTAGGAGTGTCTGAATTTTATGGCTTACATTGAGAAAAGTTTAAATTTGTATCTGTTAAGGTTGGTTATGTCAGAGAACTTGAGCTTGAAGAAGGAAAAAACTACAAGATGATTACAAAAGCATTGAGGCCAAGACTTTTTGGTAAGTTCCAGAATTTTTCCTCAATGAAAACATCAATTGAACCATTCCTTTAGGGGTGTAATAGTTTTTATTTTGCTGACGATAATGAAAAAATAACAGGATATCGTTTTAAAACTAAGATAATCTTAGCAATAGAAATTTCATTGATATAATTTATTGTCAATCAGCTGAAAAATGAATTCATTTTCATGGTGAATCAACTAATGCGACTTTTTTATCGCAACTAGCTTCATTTTTTTGAACAAAAGACTGTCCGATCTTTTGATTGTCTAAACATTTCATCACCGCTAAAAGGAACAACCTTTCAAAGATTATGTAAGAAATAGTAGTTGCTTTGCGTAAAACTGATGGAAGCCAAGTACTTTTTGATCACCCTCATTCAGCATCTTTTTTTGGACAATATTTGAAGTCCAAAGTTAATAGGACCAACATTGAGTGCCTGTAATGTTTGAAGCAATAGAGACCAGGGTTATAACAACTAAACGTGAATGCATGCTTATAAGGAAATTGAACCTTTCAATGCTATGCCGAAACAAAAAATGCAAAAAGACTGTCTATGAATGGTTCAAAGAATACCCCCTATTTTGAAAGATTTCGCCTCTCTTCACTCTCAGCCTTTTGGGATATAGAAAGGTTGCTTTGTCCCCATCTAGGGGGTTGTTTGGTGTTAAACATTTCAGATGACTTTTAAGAATAATTCTTGTGGTTTAGGTTTTAGGATTATAGAAGATTAAAAATTTCTCTAATTTTATCAATTTTTTGTCAAGTTGTTTTTACTTTGTATTCAGTTCCGTGTCGTTTATTTGTTACAAATTGCTGAAAACACTATCTGTAATATCGATTCTGACACCTTGTTTCGTCAGAGTATTGGTTTTCATATTTATGCAAAAAGTGTAAATTTATTCAATCTTTTCCTCTTTTTTATTGCATAGAAATTCCAGACTTTTTAACAGAGGATGAATGTGAGCACATAATTGCGATGGCAGAGTCCAGTGGTATGCAAGCGAGTGGTTTGCATATGGATGAAATCTCAAGAAAGAGTCAAAACCAAGTACATGGTGAAGCAACATTTTCTTAAACTTTTTGTTTTTATGTCCATGCCCGTGTCCGCATCTGTGTTTGTGACAGAGTTCGTGTACGTGTCCGCATCCGTGTCCGCACCCGTGTCCGCATCCGTGTCTGTGTCCGTATCCGTGTCCGCATCCGTGTCCGCATCAATATCTGTGTCCGTGACTGAGACCGTGACTGAGTCCGTGTCCGCATCACTGTCTGCGCTTATGACTGTATCCGTGTCCGTGTCCGTATCCACCACTCAGATTTGAAAATATTTTTATCAGAGGCCTCAAATTTTGTTATGCCATTACAAGCTTTCTTTTTTTATAATTCCTTGCAAGTGATCACAAAACCAAACGAATTGCTTGTTCCTCTTCCAAAACATTAGATGTACAGATATCAACTAAAAGAATTTTGCTTTTCTTTTCTTTTGAATTTGCATACCATTTCTTTTGAATATGGGTATTTAAATCTTTATTTTTGTAAGCAAAACTTGTATTCAGGCTTTTCTCTGTAACGCTTTTTACAAGACCATGTAAAGCAGTCTCAACAGACTGACAGGGGCTGTCGTGGTTAAACAATGTAAAAAGCAAGAAGAAAATAATCTAATTGGTGGCACAGACAAATGTTTCCAAACCATGTTATCGCGTGGAACTCGTAAGACTTTCAAAAATCTTGTCCTTAGCAACAAGGATGCCTTCTTTTTTGCAGGACGCTCAAAAGCTGAGAGCAATGTTTTCTACAAATGGGACAAGAATAAGGACGGAGTTATAACGGCTGAAGATGTAAGTAATCTTATTTCAAATAACTGCACAATTTTTGCTGTCGTTTACATGCAAAAAAATCACCGCACGTTTGTAGCAATTTACTCTATACAAACGTAGAATATGTTTGATTTTCATTGAGTTTCTGCCTTTATTTGAGGGGTGACCAGGGACGGATTTACCGGGGGTGCGACCCCCCCCCACCCACACTTATTTTTGTTCGATAAATTTTGCTTCAATTCGGTAAAGAAAGCTTTGATAGTAAATAGGAATACAATGATGCAGAATAGTAGCTTTATTCATCTTCCGATCTTCTTTATCTTGAAGTAAAAATATTGGCGTTTCCATCAATTTCCAGTCACCTGAAGGGTGTGGCACAAAATCCAATCATAATCTAACACCCTTTCCTCCAAATCTGTCCCCGTGGTGACTTAATTTTGTCTAGCCTTTTCTCTATTCATAGCATTTGCGTATGGCAACAATAATTCATCTTCACGTAACGTATGATTCGTTAGCTTTTTTTAAATTTGATTTTCTTTTGATGTTTGTTTCCTTTCCTCAGGTGAAAAAGTTTGCAGTTGACACTCGATATTTGTATTTAGAGGACCAAGATATTGTTGAAATGTGAGTAATGCTTTAGAAGTGTCAATCATTGCAAATTTCCATAAATGGGAAAGAAATTAAAAATAATACAGGAATCTCGCAGCTATTTCTGCATGATCAATTCAATCATATGGATGCATCATTCTTTTCTTTTTCAATATTGTTTGGACCCAAAATGATGGTAGTCTGAATAGAAGGCTTTATTACCGTTATATTTGGTGTAAAAGTAATAATGACGCGCATGTTTTTTTATGAGGGAGTAACTAATTTCGCAGACGACCCTTGCTTGCTCTTCTTCCCTACATTGTACCTGACAAAGCTTTAAACTTCTTAAAAAATTTTTAAAATGGCCGAATACCAATATCGGGCCTAATTATTATAATGAGAACTATAACAATTATAACGTTAAATTTGTTTTACGTTGACATTACAGAGCTATGTGCAGAAAAAAATTTAAATTTTGCTACACTTGCTAATCCAAGCCGACGGCGATAACTCGAACAATCCGATTTCTTAGATCGCTTGTCCAAATCATCTTCAAACATTACTCTTAAAAAAGATTTCAACCAAGTTTTCATTTGTTATTTCTAATTTTCAGATAAGTGCGACACACATCTCTAATTTCTATCCATGTTGAACATTTAAAAAGGAAAGGCAAGGTTGGGGTTAGGTTCCGCTTATTTGTCGTGCTAAACTTAATTAAGTTCCATAGTTTAATGTAGTTTTCTTGGGCGCAAGTGCAGTACATAAGTTGAACAAGCTCCTTCGCAGCAAAGGCGCCGTTTCACCGCCATCAACAGGCAATGCACAACCATATTGCATTCAGTGTCATTCTTTTCCTTTCAAAATGCAATCGAGTTTTGAGCGAAAACAGTGCGGCGGTCTTACGGCCTAAGTTGTAGGCTTAATCACCTCCAGGTGCTTATCTAGCTCGCCTTGTGCTCAATCTTCCCTGTCGAATTCAAATTAAGCAGCAGTTACGCTGTGATTATATCCACTGAGCTAGTAGCGAGCCACCACCAGCTGCAAAGCACTGTCAATATTGTAAACACGATTTCTTTAAAAAGCTGTATTTTCATTTAAGGTTCAAAGAACTGAATATCACTGAGATCGATGACGGTGAGTGACCTCAATAATCCGAAAAAGTTTTGATAGCTAAAATGATGGCATTATGACGAGCCCTCTGCCTCTTGCTGTGCATCGACAGTCAATATTGCTCTACTGTAAAAACATGGTCGAATTTTTGAAGTACCGTCAGTGTACAACAGTAAGGCCATTGAAAACAAAGCAAAATATTTCAACTTATCGAAAGCTCGAGTTAATCTAAACAGGAATATTTGCAAAGGAGCAATGTTTGCTCATATTTTGGGATGTTCGATGTATCAGGCAGTCTGAATATTTGATGAATTTTTTTTATAAGCTGAATTTATTCCAATATAATTTTTTCAAATTTTTTTGGAAAGAAATTTAACCTCTTTTGGTATCGAAATGAATACCTTTTAGTAGTTTAGTTTACATATTGTATTATTGAAGAAAGCGCACTACATATCATTATCAAATCTATTTTTTAAGTTAATATCTAAAATACACAAATCGTTCTATCCCTGCCAATGACAGTGCAAAAGACAGAAAACCAATAATGGTGCCTACTTTTGAAGAATTTACTGTTTCAAAAGGATAAACAACAATCAAGAAAAGGAATTATCTCAGAAGACATAAAATAAAATGAAAAATTTATCTTAATAGGCAACCAAAATGGGACAGATAATATTTTAGTGTCGCGGTCAAAAGAAAAGCCACATAAAATTGTCATTTCGGCTAGCTCCCTATTGCAAGAATGATATCTAGCATATTATTCTTTGAATACACCTTTTAGATTGTCACAAGTAGAAAAACTTCGGAAAGGTTATGATTAAGATATTAAAGCAAATTTTGAAACAAACCAAGCTTCGAAAGTTTTTATGTTACTCAAATTATATAAATATACATCTAGATCTGCTAGGCTATTTTACCAAAATCCTACTTCAATTAATTATCGATATTCCACCAATATTTAACTAAATTTTTTTTGAATGAATAAATATCTTCATCAGTCTTTATGCCAACTAATGTTTGTAGTTATCTTTAGCCTTTTTATAGGCTTTTATGATTTTCTGCTAATATTCAATAGCATTCGGCCTAGAAGGACGCTCATAATTTTCCTTGTTAGATAAATAGTTCTAATAGTCATTTTATCCCATTGCAGGTAAAATTACTGAGGAGGAGTTCGAAACCCTTAATACAGATAGCTTAAACGAGTACCTGAAAAACCTTAGAGAGAACCATCCACGATTTCGAGATAGATTTAGCGAGCAAACATGGCTGCAGCAAGGAAGAGTCGCAGATCCAATTATGAGGAAGATAAAGAGCAGGTAGAAATTTAACTCTAAGAGGTCAATAAGAAAGATGAAATAGATGTAGACGAAAACTGAAAATCGCTTGAAAGAATTTCAAACCGCATCGAGTTGCAATAAAAACGTTTTCTATTTACACAAAGCTGTTTACTTTCTATTTACTCCATTTAGGCCAAATTTTGATTTGTAAAACGGTGCTTGACTTCAAAACTGTGGTAGATCACCCTTTTGCCTTCTGGATTTCTCAAATGCAGACTATGTTGCTTGAAAGACTAGAAAACTGAATCATTTTATATTTTCCCAGAGTACAACGACTCACCAAACTTTCTAAAAGGATTATCGACGGTTCAGAACAACTCCAGGTACGCTTTTCTTAGTTTTCCATTTTATTGTTTTCACCACAGTGAAACCTTATATTATATTTTTATTACGGCTGTGAATATTATTTTGGTGTTTCCAATGCCTGATCTTTATGAAAGCTTCTTGTCTTTTTCTCGGCCTCTCTCAGAAACTGTACCAGAATTTTCTTAAATTGACTTTTTATTAGTCTTCTTTCAAGTTTAAGCCCCATATATTTACTGACCACATAGAAAAATCACGTGATCAGTAAATAACGTGCAATAAACTCCTTGCTAATTAAGCTTTATTGGGTATAGTTTGCGATTCAACAAGCCTGAACTACCCCAATTTCAGAATTAGTATCTCAAACGTAGTGCTGCATCATTCGAAGGTTAACATTTCTGCTAGGTTCAAGAGATGGCCTTGTTTTTATCACAAAAAGGGATAAACATCGATAAACATGGTACTAAAGTGTTCTTTTCTTCTGACACCTTATTTGGAAATCAAATTGGTTAGTGGTAAGTTCAGGCTATTGCAATAAATCCTCTTTCACATTTCGTCAATAAAGATGGCAGACGAGAAGAACAGAATAATGTTTTGACGTTGTGCAAAGTTATCTTGCAGTGCTCTGCATTGTTTCTTAATGCCTAAATGCCTTTTTAGACGAGCAATTTTTCTTTGATAAGTTCTTGGCAAGTGTTTTTTGATCGAAAAACTGCACGAAATGATTAGTCCAGAGACAAGAAAAGATTTCAAATACATTTCTCAAGTTGTCTACTAGGGCAGGTTTTCAATTAATACTTTTTCACTTGGCAAGCGTACTTTTCAAAAACCTACATTTAGTATGCTTGTCAAGTAAAAATTGCCAAATTCTCCCAATTTGACCCAGTCTTCAAGAGAAGAGACTCTTGTGAAGGAAAACCTGTACGTAGATAATGTTGGCTCGTGTAGAAGAGGCTGAAGACGCCAGGTTAGCATTTTATTTGGCAATTTCTCATAATCTTTTTAATAAGTTATCAGGAATCTTATCTTATCTTTAACTATTTGAATTATTCATAGATGATTGTCTGAAAGAAATTGTAAAGAGTGTTGAAAATCAACATAGAAATGATGTGATCATTTGCAATCACTCTCGGCAATTTCGTGAAGTACAACCCTGTCTGTAGGTCGATGATCTTGTAGAAGACTTGGCTTTATATCGCCAACTGGAACCCATCTAATTTTTACCACGTCACAATCAAACCTTGGCTAAACGAACACAGTCCAATGCTTCACTTGTTCAGCCATCTCCTCAATAATCGCATGTAGTTGTCAAACACTGCTCAATTATTGTCGACTTGTTTTTTGCTATCCCATATAAAAGTTTACACTAACGAAGTAAAAACTAACGAAATATTTTGCAATATAAAGAAGACGATACCAGGAGGGACAAAACATCATGACTACTCCTTGGTTTTTAACATGGACCTAAAAGACAAATACAAATAACTAAAAGAAAAATTGCAAGAGAGAATATGTTTAACAAGAGAGATAAATTGCAAGTTTTTGTTTCTTATTCAAAACTTTTGGAGGCATGGATAAATTCTAGCGTTGCTTTGATAATTTTTGCATTTGAATAGAGAGATAATTGTTCATGGTCGTACTGGATGAATTCAGGAACTTTTTATTTGAGGGCCTTATTAAACCACGAGGCAACAATATCGCATTTACACTGCTGCGAAGATCCCGTCTGTCTGCTTTATGGCAGAGCAAGAAATAGTAATGGTGTTCGACGGGGATCAAAAGTTTTCATCAGATCATTAATTTTACTCTTGTTCTGGGTTATGTTGAGCGCTAAGAAGTTAATTAACTAAATGTTGTGTTTGTTCGCCTACATTCCATTTCACAACGCCAAACCCCTATCTATTTGACCACTATCACTATTTTGGACAAATTCTTAATACACAGATCAATTGAAAGAAATATCAGAGACACGGAGATGTTGCCTTCTTGTAGCTCGGATTTCTATGCAACCTTTTACTCGACGTTTTAGTCTTGGAACCAGCATTTTTTCTCAACTATGCATAAACCGTTCCAATAACTTTGAAGCGCGTGCAAAAATAAGCTAATCTACATTGCTACTACATGGCTTCGGAAAATTGCGGTATTTTTTCGTAATAAAATATGTTTTATCCAAAGGTAATCAGAGCTAGTTGTATTCGCTGTAGCGTGGCAATTTTGTTTTGCCTGTATCTCCAGTTCTATCAAATACCCAGATAAAGAGCTAATAAGATAGGTACAGGTTTGTTAAAATACGCGTCAACTTATCTTTCAAAGTTAACCTAGATAATTTTTAGGCAAAGGTTCAGCCGATCCTTGATAAAAACTTCTTAGGATTTTAATTTGTTTGCTCTTTGAAAAGGGAAACGAACAGCTGCAGTTTTGTGTTATTCTATGTTGCTTCGATATTGCATATTTGAATGGTCATTGAAGTTGTGGTAGAGCTGATTAAAACTGCGTGAAGTTATTTGTAGATTCAGGCACTCCTGTGCTTTGCATTGAAAATGCAAATCGATTTTGTGCGGTTGAAAAAACCAATATTTCTGAATCATGAGGAAAGTCATTTTCTTAAACATTTAATCAAGAAACTGAAAGAGAACTGTGAAAACATCTGCTTCTCGGGTTGCTTCCCTGTAATTCGCATGATAGGATCCTTGCCTTTAACAAAGCATCAACCTATAAACACATAGAGCGTCAAAGTAAACTAAATTAAGTTAGAAATTATGTTTATTCTTCATTGATAATGCTTGTTTAACAAATGTTGTATTGTTATGTAATTTTAGCCTTTGTTGCAGTTAGGGCTTCATATCAACTTAACACTTACTGAAACTGTAAGGAAGAATTGTCTGTCCTATGTTTTCATATCTTTCCAAAAATAATTTGTTAGAGCTGTTCAAAACTTTGTTTACATATTTAGACCACGCCCCAACAGATTGGTATTGCAGGGGCGTGGACTATAATACAAGTGTTGACTTGGGGACTTTTGAAAAGCGTTGTGATGCTTTGCTCTATGTTTATAGGTCAATTTTTCTTTGCTGTTTGTATGGTATTATACACTACCAGTCTCTTTACTTCTATTTAGCACAGTGAGTCCTTGGCACCAACGATAAGACCAGCTTTTGTTCCCTTTTTTGACGCAAGGGCCAAAAACGTCTTTATCTGGCAACTTTGGCTTAAAAAGACACCTTTCCTGCTGTTGATTGCAACAAGAATTAGTTGCAGTCGTTTATTTTCTTACATATTAAGTATCTGTATTGAGTACTGCTTGTATCTGCATTGCGAAAGGTTATGGCATTATGGTAGAAATCGGCTTCTGGGGGGCTGTTTGCCCGATAAATTTTAACCTAAGTTTATGTTCAACTCATCTGGCGGTGCTAGACTAGATTTATTTGCTTAATAAAATCTCAACTCAGGCTGAGCTGACTAGGTGATCTGAAAGGCATCATCTTTTATGCAGACGGATTCTTAAGAAATGGTGCTATTAATTTTTTCTGGACTTTTTGAAAAATATTTTCTTGCCCTTTGACACGGAATTCATAATCAGTAATATCACCCCGTAGTGTAACAACTTTTGATCCAGTCAATAATCTTTGCTTGTTTATGTCCAGGTTGTTCATTACAACGTCAATGGGCATTATCATGCACATTTTGATGGCCAATCGAAAAAGCAGTTTGGGCATTTAGAATGCTGCCACTTTGTTGCTGATGGAAAAACAGAATGCAGACTTTGCAGGTAATTGCCTCTTGGAAAGTTACTAAGCTATCGTATTTATATTCCTCACGATTAATGAACTCGATCATCTGCGTTTGCACAGCGATGAGCATTTTTGCGTGTCAAAGCAATCTTTCGAAAAGAATTATAAGATAGTATTGATAAGTTTTTGTAGGATGCCGAAATGGTGGACTTTTCCTGATGCCGAAAACAAAGCCTAACTCTGAGACCCTGATCATCTTTGCATGTCTCAGACTTTGCATGGCAACCATACTGAAAAATTCTTCCACTTTTTTATCTACTTTTGTAGCAAACTTTTCAAGCGATTTTACCTGATGGTTCAAGCTACAACCAAACTAACTTTCCATGTTTAAGATTGTCTTGGGTGATTGATTTAGATAAAGATTAGATAAAGTTTCCATAATGAGGGACCATTATGGAAACAAGATTGTATTGACCTTTTTAATGCTATCCCTGCCATTTTTAACCTGGGGTGTTTTTAGTCTATGCTTTTAACTTCTATCTGTAAATTTTATATATCTGTACTTAGATCTTTTTCTTAATTTTAAATTGTAATTTATTTGATGGAAAAATTAAACATACATACATATAAAGAATAACTGATTTAAATTTTAGGTACATAACAATTTTGTATTACCTTAATGATGTCGAAGAAGGTGGAGAGACTGCATTTCCCGTCGCTGATTCGGAAAACTACACCCATTCGGTATGTTTTTTCCCTTTCCCCTCCAAATATTCAATGACGAAATCACCTTACTAGATACCTCCTAGGAAAATAAAGCGCAAACAACTTTGCTCAACATTCTTTTTCTCCATAAAGTACATTGTGACTACGATCCCAAAAGGCTAGCTTCTATTGAAACAAAACGCAAGTCTTATGAATGGTGATTGAAGCCAAGTGCGCTGTAAAAACTCTCGTCTGTTTTTCTTTGCACACTATGATGTCATGCTATTTTCAACTTTGAATCAATCTACTTTCTATTTTTAACATAACAATATTTTCTACTTTATTTCATTGCGACCTTCAATGCGGTAATTTACCCTTCAAAAGTAATTCTCCCACTTAAATTCAATTTTGTTATGCTTTTGTACAGGATGTTTGTAGATCTATCAGTCAGTTGTTTCTTGCTATCTAATGAAATGCAAACCGTTGCTTATAAATCATTTGCGAATGAAAAGTTTGAAAATTTACAGCAGTTCTTTATAAGATACAAATCGACCTTAACACTAGCAACTTCTCTTTGTTTTTTTTTCAGGATTTTCAAATGAGAAAAGACGGTGACTTTTTCAATCTGAGCAAATTTTGCCACAATGCTACCTCATTGGTTGCGCCTAAACGAGGCAAGGCTGTCATGTGGTACAACCATCATGTTGATGAACATGGATGGCTAGGTGAACGGGATGACCATTCGCTGCATGGAGGCTGTGACATAATCAAAGGTGAAAAATGGGTCGCAAATAATTGGATCACGGCACCAGAAGTCGACTCGTACCACAGAACAAGCTTGTATGCACTAGCAGACCATATCCTTGCTGGATTAGAGGTTTGAAACGAGCTGTATCAAGTCGAAGGTAAACATACTTGTCGCGAGAACGTTTGGGTTTAGACTTTCGAAAACTAAAGATAAAACAGAATTTTAAAATAAAACGTTTAAAAGCTGCTTAAAAGTAAATCATTTACAATAAAAGAGGAAATAGAAGCAAAATGTTGGTTTAAATTTAATCACAACCCAAATTCTTAATAAAGCTAAAAATATTTCTACCAGCATGTATTTCAAATGTATCACATACGTAATTTAACTCCTTAATCGTTACGAATTGAAGACTGTTAAAAATAAAACTGTTTTTGTTTCATAAATTACCTGTTAAGATCTGAGCAATATAAAATACCGCGAAAATGCAGCGCAGATTGCAACTTCCTAGAATTTTTTTCGAAGTTCATTAAAAAGTTAATGCAATATTAACATAAATAAGCCGCGAAAGTCTTTTAGTCAATACTACGGTGTCATTTTCAATGTGTCAGTTTTGCTGCTCTTGATGAATCCACATGGGATTGAAGAATCGTCGTCGATCGGAGTGGTTTTTCTTTTGATAATATAGAAAAACCGCTTCAGGAGACTTCAGGGATGCTCAGAAACTCTAATGGGGATGGCCGATTAACTTGAGAAATGAAGAAGTCTCCCAGGGGCATAATAAGTTCGTGGATGCATGAGCTCCGTATAAAGGCTGCAAGTGAAGAAGAAAAGCCGTTTATCAATGAATTAGTCATTTTGCAAGACAAATTTCATACGTTCCTTCTCGAAAGCTTGCCAGTTTGTTGAGCCAAAACGCGACTACCGCTCTACGTTTTCTCTTACTTGGTGGCTGTAGACATGCAAGACAGTGCAAAGATGTACGCAAAAAGTGAGTAAATCTGCTCAGAATGGGCGTTTTTCATTAATCTGGCTATTTAGCAGGAAACATGCTTGAAGAATGAATTCATTTTGTGAATTTTAACGCAACTTTCCAAACATCTTTTTTAAAAAGACTGTTTACTGCTTGAATCTGACGTCATCAGAACTATTTAAAACTGTTGAACTCCAGGTATTCATCAAAAAACCGAAAAAAAACGAACAAACGAGCGAAAAGATTTTATGTTATTCAATGAAAACGTCAATTCTCTGCTGTTCTAACTCTCGAGAGTAAGAACGTCGTTCTTACTCTGCTGTCTTTTGACATCTTCAGTTAATTTTTAACATAAAATTCAAAATCACCCTCAATATCATATTTTTCTGATAAAAAACTTCCTGTAGCATAAATCAATTTTAAAACCTTCTTGCATCCTTCTGAAACTTGCTTGTTTCATTGTTAGCATCAATAAAAACGAGAAGCTTGAACGTTTCTACCATTTTTTATTTGAGTTTTGCGCTACTTCAAAGGAATGATTTGATTCTTTCTTTCAACGCAGAAGGCATTCTCAGAACGAATTCGACTAATCTTCCTTGTCTAGTATGTGGACTTTATTATTTATTGAAAATGAAGATTTTTGTCCAGATGACCTGGACAGAAAGCAATTAGATGTACGGGATTCGACTTTATTGCCCATATTTTTTATTGTCCCATTTGTCCTGTTTTGTTTGTCCAAGCCGCATGTTTAATGCCATGTTCAATAGAATTCGGATGGGCATTATAATTTCTGCAATGAAACATTGCAATGTTTATTCATCATCATGCCAAGCCGAGGATGATTTGGAACCTAATATATCAAATTGAACAACACTGACCTCAAACAAATCGAAGATAATTCTGGAAGCTAATTCTAGCAAACACTCAAATATCGTGGCCTGGATCCTGGATCTCTCCATAATATTTTGTTTACAACAAGCTTAAAAGCTGTCCCACTGAAGTTATTATTATGGTTGAAAGCTCACATCTAAACATTCTATCTAAGCCTTTGCTTTCAACTTCTTACTGTTGTTGATCATTTGTTTGGCCTATATATCTTGAATTGCTCCCGAATGATTTCTTACAACTGACGTTTGATAACGTGTTACATCGAAAGACGCCACTCCACCTTCTCCGTTAAAGCTAGTTGAAACTTTTCTTTTAAAGGGCTCTGCGTGACATACTGACGTAAAATCAGCACTAGTCATAAGTTACGCTACCCACAGTGCCTTGCGATGTTAATATTTTTATCTTTGCAAAGCAAAAGGAGCAAAAATTGCGGCAGTTGCCCTAAAAGGTATTAGCATAAAACACACCAAGTTTGAATAAAAATCTGATTCTTAGAATTCCACCACTGCAATTCCCTTTTGCCTACAGCTTCCAACCTTGGAAAACTGGAAGAAAAATTGCTTAAAACGGTGGTAGCTTTTGACGATCCTCGAGTCATCATTGAAAGATCTTTGCAAAAATTCACTTAATCTTGGTTTGTAGAAAATGTCAAAAAGTACTGTATCTTTTTAACACGTGTAGCAAAGTTGAGGACAACAAATTATAGATTCAATGCATTTTGGTAAAGAAGATAAGCAAAAAGGGAGAGGCAGAAATATCTCAGTAATTTAACAGGATCATTTTCTAGTTTGCAATAAACAATTTCAAGAAAATATGGAACTCATTCGTACTGCAATATATCTTCATGGTATGGTGGGTTGTTCTACTGACAAGTTCCATTGTCATCATTCTTGCCATCACGGATTATTTAAAGCTTAAATCAAACTGATAAGAAAATATAACACAAACTGAAGCGATTCGCAGAAAAGCAAGTTCATTAACTTCGAAAGCTTTTCAAACCGCTTGACTTTACTGCAGTTCAAATCTCTTGAAAAGCGGAAGAAAATTCGCCATTTTCCCTCGTTCATCTGCATTGTCTTTTTGAAATTCATTAAATATTAAATTAACTTTTCTTTGCAATGAAAAAAGGAATTGAAGTGACCTACAACATAAGATGCGAATAGTATAAGTCAAACTGTTTGTCGTTTGCCTTTCAACAGAACAAGGCATCACATTGATACTATACATAAATCAATGACTTTAATCTAATTTGCTGTCTAAAAACATTCGATATCATAACGTTACTCTCTTTGGCCTAGATTGATCTTCGAGGCGAGCTAACAGCGCCAGGTGCTATAGAAGAAGAAACCACATTTCAAGCCATGTATAGTGTCATGCCTTGACGTTAGGTTATTACCATAATCAACTCCGCTGTCTTAGCTAGAAACAAAGCATAACTCAAAAATCGCATCAATTATTCATGTATATTTAAAACATAATTATCAACTAAGAGTCTTTTGGCTTTTGCGAGAACACGGCTTTATTTGTGGTATTTGAGAAGTTTGATATTAGCAAGTCTCGCTTATTTCCAGGAGATTTTAGCATGTTAAACGCCTTCTTTGTTATCTCGCATCATGATGTCTCAATGCGAATCCGGTATATCCTATCTCACTTCAAAGGCATAGTTTGAAGTATCGTTGTAACATGAAGGAGGATACTGGCAACAGTTCTCTTGGACCACTAGCAAAGGAGCGAATGCCGCGCACTGTGCCTGTTTGTTTCTTTTGGAATTTACCAGAAGATGATGAAGCTCCTCTACCGAAAGTTGAAGTGATTTTATACAGGGCGAGGGATGTATTTGATGACAGGTTTCGATGTCTTTCAGAAAATGAGGAAAACTTAACAGATGGCGATGGATTGAAAGTAATCAATCTTGCTCTTGCCCAGCGCTGGGTGTACGAATGCGATCAAGGCGGAAGCGTCAGCAATCCTAAATGCAAAGAATCTGCTTTCATGAGACGGGTCTTTCTGAAGCAAGGTACATATATTTATCTGTATCGAGTGAACGGATCTCTTACAGTTAGTGATGATGACAAGGTCACCAAATTAGCAACCAAAAGAGAAGTGAATTTCATCGATGTTAGATCAGAACCACATAAACTACCGCGATCAAGGTGAGACTCAGTGATTTACTAAACTTGCTTCTCTTTTTACAGTATTTTTACATACATTTGAAAACTGTTTACATTCTTAATTCTGTAAGCGTGATGGTCATCCAATTTCGCTGAGACAAAAAGAAAAAGATTCAGACATAAAAGCCAATTTCAGTTTCTTTTCTGTTCAGGTTATTTAGCTCTAGCAAATACTAATCTGATTTTGATTATATCAGACTTCAATAGTGATACTCCCACTAAGAATATTTGATGTACACAATTTGCACACCACGTCAGTGTGATAATTGTATTTAGCTATTGCGTAGAACGTGCTGCTCTGTAAAAACGAAGAACAAGGTCGATTGAACGTCTGCTTGATAGGACAATATTTATCTTGCTCTGCTGAAATATCAGACTAATTATCATCCAGTATGGCGAACAGGTCGTGTCTTTGTTACTGTCTTATTTTTATAAGCCATCTTATAAATACAGATGTAGATTTCAAAGGTGATTCGTGATGCAATATTGCTGCATTGCGCGCAAGCAAAAACGCACTTCACGCCGCACAAATTCTGAAAAATATGACAAGTACTTTAAATGTGAAGACCTCCCAATATTTTAGAATAGACAAGGCTCATATGTGAATTCATAACTCGAAATTTAGCTGATGAAAAATTAACAAAAGAAAGCGATTACCTTATTTTCTTTTTAAAGAAAATGTGGTTGCAAATAGCACTTGGAGCAATTTCTTTTGAAAATCAAGTTTAAAAATTAAGTGAGCTTCGCAAGATTAACCTTTGAGACAAAATTATGTCCAATTGAGACAAAATTTGTTTTTACTGTTTGAAACTTTTAAATCCTTTGAAAACTGGTCGCCAGCCATGAGCACGCGACCACTAAGTGTGAAAATGTGACGGGGTTGGGTTAAGGCACAAATTACACCGGTAAAAAAAAGAGAAATCTTGAGGTGTTTTTAATCTTGGCTTTTCGTATAATTCCTTTTTCTACCCTTGCATTAAAATTCGTAGCTTGACGCTGTAGCTCAAAACAGCAACCTCAATTGATCGGTTTTCTTGTCGTTTGCTTCAAGAATCCTTAAATGTACAAAATATCACCAAAACCTGCATTTGCCTTAATATCTCGACCTTCTCTCCTGGGTGCTCTCCAACCTTCCCTGGGAAATTTGTAAGGCTGCTAGAAATTTGTAAGTTTTTTTCTTGTTATTGATTAAGGAACTATGAAGTAGTTGTGATCACTTCGATGGATATACTTCGTCACCACAAAAAGTCTTGTGGCAAAAGATGTTTTTTGGACATTCTGTTCCTTGAAGCTAGCGCATTCAATTGTTTTCTTGCTGATCAATTTGGCAATGCTAAATTACGTATAAAACATGCGTCAATTTCTTCTACACTTATTGTGAATTTAGTCTCTTTTCTCGACCCTCTATTTAGAAGACATTCCCGCTTCATTAGGATCTGTTGGCTGATTCTTTCGCCGCATGAGAGCTAATGTGGTAATATCTCCGATATCTTTCAATAGACTACCATTATACGTTAAAATTTCTATAGGAATTATAGTCAACATTCTATTGATATATCTTTTGAATTTTTAGATGTTAATGACCAAAGCTCAATTGAACGCAGTACGTCCGCCAATGTTCACTTGGATAACATAAACTCAAGAGTCGAGCTCTTACGGGCATTTTCTTCCACAAAGGATATGTATCAATTGAACATGACGGTGAATGGAGACACCGTATCTCCCTTGGAAAGAAGCATTTGGAACCGAGTCGAAAAAGCAATGGCAGCCAGATTTAATAATTGCAGTGAATAACTACGATTTGGTGTGACATTTAAGTAGCAATTTACATCCAACAGTTTGAGAGAAAGAATTTTCGGAAGCATTCAATGTTTGTGCAGGAAGTGAGAAAATAATCTTGGAATAACTGTAAAAATTGTCCTTTTTAGCTTCATGATATTCTAAAAACTTTAGTGTCTCACGATACAAAGAGAATCATGAATAATTTACAAACAATAATTTCATTTACTGCATTAAAAATAAGAGAATGAAGCATCTCAGCAATGTTGGTTCTAACACATTTACTAGTAAAATGACTGAAATATGCATTAAAAATTGCTTTGTAATAACAAATTGGTTCATTAAAATACATTTTCTTTTCATTTACTTTTTAAAGAATCAGACTTTTGTCTTTAGATAAATAATGATTGAAGTAATTCTGGAGTTTAACCAAATGAATTACATATAAGCACAATAATATTATCAACATAACAATAACAACAAACAATGACACCAGCAAATTCAAGAATCAAAACAAAGCAGCCACAACTGGAAAAGCATCAATCACTTATTTACCTCACCAGAAAATGCCAATTTTTAGCTTGTTTCTAAGGGTTTCAAAAATTTAAAGCTAAAATTTCCTGACCATTTCATAAGTTCCAACCTTTTTCTCAAGAAGCATGGTTCAGAAACTGATATATTATATGAATAATTCATATATAACATCAAAGTTGGTCATGGAATGATTTAAATATGACCAATTCAAGCCAGTACCAGCAATATGAAACATTTCATCACCAACACTTCACTTCAGATTGCTATGCTCCAAATTAATAGTCCAGTATAATGAGATAAACATTGATAAAAATGTATAAAATGTGCTGTTATACTGCCATGATCATTCTTAAAGTGTTACTGATAAGCAAAATGGGGTCCAACACATTCCCAATTTTTTATTGCTGGGTGGACAAATGGTTGGTTGCTGAAATCGCTCAATGATGTAAAATAGGGACAGTATTGTCTTTTCCTGCATAATTACTATTGGTGTTTAATTTTGGCTCATTTAATCAAATGTGTCACATTGTTCTTACTCTGCCATTACAATTTGTTTACATTCTGAAACAAAAAAATTAGACAATCACTTCAATTGGATGCCTAACCTTTAAAAATTTGTATTATTTTGTAAGCAGTCCACAACAAACAAATACAAGCAATCAATTATAATAAAAAGCACCTCTTTACCACGTTGTGTTGTCTAAAATTGCTTGTTCATTTATTAGCGTTTCGATAATTTTAAACACATCTTTAATCAATCGGTCATCACCTAGAATACCATTATGCTCAGCACCAGGATACTCTTTGTCATTCAAGGGCTGTTTTGTACTGTTTTTCCACTTCAAGCACCCTTTAAGACTCCGTAGGTTGACAGTGCCATCACCATCATCATGCTTAACATATGGCTGTTCATCAGGGAAGTCCCCTGGTCCATAGTACAACTGCCCTGGTGTTTTCCTACCAGACCCATGCAAGCAGTGCAAGGGAATGCCAGGTGGAGTTTCTGTCCAAGAGGGTAATGACTTGCGAATTAATTTTGATCCCAGCTCAAACCCAATGTCTGTGAATAGTGCATCATAGTCTTTGACTGTGTAATTTCGAAATTCATTTTGAACAAGCACCTATAAAACCATTTGATACTGTTTGAAATGGAGATTTTGCATTATAATTAAAACTTTTGAAAGTTTATGAATTGTCTACTATATCTCAAGTTTATCAATATTGCATCAATACCTCAAGTCTATCTTTTCAAGCAAATATGTAATTGTCTGCCTTTCAAAACAGATCATTACAAAAGGGGTTTAGTTATTCAATGTGAAACATAAGAAGCCTGCGTTCTTGTAATGTAAAAGAAGAATGTACCTCATCTGGTCCCCAAAACCCTTCTGCTGGCCTTATAAATGCCAAGCTTGTGTATGTTCTCTGGGCAGCTCGCATAAGAACTGGGCTGTCAAGTAAAGATGGTACACCAAATGGGTCTCCAGATATGTAAGCTCTTAAAGACTTGACAGCTCCACCCCAAGGTCCTGAAATTGTAATCCAACTTGCAATGTATTTATTTTTCCATTCCTGGGTTTGTCTATAGAGGAACAGAAGGCTGTATGGGCATCCCATACTTTGTGAAACCAACAAGATTCTCTTGTTTTTGTTTTCAGCAAAAGTTGTTTCTATCAGTTTTTTGAGTTTGGCGAAATATTCATTTGCATATTCTGAAAATAAAATTATTAAAAAGTGCATTAATGAACATTTTCATAATAGCAATAGATTATCTTTATTATCACAACCATCATTATCATCATTATTGTCATTTGTTAGTAGTCAAGAACATAACCACCAATAGAGCCTGAAAGTCCCCAAGATAAAGGAAAAATAATTTCTATCAGTCTCAAAGTAATGGGATTTTTTGGGATTTTGTCTCTTATGATGAATTGTAAGTATCTGCACTACTAGTCATAGATAAGATTACGAGAAAGCCTAAAAAAAGCAGAAATAAAGTGAAACCTGGGCCAAAGCGGAAATCATATGGTGCAGCTCTGATGCTTTTGCCTCTGACATAACCAAACTTGTCAACTAAGCTTTCCACAAAAGGTGCAAAATACTCTCCAGGGTGTGACAATGCAGGATCTAAATATTCTATTGATGAGGTGTCTCCAAAGCCAGGGACTCTAATAAAGACTCCTGGTGTGTTTTCCATTCTTTCAGTTGATTTATTGTAGACCAACCTCAAATATAAAAAGACAGATCATCACAACTAAGTAAAATATTTTTTCAGTTTAAGGCCTTTCGTTTGACGCAAGCGATCACTGGTGATTGCATAAACACTCGCGCAAACCCAATCATACGATCGTTTGATCGCTCGTGCAAAACTTTAAATTGTGAGGAAAAATTCCTCACCAATTGACACAATTCTAGTAATCTTTTATCAAACCAAGCAAGTGACATGGACAATACAAGGCCCATGCATGGAAGCACAGGAAGTATAAGTAAGCTGACTTAACCACATCTCAACAAAAAATACATTTGAAAATCAATTCCACAGCAAATGCTTAGGAATACTTTAGGTACTTAGTATTTGAACTACAATGCCTGCCAAAAGTCTTGGAACACTTGCTACAATTTACGTTGTGCACGAGCTGCAACATCCCCTCCCCCCTTGTACAATGTTGTGCCACGGAAATATGAATAATCCTACATGTACAAGTGATACATTTTTACATAGCTATGGTTTTCAGCTAGCGAATCAACATTGTATGTGGGGGAAGGGGGGCAACACCCTCCTTGTTGACATGGAAATAGAAAGGAACACGCGAATTCACAGAAATCTCAGGGTGTTCCAAGGACTTTTGGCAGGCATTGTACAATATCACATATGACATTTTCTGGGCAGTAAAAGTATTTTTAAAAAGGAATGGAATAACATTTTGTGATCATCTGGCAATAACGTCTTTATGACCTTCATGATGTACATTAAGTTTATAAACGAAGCACACTTATAAAGGGGATTTAGTCTTGAAGTGCATTACAGATCACCGGTTACAGTTCTTTTTCATTTGATGTTACCTTAGACAAAAGGGTACCTTAATAACAGAAACAATTTGTTCACTATCAGAGTGATCACTCAAGCAAGAGAAATCATGCGAGCGATGGACCACTCACATGGGCTATTTCTTACAACAGTCCTGCAGTTTAATAAAATTTCAGAAATGAAATGACTTAATTAATGGGCCACTACTTCATAAATCTACAATCAGTTTAGCGGCAATGTGGAAACAGCAATATTGGAGAAAAAAACTAAGGCTATCAAAATTAAGAATTTGTCAGCCTTTTGACAAATAAGGTACAGCAGCTGATTCAGCCATCAGTTACAAAGCATTAGGTAATTTTGTTCTCTTCTGGCATTAGAAGAATCTGCCCTCGTTGATATTCTTATTTTGCCAGTTTTCACCATAACAGAAAAAAGTCAGTGCAAATTAAACAATGCTGCTACCATTGTCCTATGATTGAATTTCCACATCTATATCTCGGTCCACAACTGGAAAAATATAAATTTCCTAACTTTTCATCTTTTACAAAGTTTTATACTCTCAAGAGTATCAGACGAAAATCTTAACTAAGTTTCAAAATGTTTGTTTTTTCAAAGCCATTTCAATTACTCATTGATGGTAGACTTTGAATGAATTGATGACAGAAAAAATAAAAAATGAGTAACTCTGAGGGTCCTTTGGAACATAACTAGAAATAATAGCTTCAAAATTTTGTTTGAAAGATAAACAAAGTAATTTGATGAGAGGATTTTAATTTAAGAGAAAGCTCAAGTTTCAGTGCTAAGAAAGTTTTGTGTTTAGATCAGGAAGCTTGCATCAACATCAAGATAAAATGGCATGCTGATTATGATTTGTTACTCAGAGTGGAATCTATATCTGTCATGCCAAATATCTCTAGCAGACATGAACCTTTTTCTTAGTTTAATGACATACTGTAATTTCCTAACTTTTCATAGACTTGGCATATGCTCTCTTCTCTGTTGGCAAGTCTCTGGTGTATACAAAACATGGGCTCCAACGCAGCTTGGGAAGTGGAGGGGCCAAAAGAAAATATTACAATCATAACCAAAGTTTTAAAAAAAATATCTATTGTTTTGCAAAAAAGTGAAGGGGCCATGGCCCCCAGCCCCCCCTTCCGTCGGAGGCCCTGCAAAACAAAGATTCCCTCTGGCTTGTTACAATTTGGGTAATTCATGCTATTGGTTTAGTGTATCTATATTCCATGTATCTATATCAGAAAACAAGAACATTAGACATACTTCATGTCATCTGTCCAGCATTCCACTAATGGAGGAGCTACAAATTCTTCCAAGTTGAGCCATAATGTGTACCAACCATATTTCTTGTCACACCACCAATGCAATGTTCTGGATCTGTTTAAAGATGCCTGCAACTGGCTACCACCGATTCCAGGAACTGCAAACAAAGAATGTTTTCATATAAGTTGCATTGCATGGTTGAATCGTGGGTTCATGCTCTCAGCCTGAATGTTTTGAAGTGTTATTGTCTCTTGTCCTTAAGGTGTTGTCAACCATCAATATTGAAGATTCTAATAATGTGGCACTCTCTAGAGTAAAAGCTGGCAAAATATGACCTTAAATTATTGGAATGGTAAGAAAAAATTGTGACTAAATGCATTCGAATTGCTTCCAAATAAAATGAAAAACATTGTACTTAGGCAGCCACGAAACCTGAAGAGTTACCTAATATTGTTATTAATCTCGCCCTTTGTCCTAAATGATGTTGATGTGTTTCTTTATCTAGTAGCACTATATTAAAAAAATTCTAGCCAGAATCAGTTTCAAAATTAGACGATCGAGAAAAGGATATATTAGCAATCATTTTCACCAGAGTATAACGGAAGTAAAAAAGCCAAATTGAAAATAAATATAATTTCAGTTCAACAGTTAAGTTTACCTATTATCACTGGTGGTATCGCTTGCACCATCAAATTTCCAAAAGCTGACAATATTACAAGGGAAAGTCCCAACCAATGTTTACGAGCCATTTTATTTATTCTGAATCGCAATTTCTGCGATCGGCAGAAGATCCTTGAGGCTTGCTATCTTCTTGCACCACGAAAGCTGCAGGATGGCGTTGTTGTGAATAACTCGTGACACTAAAAGCCATAAAGCATTGGCTCTCCAAGCTCTGTCCCTATTCTGTGGCTCAGTTGCCACAATTGTCCCAAACTTTCGTCACGTACGCCATCACGCTATCTCCAGCAGCTTTGTTTTGACATAACTTGTTGTTGTTGCTCGATATAAATATAAATTTAGATGACGTAAAAATTTCTTCGCGAAGGAGCCTCGCGTGCTTGCCTTATGAGACAGGGGTTAAAAAACGATTGCCTAAGCAAGGGCACAGGAAACGTCCTATTTCCTGTCAAAATCAGTAAAAATTCAAGAATAGGAGAGCATTCATAATTGTGCAAATGCTATTTATGAAGCCCTTTTACTTTTGCTGATTCTTTTCATGTAAATCATATCCTGCATTCTCAATTGGTTGGTGAGAGACCAACATTTAAGATCTTTGAAGAATCTCGTAAAATTTATGGGGTTTTGACTGAGTTATCCTTTTATTTCAATCCTTTTAGTGATTTAGCTAATCAAACCTAACAAATTTCGAAAATATACGATGTAAGACAAAACAAACCAGTTTATTGTGTCCGGAATGAACATTCAACCAAACTTGAAATATAGCTAGCTACTGTGGTTGTCATATATGCCACTTTAGTGAAAGTACAGGGCCTCCTACGAAGGGTAGAGTGCTGGTGGGGCAACAAGACCCTCTCCACCTTTTGCGAAATAAAAAACCTCGGTTCAATATATTTTGTTTTTCGCTTGTTATTTGCGTTTGCAGCCACTCTAATTAAAAAATTTCTGTAGAGATTTGTAATTGGTGTGGTACCGCCTTGTGTCTAAGAGAGGAAGAAGGATTAGTTATCGAATGAAATTAGATTGTTACTTTTTTGAATAAAATCAGTTTTCCAAAAATTGTCGTTTTCCACCATTCTGATTGTTGTGGTTACAAATATTACCCGCGAAAACCCCAAGACCCCCACTACTTAGCCCCACTCCTTTTACCCCCCCCCCCCAGTCTTTCCCCTTTGGTTACGATAAGGCCTTTCAGGACGATGGTCATAATGAAGACACAATTAAGATAGAAATTACCTTAATTGGCCTAGAGGAGTAAACCGGTACCAGTCCTTTTATACTTGCGACCATGCAACATGTACGTGAGACAGGCCACATCATTCTCAAAAGAAACATGTTGCCCTTGTGATCACCATGTTGCCAGAAACAATAAACCACCCAAAAGACCATAGTAAATTTGTCGTTTCTGCTCAGAAGCGTTTTCATGAGCACAAGCAAAACCATTAATTGATCAAAGAATGCAAGCACCTACACCACTTTTTACCGTAGATTTTTGTAGTTAGGAAAAACAAAAAAGCAATGTTTCTGGGTAGGTGCTGGCATAGCTATTGGACTCTTTTTCTTCTACTTTTTGCACTGTCAAGCATATCTTGTCATCAGTCTAATGATTTTTGTGAACGAGATGAAAAAACTGGATCATGCAAAAAGAAAGATTCGACTCAAGATCTGAGTGAGGACGAGCCTTGCTGGGACAAAGAAGAAACATCGGTAAAGCCAGATAGTTTGGAAAGTCAACAGAAGCTGGTCAGACTAGACGGCGTCAAGGTTGAGATATTTATCATCATATTTTAATTGCTATGCTTTTTACGAAATTTCTGCACCAACTTTGGACAATTGTATTACTTTCTGGTTGAGAACATCGACTGAAGTAAGAAACGTAGATTGTCTTATTGATTATTTATGACTAATACAAATTCGGCACCTCCAGAGGAATCGAGGTTTTTGTGTTTTTAAACATGATGGAAGGTCCATAGAGTTTTTAAAACAGTGCCATAAGGCACATACATTCGCTTGTTTTCTAACTCACAAATCTTGCAAAGTGATCTCAGACTTCTTAACTTAACATTTTTCAAAGACAAATCGTATTGAGGGGATTTTCACTACATTTAGGTTGGTCATGAGCAATTCATTGAAGTTGATGGCACAAGGTACAAATTCATAACAAAGTCTATGAGACCCCTTTTGTTTGGTAAGTACTTGTCGTGAATTGGTTACAATGAATATATTCTAGAAGCTTGAAATCTGAACAGCATGTAGATACAATGTTCCACAAAATGCAATAGTAGGGTTGAAACTGCATGTAATAGTGCTATCAATTTTTTAGATTAAGTTTTCATATTCTTAGTTTCACGCGTAAAAATCATCTCAAGAGATTTATTCAAGATCAAAAGATAACGATAATGAAAATTTTACAAGAAAATCACCTTAAAACCCTCAACTAGGTCTCTTTCTACCTTTTGCCGTGGGCAGCCTTCATAAGCAATTGCCATTAATTTTTGAGCCCCTCCCCCTCCTGGAAAAAATATAAGACTGCGCCTATGTTGCTTTGTGAGATTCTTGATTAACATATATAGTTACCTTACATGCAACTAGAAAATTGTTCTTGAAATAAAGACGATCTTTTTAAAATTTTAGAATAATGAACTGTGCCGAGATGTTTTGGTATTTCCGCAGTGTAGTCCTGATTCTATTCAAAAAAAGTTATAGTTGATAAGAAGATATCGGTTGTAGATGATGCATATGTCTTTTTATGATGCAGAAATCCCCAACTTCATAAGCAAAGACGAAGCTGAGGAGATCAAGGAAAGAGCACAGCTCACAGGAATGTTTGACAGCAAAGCCAAAGGAGGCCTAACAGAACCGGACTTTTTTAAACCTAGCGGAAGTAAGTAATTCTAAGATAATTCATATCATAGAATAGATGGTTTCAGATTTGCAAATGAATCTACGCAAAGACAGCTACGTCATGAAATAAATTTCTAGTGCAACTGGCGAGCTATGGTATTTGCAAAGAAACTGTTCTTTGGCTCTGGACCTAAAATTGTGAGTTATTTGTATTCTAAGTCTTTGTTGAAGTTGCTTTGGGCTGGAAAACCAGCTATAAATATCACTGTAATTATGATTACCGCATTAAATTTCTGGCTGTATTCAATCTATCATGTGATCTTTCCTGTTCGTTTTCTCTCTATGGCTTCAACATCATCAGCATCCTTATCTTCATTTAATTTTGTCTTAGGTCCTGGAATATCTCTTGGACCAAGTGGAAAATTTGATTTTTGGGACTGGAACCGAGATGGAGTAATCGACATGAAAGATGTATGTAACATCATCAAATCAAGCTTTAACTGAGTCCACTTTACAGTTGTGTTGAATTTCGCACTTGCATTTCGTCTTCCATTTATCTAAAAAAAACAGTATTGACTCTAAAATACTCTAATAAGTGTAAATGATAACTTTACTATTGACAATCAGTGACTATTATACTTTTATTGAAATGTAAAAGATGTATCATTATTATATAAAACTTTGGTAAGTAACAATTACTGGTAACTTTGGTAAGTAACAACTTGTGGTAACAATTAGCATCGAATCCATTTTGGGGAAAAAACAAAGAACATAAGCAGAGTTTCTAGATTTTTTATAGCACAGAATAAACGTAGAATCCTGCGCTCAAATTGATTAGGATGCAATGAAATTTTCTATATATTCTAACTGACGAATTATTTTCATATCTAATTAGATTAAAAGCTGGACAAGATACTACAGTTTTATTGTGATGAACGAGACTGACATACATGATATGTAAGTGTATCTTTGGTATATTGATTACCATAGACAGGGTTATAATGTCAGCTTGTTTTTATGGCTGATGTTAACTTAATTAAGACTGTGTCATCTGGCTTATGTTATGCAATTTCTAACATTGAAAAAAAATACAGAAGACTTATTTTTCAATTTTGATAACAAGGCATGCAAAAAAATTGGTAGACTGACAACAGGCTCGCGGTCAATGAAATTTATAATTGCTCAGAAGCACTCTAACACAGCTAATCTATCAGTCTAAACATGAATCGTGGAACGATTTTTAACAATTTTTAATGTTTTTTGAAAATTTGAATAAAAGATTCTGAAAGTAGATGCATTTAGAGGCTCTCCTCATTTTCAATGGCTGTCTCTGTGGGCCAGACAGGCATAAAACTATAATTGACCCTAGAAGTCAAACAGCACTTGGATTAAGTAAATGGACTGATCCCTCCTACTGACATTTCCCTGGTCTTTTTGGTTTAGAACTTGATCCTACTGTAATCAAGATGGATTTAAATTTTGTAATGTTCTTATAGGCAAAAGAGCTACTTCTCTTTGTGTTAATTCACAGGGTGTAGTGTACATCCTGTATCTACTGACTTGACATGAATTTTAGTGATCAGCCACGTATTTTTAAATGTGTCATTTTGTAAGATTTTTCTAATCTAACGAACGTCCTTGTTTTTCAGGTTTAAAGCTATTGACTTCGAGCATTTTGATGACGGTATGTCATAAACCTGTTCACATCTTCCATAAATGAAAATTTAGAGTGGGAGTTTATAAGCACATATAAAGAACGATCCTGATAACTTTTGAAATAAATATAAATTTCAATATACACGAGCAATGTAGATCAGGACATCCGACGTCGAGGGGAGGGGGGGGGGTGGCCCTCACATTTTTTTGCAGAACAATAGATCTTTTTTGCAAAATTTTTTGATACGAGTCTTTAATTTCCCCCCGGCCCCTATGTATAAAGGTGTACGTTGCAAATAATACAGCTTTGGTATGTTTCTAGACGTAATGAGGTTGAGGCATTGGCTACATGAAGTATTATATCTTTATTTTAGGAATCATCCCCTGTCGACAAACTTTTAATGGATCCCTTTAATCTATAGTGTTCTATGATATTATATATACTAACTGAATGTACCCTTTGCTTTCTTTAAACGATTTTTGGAAATCTGTTTTGTTTTTTGCAAGGTGTAATTACAAAGGACGAATTCTTGATATTAAGCACACAAGGAGTCGATGATTATATCAACCAGCTTGTTAGAGATCATCCTCGATTTCGACAAAGATACAGCGAACAAGCGTTTTTATCAATGAGCAAGTCCTTCAGCAAAACGCTGCATTTGATCCGTGAAAGGTAAGGAGGCTAGTAGCTAGGAGGTTAGAAATTCAAAATTAGATGGAGGCAATTTAAAGTGATTTGCCCCTCTGATGGGAGCCCTTTGGGAGCCCGGTAGCCCGGTTGGACAGTCTATCATTGAATTGAATGTGAAGCAGTGATCACGCTTTTCCAGCACTTGTCTGAACTAAATTCTTTCCGGGTTTAAAAGATCAAACAACGGTTTTTCTGTCGTCTACTGTTTCATCCAAAAAATTCTTTCAACACAATCTATACAAGAGTTATATGCCCTATTTTGATGACCTCTTGTCTAAAGTTTATTAGAGATTTGTTCGTGAGATTCATTACAAGATGCCTTGCAAGACCATAAAAGTTTGGTTTTTAAAATGTAAATTTTTAGAAATTTCGACTCTCTTAGTATAGTTGATTCCATATGATAGTAAAAATTCAGATCATCATAATAATAAAAACACGCACTAACGATAATAATTTGGTATATAGATTAGGACGGTTTAAGTTTCAGACACGTGTGCAAGTTCTACGTCGATGCTAGAAGTTGTTCAAGTACAATTGGAAAGCAATCTCTCAAAATTTCAGCTTACTCTGAATCAAAGTTCCGAAGACAAGTTTATTAGGCAATTTTCTTACAATAAAGTTCCCTTTGGTTTTACTTACTTTTATCCAAGGTTGAAAGAAAAATTGGAGATGCTTTAAGTATAAAAAAGAAAATTGTACCAATAAATTCCTTAAAAAGTGGAATGTAAAATGTAAGCTTATCTTTAAAGAACTCTCGTTCACAAATCTCGTTCACAAATCACAAAGCTTTTTTCAAAACATTTTGTTATGATTGCCACATTTTATCTTGGCCCCTCCACTTTCCAACCTGCATCGGAGCCCATGCTTTTCTTGCTAGAATGACTTTGATAAATCGTTTATTTAAGATAGTAGCAACAGGTGTTCAGATGAAGAGAATTGTAAGAAACATAAAGTCCAACCACAATATTGGAGCTTAGAATATGATCTAGTCTGGGAAGTTTTTCATTTTTTATACACCTATTACAATCAGCGGGTGAAACTTTAACAATTAATCAAGTTTTGGTGAGCATACGATTCATCATGAAGGAAAGATTGGGCAGTATGGAAAGAAGCAGCATCTTCTAGAACTTCACGATTTCGCGCTTTTTTATGTCATCAGACATCACGTTTGTTTGATTCTATTAGATTTCTACCCTTTCTTGTTTCCCTGTGCTTAGAAAATTCAATCAGTTGGTTTTATTTTCTCTAGTATTGGCAGAAAAGCAATTTGCTTAATAACATAGGGTTTAAATATGAGTTCGTGTTTATTTATTGTACTTTATTTAACCATAGGGTCGTAAAGTTGACGAAACTTCCCCGCAAAATTGTCTATGGCAGCGAGCATATGCAGGTAGTAAAGTACACAACATATGGCCACTACCATGCACATCACGACAGCGAAACACACACCAGAACTGACGTACCCTGTTGCCACATGACCGACACTGAGACCGTGCTGAAATATGGAACTTGCAAACTTTGCAGGTAATTAAAGCTTCTTTTTCATTTTGAAAGTATTAGAAGGATATCAATATTTTCTTTGATAGGCTTGAGCTGAGCTCTACCTCAATAAAAAGCTCTCTGATCCTAAACAAGGGGAATCCCAAGCCTCCCCCTCCATGCCCATAGCACCCCTTTAAACGCATTTGAAATCGAATTTCTAAAATAACATGAATCGGATAGGTTTTTAATTAGTTACTCTTTTTCAGGTTTGTCACGATAATGGCGTACCTAAATGATGTTGAAGAAGGAGGAGAAACAGCATTTCCTGCTGCTGACAATGCAACTTATGACTATAATGTAAGTGCCAAAATCAATCTGTGCCTGAGCTATGTTTTGCCTTGCAAGAAAACATCTCTGTTTGCTAAAACTGTCGCACATTGAAATCTGTACAACAAAAATTCTGATCTGCGTAGACAGAAAGCGTTCAGTTTAGCGGTAGCTGATTGGTTAAAACATGAACCAATAAAACACACTTTCTCCCACTGTACAATTCGATCAACAACTGCAGCACAATGCATCCTGTTTTCCCATTCTATGTTAAAAAGGTTCTGAAATCCAAACTATAGCGCTAACGGTATAATTAGTTACGATTACATCAAAAACTTAGCTCAAATTAATTAAGTCTGTTGGGGGGGGGGGGTGTCATACCCCAATGCAATGCTACAGTTACTACTGCTGTTTCTTATCAACCTTTTTCGTCTCAAAAAATTTAGCTTGCCATAAAATTACATGAATACTAATTGACCCCTTTTTCACAATTTTCTTATGAATTAAATTTATCATTATGATTATTTCTATTTTTTCAAAAATCTCGATTTTGATTTCATCTATATATTTCTTATCTTGAAATTTATTCAGAAATAACAAATTTTAAATGTGTATCATATCAAACAGAGGCATCTGGCTAGGTAGCTCTTTATAGTATTTTTATCATGTATTTTAATCTGTGGGGGCTCTATGTAATCTCTCACAGATACTACATTGTTAATTATCATATTGTTGTTTCAAATCTCGATCAATTCCATTTCTTGCATTTTTAACTGATAGTGTAAATTGAATTTATCAATGTAGTAATCGTGCTGTGAATAAAATGTTTGAATTTGAAGTTAATTCGTCATTTGCAGTCATTCCGCAAAAAAGGCAAAGGGCCAGAGGATTCAAAAGACTTGTATAACCTCAGCCATAACTGCTACTCTTCAAATCTGGTTGTAACCCCCCGTGCGGGTACAGCTGTAATGTGGTACAACCACCTTGTCGACGAGAAGACTGGCTGGCTTGGCGAGTTGGAAGATCGTTCTTTACACGGGGGTTGTGATGTTAAAAGAGGAGAGAAGTGGATTGCCAATATTTGGTTAACTGCCCCCTACGCAGATTCTGTTGATATGCCAAGCATGTATTTTGATGAGGAGGATTACCTGGAGGCTCAGAAACTCTACCTGTAATTAGCCTACCTGAGCGTTAAAACTGATATGGAATTTTTAGTGTTGTTTTTTAAGTGAATTTGATTCGATGAAGACGCTTTGGTCTTTTTTTCCCATTATCTTGCACGGCAGAGGGTTTTAAGTAATGACATCACAAAGATATTTCTAAGTATTTTTGAATAGCCAAAAGTAGCATCATGAAATACCTTTAAATTGGTGAAATTATTTAAATGGTCTAGAAATTGAGTTATGTATGGTCACAAAAGCACAATCTCTTTCCCCGTCAAATCACTATAACCTTTCTTGGCTCTAAATTTTGTTATGAACCAAGCCAAAATACCATTAATTTAATGCTCATAAAGAAATTTCTACTAAAATAAACGAGGTCTTTTAATAATGTCTTCCTAATGTCTACAATAATTTTATAAGCCCCCCTCGTATAAGCCCCCACCCTCGTATAAACCCCATCAAATAAGCTCTCTCTCGAATAAGCCCCTATCCAAAAATACGAAAAGCCCCCAGGCTGCTAATTCGAGGATTTATGGATTGGTTGGCTGCAACCGCCCTGCGGCATACTGATGACCTTGCGCAGCACAGCTTTTCCCGTCGCCTGAGTTATTTTCACGTTGGCTGCTTTGGCGCGCTGTTAAAAGGAATTCTAAAGAAAGAAACTCTTTTCCTAATGAATTCACGCGTACACGTCTGACAAATCATTACTAATTTTACACACGGCCTATTATTAGTTTGCAGCTTCGCGGCCTTGGTCATATGCGCAAATGTGGCTTAAAGATTTTATTTTAGCGAATGCGGCTTCTACAAGTAATGCGGCCTGCATCTTTCAGTTAAAATTTCAAGTGGTTCTACTAAGGTGCTAAATAATTTGTCGAAAGATTCTTTTTGTGCAGAAATTTTGAAACTGCGGCCACTGTTTTTGGCTCAAGTTCACGTGGCGGTTAGCTTCTGTTTCCCGAGTATTAATTCCTTATATGTAGAAATAGGCTGGAAGTGTTTGATCTTAAAAAGTACCCGTCAGGGATCAATTGGGTATCGATCGATGAGCGATAACTACCAGATTACTTACATGCAAATCCCGCCACCCGCGCACGAGGTTTTAAAGACAATCACTTACTCTGCTCTGAACAAATCAATCTTTGAATGGAAAACTTCAATTTTTATCGACGATCTCTGACAACAAAGTGATACATCATTCCATAGTTTGGATGTAGCAATACTTTTCGCTGCACATACAGTCGAACTTGGTCGTATTTTAATCGGGCCTTGTGTATTTAACCAGATTTATGAAACGGATGAAGTTCATAGCTAACTTCAAAACAAAAAGCTGTTTTTTAGCATCTGTTCAATTGGCTTGGTTTGCAGTGGCAGTAATTCAGGATATAATCAGTATTAAACAGAACTGGCGTCAGTAAGAGTACCTGAGGAACCCAAACTTGAAAACACTCCTCATTGTTGATATCAAACATGCTTTTTTGGGAAAGGTTTGGTGCTTTATTCACCCTTTTTGTTAGTACCTTGGCATTGAAAGAAAACCATTTCTGTGAAAAAGATGAAGCAACTGGTTTATGCAAAGAAACAGTAAATGATGAAAGTGCACCTTGTTGGTATTTTGACCCAGAACTTCCGGCAACGCCTGCAAAAGAAGAAGCTGGAAAACTAGTAATGCTCGATGGAGTCAAGGTAAGAGCATCTATTAACTCATTGCTTGAAAATCAGCATTCAAGAGATTTAGGCTAGCTTAAAAGTGTCTGTATCGTGTTTAAATACGTAACGTATCTCAATCTAATGCAAATACAACTGTAGCACTATTGCTAATGATAATGAGACAGCTAGAACGTCTTTCCTTAATACTTTGATGTTCATATGAATAAATAAAAACTATTGAATAAAAGCTGTTTTTACGAAAAATAAGGAAAATGTTTCAATGACATCCTTGATAATACTACAGGGCTACCATCTTTAAAAGTTAGGAAGGCGCTGTGCTGCAGTCAACTTTTAGAAGCTACGACCATGATCACAGCTAATATGCATGCATTTGTATCAGAGATTCTTTGATGTGCATATAAAACCATTGAAACTATTTGCCCACTCAAAAAGACTGATAGGAAGTTGCTCACTTACGTGAAATGTATAGAATAAATCCTATGGTAAATTTAATGGTTGTCAACGCAAAATTTGTGCAAACATGAATTCACTTGTTATGAGAACCCCAAAATATTTCTGCATCTTAACAAGGGGAATTGGGGCCCCGGAGAATCACTTCCATAGCATATCTGATATACTGTTTGTTGGGATGATACAACAAACTAGTTAGCAAAGAGAAAAAATACAAAATGATTCTCGGGGGAGGGGGAATCGGGGAGGGGGGGCTGGAGCCCCCCAATAATTGTCAAACTGTAGTATATTTCCTTTATAAAGGTTTATTAAATGAAGAGGAATACAATTGGCAGTACCCCGCCCCCCCCCCTCAATGGGCAGTTCCGACGGCACTGTAGTGAAATGTTATTGTAGCACCAGGCTATTTCTATTGTAGCACCAGCTTATTTCTTCCAGCTGTTAATGAAATCGCGAGTGGATCATGAAACTACCTATTCAAAGTGTTAGGAAAACATTGAAACCGAGTTCGCAAGAAAACGAACACGTGCAGTGGCGTGGCCTTGCCATTTGTTAGAATTTATGAAGCAAAAGCCAATTTATCAGCAAGCTGAAAAGGATTGGCTGTTATCTGTTAACTTCCTTTAGCATTTCTTCAATTGAAACTAGAAGAGTTCTGTTAAGGCCAAGTTTACCGATTATTGCGATAATCATTCAATTTTCATATTAGGTAGGACATGAGCAAGAGGTGACCATGGCAGACAGGAAATTCAAGCTAATTACGAGATCGATGCTTCCTCCCTTGTTTGGTAAATTTCATTCTGTTATTGATTCTTGAACAGAAATTTATCAAATCATTGTTATTCAAAGATAGTGAAAAATTTGAAACTTTACTTTTCTAGAAAGAGTAGGAAATTATATTTACATTATATCTTTCAATCAAAATTTGTTTTAGATTTTTTCAAGAAAACATACAGCTCATTTTCGTACTTTAATATGCAATATTTTTGAATCAAGGAAAATGTTAAAATCTTTCTTTATTTAGTCATATCCTTTTGACACCAGCAGTAAATATTGCAAAAAAATTATATTCAACATTGTAATCAGTTTCGATTATGGTACTTCTGACGTCAAAGTCAACCTGCTATTAGCACAGCTTGATGTCATTGCAGCTTCTTTCAAAGAACAGGCTTGAAATTAAAAAACCTAAAATAAAAGAACTGATAAAGCAAGTACTGTCTTAATGAAATTTTTCCTTTGAACTGCATTTATCACAAAATTCTAAATTCTAGCTCTTTCAAAAATTTAACTTCTCTTATAGAAATCCCAGATTTTCTTGAGAATTACGAAATCGACAATATCATATTGCAAGCAGAGGATTCTGGGATGTTCAGCAGTAAAGCAAAAGGTGGACTCACTCCTCAAGACTTTTTTAAACCATCCAAAGGTTTGAGCTTTTGTCAATAGTATCATTCATCCAAATAACAATTTTCTATTCAATTATAACGACTAAACTTTTTTTGTGTTATTTTTTGAAATGAAAAAAGGAAAAAAGATTGAATGTTGAAAAACCTATAAAAATCATATGTATCATGAAGAGCCAATGCTGATAAAAGCTGATAGGTGCAAAGCTTATACAAAATTTCATGCTTCTTGAAGGATTTGAGGCAATATTTTGATGCTATTTTTGCAACAATTTTCATACAAAGAATGCCTAGTTAGAAAGAAGAACGTTAATTCTCAAGGACTGGTGAGAGACACTATCATAATGTTGTCAGAGCCCCTTCTATCCAATAACCAATTGTAGCAAATTTTACATAGCAATTGAAGATTATGAAGCTTTGTGCTTTGTCCAGGAATTCATGCCAGAGTTATTTCATTTTGAAGATGTCCTTCTTAGCAGGGGTGTTGTGCTAGGGAGGCTGAGCCCCACTTGCTAGTATCGAAAAGTAGCAAATTTAAATTTTTGCTATTGTTCTTTGCAGCCTTTTGCGCAAGAGCCCCACTTGTTATTTTGATAGCACTACACCCCTGCTTCTTAGGGTCTCTATAGCCTGCAATCATTCTGGAGTAAAGAACAATTCAGACTATCATTTGTGTACAATTTTTAGTACAATATTTAAAATAATTAGGAATTTAATTGCAAATGTAGTAACTGTATCAAGCGATGAAAATACAGTTTGTAAACCCTGGTGTATTTTTTAACTTCGTAGTGCCCGGAAAGTCGCTGGGTGCTGCTGGTGACTTCTACAATTGGGATGTCAATGAAGACGGTATCATTGACATGGATGACGTAAGCATAGTTATCACGTTCACATTTATCACAATACAAGATCACAGGTTTTCCGTCAAAATAGCAGTTAAGCTTTACAGGGAGGTTTTTCATCCCTTTGACCCCCTCCATCTACTACGCCACTGCGCCTTCTTAGCAAAATTACATTCATTAGCGTAGATTTCGCTGATACAATTATGGATGCATTAAATACGTGACATTTGAGTCCAAAGGGGTTCATTTGCGTCCAATACGTCTTCTGGACTATGGGCATCGATAGGTAAACCTATGCTGTAGCTATATAGTATAAATCCGCATCAATAATCTCAAGTAAATAGGGATGTAAGTTCTTATAAAATTGTTGATAGATAATTTCTGTTTAAAGTTTGTACACTCTTTTTTTTATAAGTACAATTTTATAAGAACACGAGCCTCAAAACTGGTCAAATATTAAGAACAAATTAAGAACAAGCTGAGGCTGGGTTTCTGCAAAATGCAATTTTGAACAACGTTTTTTCTCAAAATCGAGGATTTTTAGCGATGTGTGGGTGCTTTTTCGGTCAATATTCAAATTTGTCAGCAAATTAAGGCTGTCTCACTCACTTTGTTGGCCTGAAAACCTTCTTAGAACTAAAAGCTAGCAATAGTACTGCTTACACCCTCTTAATTTAAGAACAAATTAAGAACAATCCAGCCTCAGATTTTCGAAAAAATTAAGAACAGTCAGCCTGAACTTAATTTTACTGGTTCTTATAAAAAAAGAGCGTAGTATATATCATCATCCTAGACGCTCAATCTTTGCATTCTGCTTTATCTAATTATGGTGAAAACAAATAGAAACAGCATATTTAAAATTAATTTAGCTATACCATATCCTTCTTATATGAAGAAAGATTTAGTGAAAGCAGGAAGCATGGAATCGGTGATATTTCAACATAGTCGTAGGAAGCATTTTAACAATTGGGAGGGGGGCCAATGTAGTTAAAATTGGGGGTACCTCTGTAATTTGCAAGTAGGTACCTTATCGCTGTTTCTAATAAGTGAGTTGGGGGCGCGTGCCCTCTGTGCCCCCTGGCTCCAAAGTGTATGATTTCGAGAGCAGCATGAGTATGTAGTGTCTATATGGTGTTTAACGATTGGACATTGAGAGCAGTTAGTTTTCATTTCAGTAATTGTAATTTGCAATGTTTTTTCATAGATTTTACGCTGGAATAAGTTCTTTAATTTTCTGGTGTTGAATGAAACAGACGTGGAAGAAATGTACGTTTCTCTCTTATTTCCGAGATAATGAAATTCATCAATGCATTCAACAATAATACTATAAGATTTGATTTTACACAATATTTTTTGTTTGATTTTTACCATATCTAACTATCACCAACATTTGAAATATGTATATAATTTTATGCATGTGTAAAATGAATGAATATTTTCGCTGAAAATAGCTTGCTATTTAGCAAGATTCCTTCTGACAAGATTTTTATTCCTAAAATTTTAGTTTTACTGTTGCAAACTAATTTTGCATTGCTTGAAATTCATTAAACGGCAAGAACTTTGACTGCATCTTAATGTCTCTTTCATAGCTACAATCCTTGCCAAAAATCAAAAGCTAAAATTTCGCATAACTTCAGTAGCATCCCCCCCTCCCTTTTGAAACATTGTTGAATGACAACAGTTTCAAAGCTTGAAATTCATCCAATGTCACTTTATCAGCTAGGGTAAGTAATAGGCTTTTCAGCCAACATTGTTTTGGGGGGGGGGATATTTCTGTATCTTACAACTGGAAACCTTTATTTCTTCAAAATCTTTCATTGGTCGCAAGGTGTTCCAAGGACATTTGTTTCAAGGGCAGGGTGTTTCAAGGATTGTACCTTTTTGTCGAAAGCCTCGTGCAAAAGGAAATAATTGATAAACATTCTTAAAATTTGAGCTAAACTTAAAATTTTTTCCAAAATTCCAACCAGGAAAGCGCTGGTAGGCTACTTGTATATCTGATGTGGTGCGCTGGAAAAACGCGTGGCAATATGATTAATAGTAACTTTAGGTAACTAATTGTAACTATGAATCTGTTGATAACATGTCACTTTTGTACGCTTCTGTGTTGCAGACTGCTGAGGCAATGGCTAAAAACCTATGTTGTTAGCATAATCTGAAAACGAAATTTAATCTTTCTCTTTCATAGGTTCAAGTTTGTGGGTGGCAGTGAGTTTGATGACGGTACGTTGGGAACTAGGCATTGTTTTTACAAGATATGTAGTTCATGACCATACTCAAATCGCGTCTATTTAGAAAATAACAGCTTTTTTGGGTTGTATCCTTATTGCACTCAAGTCTTTAATTGTCTCTGACATTCTATGTTAGTTTAAATGATATTCCTTCCATTCCTAAAGCTTATTTCAAGCTAGAACAAGATTCTTTGCTGATTTTCCAGGAATTATCACAAAAGAAGAATTCGAAACATTAAACACACAAGGTCTGGAGGATTACATAAATTTACTGATCCGAGAGCACCCTAGATTTCGCCAGAGGTATAGTGAGCAGACATGGCTGCCTTTTGAGAAGATATATAGCAATGTTCTTCATAACGTGAGGGAAAGGTTAGTAATTAATGAATTTAAATTTGACAAGAGTTTGAGTGAGAAAAGAACCAATGAGCTGAGAACAGGCAATAGACTGATTCTTCACTACTCGCATTTCAATGCCGATTCTCGTAATTCTAAACCAATGCCAAAATATGAATTTTTTAGCCAACATTTTTCAATGAAAACACATAAACTCGATTTTGATTGTGCGCTTTGTTGATTGCATTCGTGTCCAACTCACTCTTTCCTTCTCATCGAATGTTTCTACAAGCGTTATGGATAGGCCCATATTCAAGGCAGTTTTACGTTTGAATAAAGATTCATCCTTTGTTAAAGTCCTAGCAGGGGCGTTGTGGCTCCTAGAAAAGGGCCGGGAGAGAATGATCATCGGGGGGCCCGCTCTTCATCTCCAATCACAAACCACAGGTCGCTCAAAATGGTACGTACCTGGAAATCATGCACCAACGAAAAATTACAAATACGCCAGTTTTTATCATCTTTAAAGATTCGTCTGCTATATTTATTGGGGTGTATCCCCTTTTCTCTAATCAAAGTCTAATGCCAAAGTACATTCTTAACACAAACACAAACGCAGCAGAGCACTTACGTGCACGGCGAGCGAAGCGAGCTGAAAATTTTGTGACCATGCCCTTCAAATTAGCTTCAATAACATTTTGGAATGTTTTTTTCGAGTCGTGTACTACGTTTTAAATTGTTTAGGCAAACTTTTTGCGTTTAGTTAAAGTTCAGTTCTTAAATTGGAATTCCTTGCTTTAAGAGGCCCCTAGACTTCGAGGCTCTGGGGCAGTTTGCCCCTTCTTATCCCCTCTCGGTGACTCTATTCAAATTCCACGCATCTCTTTCGCAGGGGTCTGTTTGTATATGATGACCTCCTCTTATTCTGAACTGCGAACTTGAGTCTACATGTAAGTGAGAGGTTTTCTCACTAAAATTTTACTCATATTAAATATTTTCCGGGGTTTTACAAACTTATTTTAAAGGGGCCCGCTGGGAAATTTCCCGGTCCCGCCTAGCAACAACGCCCCTGATTCCTAGGCAGCTTACACCCAAATTAAGTGAAAAATCGAACTTATCATGAAAAGTAGGTTTTGCTGATGAAATTCTTTCAGTTTCTGTGCTTTCTCGGCAATAAGTCCTTCCTCGCCTTAAAGATATCAATATCTACACCCTTACCTACATTTGCTAAGTTTTTCCCATCATAAAACCTAAAGATATGCATAAGCCATTTGCAATCGATTGGTAAATTTCATTTGATCATTTACTTGTTTATTGAACTAAATATATGGAAGCTCCAGAAGGCCTGTGTGATTTTACTGCAATAAATCACAATATAACTGTAGTCAATGATCTTTGTGGTCGTGAAATAAAAGCGAAACGATTGCAGAATGCATAGAAAGCTTTCATTAGTATATCGCGGGAAAGTGGCTAATTTGTTTTTGCTATCTTTTTTGTGTGTATACAGTGAATAAATGTCCTGTCCAGTTCTTAGCACCAAACTCGGACCAAAGCAGTGACGAAGAGTTGAATTTACCGACGAAGACTTTAATGAAGAAAAAAGTGGATGTTATTTCACTTACTGATTGGCGATTTTACCGACCACCTAAGAATCTGTGGACCAGCTGAAGATTTACTCATGAAGAATCTGGAAAGTCACAACCCCCCACCCCCTGCTAACTAAGCTTTTGGCTGTGCTTACGCAATATATGTTCTTATTTTCATTTACACCATTACTATTATTAAGCTTTAGCATAGAAAATTTTCATTTTTTTCTTTCAAGGGTGGTTAATATCACGAAGCTGCCAAGAAAACTTGTTTACGGTGGAGAGCAGCTACAGGTAAGTGGTAATTTGACATAAAGTTTTGTGTACAATTTTTATCATCCAATATCACATAGGCATATTAGAGCTTGTTAAAGACACAATGGTTTTTACATCTTTTTGGACAAGTGAGGTATTTTTGTTCTTCAATTTGTAAATATGAATCTGTGTGAATATGAAAATTGATGCCTTAATAGTACCCAATAGCAAACGCCAGCAAAATGTTCAAATGGCGTTTTATTCATACCTTGTGTACTTAGACATGTAGGCAGACATGCAAAGTTATGAGGTACGGGAGAGATGTTAAGATGTTAAAACAAGTTCCAAATGTACCAATTATCTAGAAAAAGTAAAAGCTATGTATCAACTCGTTTGAAAGTGGAATTTAGATTAAAGAAATTTCGGAAGAGCTGCGCAAGTTTTTGTCAAGTCACCGAAGCAATGGGGATTTCTAGTCCCACAATTTTACACAGACCAACCTGTATAAAGTATTAATCTCAAGAAAAGACTTGTTTTGTCAACATAAAAACTGTTCCATCTAATTTTTCTCGGACTCTCATAGTGTGCTACCTGTAAAATTCTACTAGTGTCAATGTAAATTTTCTTTAAAAGCAAGCCAGCCGCAATGCTACCGACATAAAAACACCAACGTTGTCTTTTAGACTCAAAAATTAAACACGAAGAAAGACTCTTGTCCCCCCGAGAACATTAAAATAACGGTATCATCAAGATTTCGTTCCGTTACAGTTTACACCAAGGCCACTGTTTGCTGGCAAAATAATGAGGTTTTTTGCTCAAAATAGAAAATTGAATAGGTGTGACGATTTTGACCGCTTGATACCATGCCAAACCAACGCCCTTATTAGCGTTTCTAGGTACTGTCTTTGCATTGAATCCTTCTGGTATGGGTTTAAACTTTGTGTAAACTTTTCGCTACACCTATTCCAGTTAATGAAATTAAAAAGCAGGAAAATCAATGCAAAATTGGCCACAGATTAAAGTAAGATTAAATTCTAGACTATATTTGATCTACCAGGAGCCATTGCAGATGGTATCCTAAATGCATTGGAAGGCTGGTTTATCAGTTACAGCGTCAGTTACTAAAGCTATGTTTTCAGTCAGATCAATTCGATTCAGATCAATTCCAGTCAGATCCATTCCATTTAGCTGGAATAATAGAGGTGAACCAGTGGTTTGGGGTCATTGCTCTACTCAAGGTCCTTGACTTTAAAATGACACCTGACCTAAGTGGATTCTCTGTACTGTAGTGTCAAGTATAACACTCTCGTCTTCCTGTAAGTGTTCTTCAAACAAAAAGTAAAGGTGGGGTGATGTTTTGGGTTTTGGACTTAAAATAGAATCTTTAGAATTTGTTCTAGGTTTATATAAGTTTATATGTGTCGATGAACATACTTATATTAAAAGCTGTGTCTTTTAATCCACTTGCAATAGTTTCCAAGAGTTTTTTTGGAGGAATGTTTACAATAACATTGTGAATTTGCAATAAGATGCCAATCCATCAGCTGTAATCTTTACATATTAAACTGAATCTTCCCTGAGTGTTTCATTCACTCTATTTTGCAAGTTTTACAAGTTGACGATAATCTTAGGCCTAGATTTATCTAACCATAATATTTCTTGTTACACCATGCATAACAATGATAACAGAAGAAAAAAAAAGTTTATGCATCAAAAGTGACAAATTCGTTGTACCAACTTTTAAAAATGTGCGTAGTAAAAATGTACCATTTTTAAAAAGACTTTCGAGTAAATATTGTGACTTTTATCTCTACCAGAACTATTGAATTTCTCAGGCAAAACACAACTTGAATATCTTCATAATACGCAGGTTGTGAAATATGGTCCTTACGGCCACTACCATTCTCATCATGATACCGAGACTCACGAAAGAACAGATGTGCCGTGCTGTCATCAAACAAATGTTGACATTGCAAGGCAGCATGGGAAATGCAGGATTTGCAGGTACGGTACCGTATGCAATGATTTGGCCCTCCTTTCTCGTAAGCCTCCTTTTTGTTGCATTAGAAGACATGATGCCATTTCACAAAACTAAGTCCAGACCTTTTTTCAACGCGCTACGTTCTTTCTTTTTTGGTTAAAAATTCTGCTGCATTTAAATATAATCATTGTGTCAAATAAACCTCTTTCCCCTTAAGAAGTTCATGTTTTGGATAAACGAATTACTGCAACAATAGTAAAAGATCGTTACACGGGTGCTGAAATAGAGGCATTTACTCTAGAAAGCGTTGATTTTTTTAATTTTTCAAAAAACATTTGACATGCTTCAGAATTTTTATGCGGGAGATTCATGCTCTTCAAAGCACGTTCGGCTGGAAGCAAACGAAGAAAACGCTTTGCTTTAATTCTTTGTTAAAATTTTTGTTCAACAAAACGAGATCCAGTTTAAAGAAATGAACCAACAAGGGATGACATTTCTTCTAGGGATTATGCTTGATTTAGTTGTCTTTATTTTTGTTTGAAATTTGTTGAAGAGCAGTAAACCACACTTTCTAGTTCTGCTCACCAAATATCAAGAAAGATGAAATAGCTATTGCAGATGCCTAGCTATTCTTGAACAAAGTGAAGATGAACAGGAGGCCAAAATGACATTCTTTACAAACTATTTCCAAACTAATCTGGATTTAGGATTTAGGTCTTTTGTCGTTTGTTTGTTTAAACATCAAAGATTATAGCGATAAAAAATACATCACTGTCTTGCTAGATGATAATGCTGGCAATTTTGCTAAGTTCCTCATTTCTCTACCCCGTAAGAGCATCAATTACATTGTCGAGTAAAAAGCAGAGAGTACCCAAAATTGGTGCGGGTAGTTTGTGGTTCCATGGAACGCTAGGGTAACGGCGATCCACACTTCTCGTGTTTAATCATATAGCTGCAACCAGAGAATCACAATACTTAGTTTGATGAAGTTGAAGGGACAATAGTGGCTCGCAAAGTGACAAGGGAGGGGATTGCATTCAGATTTTGGGACTTTCATTTTTCCTGCTATCAGCGGAGATTTATTTTTGCTGGCCTGCTTTTTTAATCAAGACATGATCCGTTTATTTCTTTATAGTGATCTTTATTCAACGTAGACACAAACATATCATAATTTAACCACAACGTTTCAAAGTTATTTGGTACAATTATTTGCAATTACAGGTTTATAACTATAATGGTTTATCTGAATGACGTCGAGGAAGGTGGAGAAACAGCCTTTCCTGCAGCTCATAATAAAACCTATGATGATGACGTAAGCATGCATTCCTCTTGCTTTTTATAAATCCTGCTTAAGAATCGAAACAAATTAAAGTGAGTTTCGTCATACCTCAAGTGTTGTGAATGATAAGGAAACAGACACAGACAGATAACCTATTCATGTGTAACTTTTTCGTCAATTAACTTGGCTGTTTAAAACTAGAATTGATGGCTCAGGGCAAGGGCGTGTGATGAGGGGAGCAAACAATCGCGCCAACCTACAAAAACCACTGCATCACAATTTCATTTCATTTTCTGATTGGCATCATATTTTTTCTCAAAATTACAAGTTTTCGCTCTTTTTTTGCTGATAAAAGAGTTTTCAACAAATAATTTTGGTATGACATACAGAACTTCATGTTAGACATAAAATTTGCACTAGATCCAGCAATACGAAAATGCTTCATCTAGCTTACATCTAGCGCATTTAGGGCAAGTTACGTTTTCAATACTCAGTGATATTTATTCAAGTTTCCGATATTATAAGAGATGACAAGAAATATTCAATGCAATAAGGAAAAAGAGCCAGTGAAGCTGTTAGAGATCAGATAAAATAATATTCTTATTCAGCATACTTTGGCAGGGATATGAAGTAGCTAATTATCCATAGAAAATCCTCGATAAGACCATTTGAAGTCCCATTATCATATAGATCTTTGACAAGAGAAGTGATAAATTGACTTTTGGATGACACTGCATGGCAATAATTGATAGTAAGTCTCTTTAAATGTTTAACACACCTAATGTTGCAACTGAATCTTTTCAAAGGCTCTTCGTGTCAGAGGAGACGAAACACTTCCAGATTTGCTCAATTTGTCGCAGTATTGCCAAGCTGCGAATCTGGTTATCACACCGAAGAAAGGAACGGCTGTTATGTGGTACAATCATTGGATCGACAAAAAGAGTGGCTGGCTGGGCCAGAGAATCGAACAAAGTTTGCATGGAGGATGTGATGTTAAGAAAGGTGAGAAGTGGATTGCAAATATCTGGCTGACAGCGCCATATGCAGACTCAGTGGATGTGCCAAGCATGTATTTCTCAGAACATGATTACACAGCTGCAGAAACAGCCTATAACGAAAAGTAAATTGATTAACCATTATGAAAATTTGTCTAAGAATAACGCACAATCAACGCTAACTCAATTTTTTAAAAGAACGGCATATCACATTATATGATATATTTTAGACGAATGAATTAATATATGGCTGAATGAGTCGACTAAACTGCTTACATGGTATATTCAAATTGATCAGAACTTTCTTCATAGGAAGTATTTAGAGCTGCATAATGAATTGGACGTCACTTTTCTTAATAAAGAATTAACATTGAATTAAGACTTACTAATATAAATGAATTTAACATATTTAGGTTTTTTTTTCGTTTTCCCGCACTCTCTATTAAATAAAGTTGATATATCATAATCAAGCTAACAGATTTAAAGAAAGTTTCTTGCTCAAAGTTTCGATGGGTCTACTCAAACTGTCATTTGCTTGCATTTCTGATTGGCCTACTTAAATCCACATCTGGGTATATATTTTCTAAACATTATCGATAATTTTTCTGATATTTCAACTCTGAAAGCCGTCAGAGTTATTCTTGTAAAACTATATAGATTATATTGCATGCACAACTATCTTGAAATCAGGTAATATGTGGCTTTTAAAATCGTCTAGTTTCTTTTACTGGATCCAAGGCTCTTTCGATGGCTTGTGGATTGAAGAAAACCCATGGGCGTGCTGTTACTTTGCGTGCAACGCAACGCATAGATGAACACCTTTGTTTTGGAGAATTTTAAGAAAGATGCGAGATATTTGTGACGCCACAAACTACCATCCTGTCGTGCCATGCGATTGTCTGGTTCTGTTTTTAAGTCAAAACTTGCGGAATTCTCTACACATCTCCACGACATTTTCATTTAAAAAACGACATTCCAAAGCAATCGGAAGTATCTGGGTCATTTAGAAAGAGTATTCTGACGATTAAAAAACTTGTTTAGCTATATCGTCAAGTGGTCACGCACCTTAAAAGAAAATATTGTTCAGTTTTTGCATGGCACGTCATACTGACGACACGGTGACACGAGGGTTGTTGATCTTAAAAAGTAGTTAAGATTCACTTTTTGCTTTTAAGCTCATACACATTCTATTGGCGTTTTATCATTTTAAAGAAGGAAGGATCAATTTCAATTTGCTAGAAGCACTCTCAGATCTAATATTGCAACAAGTGAATTAAATTGAAAATTATTCATGCAAGTTTTCTCGAAGGCATTTCTCGTCGTCGTTTTGCTTTGTTTCTGACTATTACCTTGTTCATATTACTACTCATTGCAAGATCTACTGAATTCGGCGGACAGGAGATCCGGCCTTTCTCATTCTTACAGAAATTAATGCTGTTTCTGTTGTTCTTACAGCTTTCTTGCATCTGCCTGCTCCCAATTTTGAAGCAGATAAAGTGCATGGATTTTCGTGTTAACGATGAACCAACATCAATATCCTATTATATTACCCGCAGAATATCCTGCAGTGGCATCAAGGTCATATGCATATAATGCAAACACTGTTGAAAAGATGCTTAGAATAAGGACATTCTTGGCTTGCATTTATATAATGCTGTTATGATCAAAGTAAAATTTCAAAATAAAACTGTTGGACATTGATTTTCTTAGAATTCGCATAATAGCGCAGAATCCTTCGATAAAAAATCATTTGTTGGAAGAATCAAAGATTGTTACTTAATCTTAATGCTAATTTAATAAAAGACTTCAATGAACAAAAAGTTTGATTATAGCCTAGCTCTTGCTAAAAACAAGCTTTTGTTATTCTACCCTGGGTTGCAGAGCCTCAGCGAAAGGGTGGGTCGGTAAAAGACTGTTCGTCCATCTTTCGCTGAGGGTCTGGTACCCAGGGTAGTGCAATTCTCGTAACTTATGTCCAGGTTCTCCGCATGCAAACAAGACCTTGGCAGCCGTTCGACTCAGAGCTTCTTAACTTTTTCATTCATTAATTCATTCATTAATTCAACATTAATTCATTCGATCTACATACAAACGTAAAGGCGCCATTGTGTAGACAGAAGGAGTTCGTTTTCCCTCTTAGACTCCAGTGGAAATTTTTCATTGGCCTATTTCGATCCACAACTGGGTATATATTTTCCATCGTGTTCTTTCGGACCCTGATTCTGACGTTTTATGATCTAAGAAGTGTCAGACAAAAAAGCTTTAAGTATGTTGTAAAATGTTTGCTTTTTTCAATGCCATTTTCAAGTTCACTTTCATTTTCATTTTTTTGTAAAAGAAACTCTCCATTATGCGCCGTCAGACTCAAGACAAAATTAAATGAATTTGGTGTCAAAAAATGCCTCGTAGAGCAACTAAAGCAAAAATAAGCAAGCACTCAGATTTTACTTGAAATAACAAACAATGTTTATCAAAGTCGGACTGTAAAGTATTCTTTCGGGTGCACGAACAAAATTTTTAGTCTGGTAAATATGCTGATTAGATCACTCAGCCCATTTAAAACTTCTTAGTGTATTTCCATGGACGACTGTAGTGATGGCGAGCAAGCTTAATGAAAGTTTTGCTTTTTTTCACGCTTAGTGACCTACATTTCTTTTTGCAGCATTGGTTACAGTAATTATGGCGAGAATACGTTTGGAAAATTGGTCATTACGCTAACATTAACTATTGCGTTAATAACTTAATTTATTGGATAGTAATTTGCTGTTGAATGGCAGGATATGATAATTGGTGCTAAAACTGCCATGATTAGCAAAGCATAGAGATGGCTGAATATTTTTGGTCCGTTTCCTTGGGGATTTATTTCTAAATTACCTCCCTGTTACTGTTTCGCAAATAATTGTTATCATTTCTTACCAGGCCACCTAAATTTAATGTCAATTGATGTAAATTGCCATGAACAGCCTGCCCTAGTTGCTGTTTCATAGTAGTGGCGAGAGGGAGTGACAGGGATCGCAGAAGAGAGGAGGGGGCTAAGGGGGCTTAAGCCCTTCCCCAATAATTTCCAAAATGTACTTAAAGTCATAGAGAAAGCGCAGTAGTCATAAAGACTATGAAATCGCCCTGCTCTTAACTTTTAGCATGTTTAGCCCCCCCCCCCCAATGTTTTAGCCCCCTCAATCTGTAATATGCTCCGCGGCTCAATGTTTTGATTTTTTTTTAATTCAAAAGACATTGCTTTTTCTAATTACTGGTGAGTTTTCTAATTATGTCAATGCCTTGCTTGTATTTATGGAACTCGAGCCTCGGTGTACAAAAACTTTTAAAGTTAAAAGTTTTACAAAAAGGTATTTTCAAAGTCGTTTAAATTTCAATTTCGTCATTTATGAAGCAAGGGCCTTTTCATACCCCTAGGCCGAATACAGATCTATTTCGCATTTATTGTCCATGATTAACTATCAATTTTGTTAAAAATTAAAGCTTTAATTGGTATAGTTGCACTATCGTACATCAATTGAAGAGCAAGCTGTGTTCCCACACCTGGACGGAAATCTTTTCAGATGACTCAATATAGGCTCAGTAGGCCATACAAAGTGGCAAACACTGAGTATTGTAATCAAAACACAATAAAAAAACCATAAGCGCCTGAAATATCGTTTACAATAAATTTACATCATAATAGACCTATTGAAAAATATCAATCACGGACGTTTGATAAAACAAAAGCCTTTTAACGTTGTTTTCCCCATGAAGGAAGCCAGGGCAGTCAACTGTTAAATGTGAGAAATACCAGACCGTCTTTAACACACCGGTAATTCAGGTGTAACTATCAATTTGTGCTGTAACTTTTGACGCTGATACTTACAGACGAATGATTTTCATGGTTATATTTCCGTCCCTATAAGAGCGTATTTGGTTCATAAAAACAAGGAAACAACCAGGAGAAAGGTCCCGGCGATGAGCTATAATCATTTTACTTTTGTTTCTGTTTGGTTTCACAAAGAATTTCCTCTCAGACGTTCCTGAAACAAGTTTCTGAAGTGTGAAAAATTGATATAACACAGGCTGCTGAAAGTGATTGCAGTGAAAGTCATACCACCGGCAAAATTGATGTACATTTTTGGCTGCGGGACAACGCGAATCTGACACACAAAGCTTCCTTAAACAATAGAACAATAGAAAGAATACAATTGAAATAAAGCGAGAGAAACATAAACAAAAGATCGGAATGTGCGGGATAATCTGCGTGTTATGCAAACCTGGCAACTATTAGGACGGTGAGTAACGTTGTCAAGAGGATTAGGCCACAGAGAGCAATCGCTGATATTCAAGGCGGATGTTAAATGGTTGTGATTTGCGTTTTCGAGACTTTTATGTATTTTAAAGATTGAGAAAGCACCATGTTTAAATTTGTCGTCAAACGTAATTCGAAGGAACTCTTTCACCGCGCCGTCGCTGAAGACGATATTTTGAGAGTGAAATTACTTCTTGATCAATGTAAAGAAGACCCCAAATTCAATATTGATGAGATCAATGATGAAGGACTTACAGCGTTACAGAATAGTTGTTTCATCGGTAATGTAGATATGGTAAAATTATTATTATCATACGGAGCCAATATGAAAATCAAGGATCGTGAAGGATGGACTTTACTGCATGCGGCAGTAATGACAGGTAATTTTAACATCGTAAAGTTTTTGGTTGAGAATGGATTGAGCGTCTCCAGTAAAACTGACCGAAAAGACTTGCCAATTGATTTTGCCGAAAGCAAGCAGATCCTGTTATTTCTTGTAAAGAAAATGCTTGAAGCTGGCATGATTGATGAAGTTCACAAATATATCAAGCGAAATCCGCGTCGAAAAAAGGAAATTTATAAGCAAATAGAAATGTCAATAAAGTCAAAGCGGGACGAAATTAAAGCATTGGAAAGTTTCCCATTTACACCAAGGGAAAGCAAGGGCAAGCCCCCAAAAGGAGAAAAGAAAGAGGTAGGTTCAAGAAGTAAAGACGACTCAAAACTTAATAGTCACATAAAAGTTACTACCAGGAGAAGTTATCCTGTTGATCAGAACCACAGTCCAAAAACGAAAGAGAGAGGCTACAATGAAGTTTTCACCCTAGATGTAGATGATCTACCAGAAACACCAGTTCATAAAAAATGGTCATCTTTGTCAAATATAGTTGACAACTCTAAAGCTCATCTGACAGAGTCAAAAGTAAAAATGCATAACGGGTATGAAACAGATGGAACTGAACCAATTTATCAAAATTCCACTGAAGTCAAAGCATTACTCAAGGATATAATCTCAAACAACAATGGTTCACATGACAGACAGAAAAAGCATACAGAAATGGACATAGCTAGTGTAAATTCCCATTCAACATCAGGATATGAAACAGATGATAACCAACTGATGTACTACACCAGGCCTATTAGATACTCTGATACAAATGAATTCTTTGAAGGAGTTGAAAATAATAATCACCCAGACAATGAATATTTAAAAAGGTCCCAAACGATGTCACCCAGGACAATGAGACGTTTGGAATACAGATTTGGGACACTTTTTGTCAATAATCTACCAAATGAATTTAATGGAGGAAGTTCACAAAAACCAACTGAACACAATTTTAAAAAGATTGAATACCCAGAAGTGTTCCTTTAAATTAGCATTCTGGTTTGAGATAATCTTAATTTTAGGATGCAAGACTCTTCATTTCTAGAATTTTAACTGAACAATATCACCCTGGAGGACAATTAATCTTTTACCAAAGCACTTTCTATTCAATAGGTATGTTGGGCATATAGATTTTATGACCTTTTATCAGAAAGAGAAAGAATTTTTAATAGTTGTTGGTGCTCTAGGGTGTTTTAAACAGTCAGTTGTTTTGTATAGTGCTACACCATTGCAAATCTTTAATTGGCTTTTACCTATTAAGAAACTGTGTATTAACTTACTTCCCTAAGTGTATAAGTTTTACAGTATGGTTTTATTGCAATGCTGGATTTGAAAAGCAGCTCACAGAATTTCATTTTGTTTAAAAAATGTGTATCCTATCACTAAAAATCCAAAAATTAAATAGCCCCTTAGGATAATGACTCCATAAAACAGTTATATCCTTGTGTCCGCAATAAACAGTGGCTCATAACATAAAGGGTTTGGATAAAATCTCTCAAAACTTGTTGATGGTAAAGAGGCCAAAATAGTTGGAGTGTTGAAAATTTTTTTACCAGTCCATTGGAAACAAAAAGTTCAAGGAGGAAGTCGGCCTTTGTACTATACACTGTTTGATATTGAAGGCTTTAGAAAATAAGAAATGATCCAGCCTTATTTGTGACACAACACTCCAACTACATTCCTTCCAATAAAGAATTTTAAGAATTCATAAACAGATTCATTTTTAGATTGGGTACCTTTTTACTCAAAATTACCAGTAAGCTATAATTTCAAAATCAGTTTATTCCTTGAGCAGATACAAGGCTCTTTGTTGTAGATTTTACAAGTTTTGGTATTGTTATATGTTGTTATCATTTTTAATGGTCTTAAAATTAATCTAGTTTATATTGAAAAGAAGTGTATATATTGAAAGCGTTTGTTAGGAAGCAGTTTAGTATAGATGTCTATATTCTGGCCTAAATCCATTGTAAATTTCTATGGTTTGTACTGTTTCAACTAATTTGAAAAATATCACTCTATGATGCATTTTTGAGGTTATTGTATTAACATTTACATGATAGAATTGTAATGTTAACCAACTCCAACATTTTTACTTGGGTGCATTCTTTATTGGCCAAAGATTGATCATTAATAGTTTAAAGGTTGAAAAGCCTATTGCCATGTAACTTTTACTATAAATGTAGGAAATGGGTTTCTATTCAAAATATTTCCTAATTACTACAGAGGTGTGCAGTTGTTATCGCTACTTGCATTTCATACTTATCCTCTTGTTTCATTAACCATCCTCTAAAAAACATTTTCCGTCCCATCAAAAAGTGAAATGAAACTCCCTTGAAACAGCAATCAACTGAGACAAACGCCATGTTCACAGAAATACATAAAAATAAAGAGTAAATAAAATTTTAAATCTGGGGAAGGCTTCTCTACTCTTCCTTGCTTTGTCAGAAAAAGTGCTCGCGGTAAGTACCAAAACCATGCAAAGATTCAGAGGCAGAGAAGCAGCTGGATCAACAAGCTAAAGGTGTACGGTACAAGCATGCGCAGAAGATATTTTGACATTCAGAAACGGTACGCTTATCGTGCCGCTTTCCGTTTTTGAAAGTTGAAATCAAGGCAACTTTAGATATCGTACCATTCGGAAATATCTTGCTGTTACTAGTCATAAAAGTATGAATCAAAGACTTGAATAGCAGGTGCCCTGTTGGCATGGAGAGAATAAGCTTGATACTGTTGCTTTATATATACTCTTTAACAGGGGCACCGTCCTAAAAAGTCAGAAAGGGGGCTGTGCTGTGAGGAAATTCAAGAAGTCACACCCATGACCAAACCCTTACAACACCAAATGTATTTGCATTTGTGGTAAAAACTCCCTGTCTGTTGGGTGTAGAAATCATCCATGACACAAACAGTCTGATAAGGACTTTCTCATTCACGAGAAATCAATATCATAACATAATAGAGGGTTGCCAGCAAATAAGAACCTATTGTTAAGAGGGGCTGAGCCACCCAAAATCTATCTGAATTTAACAAAAGGGGCTGAGACTCCTTGAGCCCCACTCCATGGCACCACTGCCCGTTGCATATTACCTTTTACAATGTAAACTGTTTATTCATTGACAGATATAGGGCCATCCACGCATTTTACCCCCCCCCCCCATTTCGAAGAAAAATCTTGGTTTTGTGTAGATTAAAACTTCCTTTCAAATGTTCGTTTCGACCTAGCTGAGGAGGATTATGGTCTGTGACGCAGGCTAGATCGGACCATAGGACCCTGCAGAGTTTCGATATTGCATACAAACCTATCTACCACCCAGTTTTAATTTTGAAGTAACTTGTTTGGAGGCGAATTATCAAACTTGATCACAGTTTTGCGAATTTTTTCGATTTTCTCATGCTGGATTGCTTTCTCTCTCTTTTTCTTTCGTGGCAAATTCACTTTCTCTTTTCTCAGCCAATTTTTTTCTTACTTCTTACAATCATCTTTCTTTCACAGAAAGCATCGTCTACAAGGTTGTCGCAGGAGCTCAAAATATCTCACACTCATCTGAACTATGCTTTCGATCTCATGTGCGAACATTTACAAATTATGTTTGAAAATATATAGAGATTTCGGCTTCGCTGCTTTTGGCAAGGAATTGAAAGGTAATGAAGCTACGGTTTGAAAAAAATCAAATCAAAATTGAATATTTGATAGAATAACGTCAAAGGTTTCTCAATTTTTGTTGCCACAAAGGTCAAAATATTGTACCAGCGTTTTTGAAGTTTTGAAAAAAGTGATTCTAGTGTGGCTTGTAGAGATTTTTTGTTAAATTATTTGGCTGTATTGAGTGATTTTCATAAACATTTTGTGCTGATCTCCCTGCCAACAGTAAAAACTATTTGAATATTCATCTGAGAAAAATCGCACCCCTTGAATTTCATATAATAACTCTAAAACAACTTTCGTTTTTTTACTAATTCAAACAAATTTCAAACCTGTTTATACATCTACAGTCAACGTGCTTTGTTTTTGTAAGAAACGCTGTGCTCGATTTTTACAAACAACACTAAATAAGCTGTTTGTAACTTGCAGTTTTTTTCCTAAGCCACTCGAAACACTATCTCGAATTTCCGTTCCCTCGTATAAGCTTCCCTTGTCGATTCTTGCCCACTTCCTGCAAGTGAAAATTTTGGCTTTGATAACATGTTTCAAAATGTTTGCTTTTTTCAAAGCCATTTTAAAATTCTGTACTACGAGAAGACTGTTTGAAAATTTTTAATAGAGTAAGTCCCCCCCACAAAAAAACAAAATTAGCCATCCCTGACGTGATAACTTTTACAGTCCATGGTTTTGTCCAAAATAAATAACACATCATTTTAACAACGGTTTTATTATCAAAATTACTTCCAAAATGTTTCATTTCTCTACGTAAATTTGAAAAAACTTAAAGCCAAATTTTTATCGAGACTTTCTGATAAGCCGCTAGGGGACGAACTCTAGGATTTATGGTACGTTTCCATACTGCCCTTACACTCAAGAAATTTTCCATTCACAACTTTGTTTTACTTGAAGTTCTCAAGGCGAAATCATTACTGAGAATTTATCAATAGGTTTTTCTGGGTGCGAGCTCTGTTGAAATTTGCTTTAAAATCTAGCCTTTACGTACCTCTGAAATCCTTTAATAATTGTATGCCTGAAAAATTTCAAAAATTTGAGAGCTGCTGGTAGCATAATGACCCAAAACTTAAGCAACTGCCAAGCAGTCGGGGAGGGGTGGGGGGTAGTCGGGGCTAGAACCGAGTAAAAGTAGTTTGAATCCGATCCATTTTTTATTCTTTATATTTTTGTAAAAGTTGGGACATAAAGCTCCTCTGCATCGCGATGTCTTAGCCCCAGACGTTACTTTTCTTAAAAAATCCTTCGAAATGAAAACTCTTATGAGGTAAAATTAGCACAGATACACGGGAAAGAGGCTGGGCTATGGCGGGAACATTGAGGTTCTTCAAGATCAGCGGAAGTTGGCAAAGCGAGTGCTGGAAAGGCGAGAAGGTATTTGTATTACTTTGCCCAGCCTACCAATAAAAAGTAAATTTAGAATACATTGTTATTGACTCTCTTATTCATTCCGAATTTAAAAAATATGAAACATGTACTGAACACTGCTTTTTAATTTTTAAATTGCTCAAGAATCAAGATTGTAACAAAACTCCATTGATTATGTCCTGTGAGCCCAATGGGCCAGTATGGATTCCATGACAGCTGCACTCCCTTGTAAAATTACGAATGCACTCTTACACATCTGAATGATGAGTGTGGCTTGGGCGTTGTTTTCGATGTGGCTCAAATTCACAAAATGAGTTTCTATTTGTGTGCAAAAGAGATTGAAAATGTATGTCAATCTAAATTGAGTGATCTTAGGGCCACTAGACCTCTTAGGACCTCTTAGGACCCCAAATCAAAAGAAGATGCGCACCTCCTACAAAATGACCTTTTTAAATTACAACAATGGGCCATCACCTGGCAGATGGCTTTTAACGTAAAAAAGTGCAAAATGCTCCGTATAAGCCATAAAAAAACTAAAAAGATCAACTTCGAGTACAAAATGTTCCAGTCATCAGCCTCACAGGAAAACGATGCTTCTGACGAAGTTTTTAATACAGCCAAATCTATATTTGATGATGGAAATATATCTAAATTAAATTTGTACAGCTTGGAGGAGACTACGTCTGAAAGTTACCTTGGAGTGATTATAGATAATAAGCTAAATTTTAATGAGCATGTAAATTACATCTCAAACAAAGCCACAAAATTGTTAAACCTATGTCGCCGAAACTTGTACATGTGTCCCCCAGATGTTAAAGCTACAGCATACAATGCAATTGTCCGTCCCCACCTAAATTACGCATCAGCATGTTGGAGTCCACATACAAAGAAGAACATTGACAAAATTGAAGCTGTCCAGAGATGAGCTGCTAGGTTTACATTAGATTATTACGTTTATGGCACAGACGCTCAGTTGACACAGAAAATGAAATCATTAAACTGGCTACCACTACAACACCAACACTGCATCCATGACCTTCAAATCTTCAATAAAATTCGAAACAACATGCTCAAAATCTCGTTTCCAGAAATTGTCCTTTCCTCAACCAGAAATCCGCTCAAATATCAAACAATCCAATGCCTCCACTCTGAAGCTTTCAAAAATCAATTCTTTGTAAGAACAATTCGGATTTGGAATAGCCTACAGCCAGAAATTATTAATTGCGTGAGAGAAGAGAAATTCAAAGTATCAGTGACAGAATGGTTGCGTCCACGCCAGTGGGTGAAGGTGGCCTCCACCAACACATGGACCCTAGTATAGACTTATTCGAGACAATTTTTACTCTTTTGTTAGCCTTTGTTATCCCTAGTTTATGATTAACACCGCTTCCACTCTGGCAATAGCCAACCTTTGCTTGGATTTGTTGAACCAAAACCAAATGCAACATTTTGTAGAAATTAACAAGCTGGAGCGCTGGGTGGAAATGGTATTAACCCTACTCCTAAGTTAATTTTCCTTTTCCAAAATTTAAAAAATTTTTTTTTTTTTCACTCCAGATTAGTTGTATAGCCTTTAGGAGTTAACTATTGAAGATTGAAGATTGAAGATTGAAGACTAAGAAAAGGCCCTAGGGAAAATCTGACCACGCCTGTAGGTTAACTTCCTGAATAATTCCTGCTCTCATTTCCTTGCAATCGTTGAGAATGATTAACTATTTTTAGGCCCGTTTTGAGACCCCCTAGAGCTAAGGTCCTTGGGCAATGTGCCCTCTGTTTCCCTCTTGGTGACCCAGCTTGAGATTGTCAATTAGGATTAGTATGTTTTTTGCCTTTTTAAAGGTTCTTTCTAAAATTATTCTTTTTCTTGCCAAACCTAAAAGAATTTGAATTACAGCCACTGATGGTAGTTTAGTTTCAACTGAATTTCCCTTATTGAAATGAATTTCCCCTTTGAGGAAATATTGATTTAAACTGGATACATCAAGGAAGAAAATGTATGCAAAAACTCAATTATCACTTGCACACTTGAGATCTCATGGAAAACTTGGGGATATCAAGCTCAAAATGTTTTTCAGCAATGCATCAATGGCTAATTACAATAATGCATTCAAAATACCTATTAATTATAATAGTATGCAGGAATTGAATCTACAAACAGCAACAAATAAAATGAATACAATCCTGGTAATATTAGGCATGCGACCATAGATGCAAGCCTTCACACCTGCCTAAAACTATCCAAGCCTGCTTTTTATTGCACACACAGTGCTAGGTTTTGACTGTCTACTCACTTCTTTCTCTCTCTTTGTTTCTTTTGATTTTTGTTAATTTTCTCTAAAGTAGTGTTTTAATTTACTGTTGTGTGGGTTATCTTGAAAGCATATCTGGGAAGGTGGCATAAACACTCTTTAAGACCCTGTTTCCATTACTCTGTTTTCAGATCATTCCATATTTTCTTGAACCATTTTCATTACTCTGGGCCATTTCTGGATTGCATGCCAGGGATATTTTATTGATATTTGTTGCATGGCTAATCTTATACAGAATATACAGAATTGTATAAAATTAATGAAAACTTACCAAATAATCCACCATCTAGCCACCACGCAGAGCAAATTTTTAATATGGTCCATATTAAGCATCTCAAATTATCTAAAACAGACATATTAAAAAACCATGTTGCAAGAGTTCATTTTTAATCAGTGATACATCTCATTGGAACGTCTATCAACTGCTACATTTTTTGTAATATTACAATGAATTCATTGTTTTCAAAATTGTCATTGTTAAACTCAAACTCTTTATACAGCATAATAGCAGATACTCACAATATACAGGTGCTAATAAGTATAAGTAAAATGTTTCTAGGAAAAACTGAAGTAAAATTTATAAAGCTGATGGACACACAGAAAAATTCAATGTGAGCCATCAATTCATCAGTCTGAAATAAGTGGTCTGAGATTCAGGAGCATAAAATCAGGTAATCTGTTATGATATAAAATGTAGTAAGTCT